AACCCTTCAGTGATTATTTAGAGAGTCTTCGTAGTAGTTGTATCATTGATAATCCTACAATACAAAGAGTTGTTTATGCTCTATTTGTCACTACATACATTGCACTGCTTTTCAAAGAAACTAATAAAAAGTCATCACACAATCTGCACCTACATACATACAAAAAAATGAAGTCTGCCAAGAAGTCTGCTTAAGTTTATTCAGTGGAATAGAAGCTGTGGGGAGGAAAAAGCACTTTTTTGGTGTGGAAAAAGTTCAGATTACAATAATGCAATATGTTAGCACTATCACAATCTGCCAGATTTCAAAGAAGAGTATGAAATCCTGTTTAAGCTACAATGATTTTGGAAAACTATTGAAGGAAAGGGAAAAAAACTGGTTTGGATATATAACGTATTTTACATTGCTGCTTGGTTGATAAGGAAACTGATTAAAATTGCTAAGAAAGAAGAAACTAAGAAAAAAGGTAAAGTAAGATAACTGCCATTAACTGAGGAAATTTAGATCTTGTAGTGAGCACCTTCACTAGTATGTCACAGAAAAAGTAAGCATCCAAGACTGTGGATGCCACAGAGGTCACTAGAAGCAGGATGATACAAAATGAAAAAAGACCTGTTTCAATGTCTTCTAACTCAGATAAAGCTGTCACTGATATTTGCATCCCAGCTGTTTGCAGCAACACTGACAATATGTTACATTATCAGGGGTGGGGCTTGAATGATTTATGAATTATAGCAGCAATGAAAGGGAGAAGGTTTAAAGTTCAAGACAGTAACCACCCACCCAGAAACCAGAGTCTGTACAGAAACGTTGCACAACGCACTGTTGAGTTATACAGTAACAGGGAGCAAGGCAGAAACAACGTGCTAGATGGCTGCAGTCATCATTATGGAATATCCAGGTCCTTAATGCTCTTGAACTCCAATTGGACATACAGAAGTGTTTTTGAAGTCCCTCTAATTCATCCTAACAATCCCTTGGTTAATGTGTTTATTACCAGGTGGCAGATACTTCTGTAAAACATTACATTACTTTGTGGAAATTGCATGTCCTAGCAGATAAAAAAACCCCAAAAAACAAACAAACAAAAAACCAAATCAAATCAACCACAACTTCCTCCACAAAACAAAACAACCCCCCACAAAACACTACAGAAAACCTTAACCTGAGAGAGTCCTAAACGGCTTGGCAAAAACATCTTTTACACATGTAAACTATTTTCCTCCTCCTTCCCTTATAATTAGAGCTTTTTGAGAGTTCCTCGCTCATTCAATTTTGCGCTCTGCCGAGCACTTATTTAACCGGATAAATGACAAAACGACGGTGCCAGGCAGCCCGAGCCGCTCCATGTATCAAGTGCGTTTGCACATGAGCGCCCAGCTGCGCCGGGAATGTTAAGGTGGAACCCGAGCGGGCCGAGCCCCGCCGGGTGCGCGCAGGGCTGAGCGGGCACTGCCAGCGCCTGGGCTCCAGCACCTGCCCCGAGCAGCACCGGCTCCAGCGGGGCATTCAACAAAAAATTAACTGTTCCAAGCCCTGAAAACGCTCGTGCACTGGGGAACGTTCCTCTTCTCTCCCTCTCTAAAGGCTTTAACACCCATCCCGTCCCAGGAGGCTGCCACCCGCGCCGGTGGCAGGGCAGTGCAAAGTCCCCGAGCTTCTCCCTTCCTGCCCCGCGGCTCAGCGGGACACAGCCGTGCCCGGCCAGGGGGGCTGTGCCGCCCGCAGCCTCCGCTGCAGCCGGGGAGGCGGCCCCGGCCGTCCCCGCCGCCTCACCTTGTGCCGGAACTCTCGGGCGACGCGGCGCTCCATGGTGCGGCTGCGGGCGCTGCGCGGGTGCGGGCGCTGCGCGGGTGCTGCGCGGCGCGGGGCGGCTGCGCGGGCGAGGCCGCGCCCCGGGGCGGTGAGAGGCGCGCCCGCCGCCGCCTCCGGCAGCCCCGGCATGGCCGGGGACGAGCAGCCGGGCAGCGCTACCCGCCCTGGGCTTGCGGCCGGAACGGCCGAGAAAGTAGAAGGAAAATAAACATCCATCCATACACGGCGCCCTGCCCCGCGGTGTGCTAGCCGGGCTTCTCCCTGGGCTGGTTTGTGCAACTGGCTTTCCTCACACGGCACTCAGCTCCCATAGCAATTTCCCTCCTGTGTTTGTAGGTATGCATGCCTGTCAGTAACACTAATAGTTTTAAGGAAAGCACGAAGTTGTGAACTTTAAAACACCCGGGTTAAAAACAAAACAACTAAACAAAAAACAATCTGAGCCCAAACAAACAGAAAAAAAATTTGCTTCAATGAACTGTTGTACGGCAAATAATCTCAACTTCTTTAGGAAAGCAGAGTGAAGCTAATGCATCATTGTCGAAATCAGAATTCCCCCAGCCTTTCCCACAATGTTGTTGCTTACAGAGTCTCTGGCTGCTATGAGTAACTGCAGAAGAATCAAGCTCGGAGCACCTGAAAATAAACCTATTTTGGACTAATCTCTTTCATACTATTTTGTCTTGAGCCGGTTCTTCTCCGGCTTTCCCTACCGTGGTTCAATATCATAGATTTCCTCAGTCAGGAGGGTAGTGACTGCAGGACACCTGCTCACCCAACTCTCTCGGTCTCCACGCAGAATCACCTTTAACCACGTAACTCCAGAGAGAGCAGGGTTTGCTTAAGGACAGGTAACTTACCTCTCCTCCTTCCAACCGAGTGGAAACTTATATGAATACATATAAAAACATGATTTAAAAAATTCCATTCTGTGGAAGCCCCTGTGTTCTATTTTATTATTTCTGTGTGATAACTTGTGTAAGCTATATCGGCTCATTAGAAACTGCTCTTAGCCCTTTCAGATGGTTTTGCTGTATTGGAACATTCCAGCTGTATGTACACTACCCATTTCTCATATCAGGTGTTAGGAATATGAGAGGAGTACATATTAAGCCTGTATACAAATTAATACAGTTGTTTTCAAAAAACGTTTTTCTCTTAAAATTGCAACTATTAATTCATAAATCACTTTTACCTAAGTTCCAGTATCACGCAATAACAAAAAGCTAGTCTCTCCACACGGTTACAGATTTTCTTCCATGCACATGCAAAACAAAACTGTCTTGTATTTGAAAAGAGAAAGAAGGAAACACAAAAAATTTAAAGCACGCATTGGAACCCATGCATGTTGTGTCTCTAAATTTACATATAATCTAGAACAATCATTGATTATCTATCAAACATTTCTAGAAGGCTTTACAGGAATAGATCTTATCCAAGCTCAAAGTTATGTACATTTGAAAGAAAGTAACTGGTTTTTATGATACAGATAAACTTTCCAGGAGTCAGAAACTCCTTCATGTAGTAAAGAATTGTGGAACTTCTCCTGGTGATGTGAAAACTGCCCCAAATCATCATGTCAAGGACACAGTGCAGGATGACAAACTTGGTGGGCTGTTATTCTGCTATTACATGAATTCCTGTGCTCTACTGTGCTTAAATACAAAGCAAACAAATCCACAAAGCTAACTCCTGCTCCAAAACTGGAAGTTGTATAATCATCAATAAATTTATGAGATGGTTCTGAAGTTTTCATTGCTTCAAATGCACCATATATTAAAAGATGGTAAAATTATGACTGTTTAGTATTTTTAGATAATGAAATCTTTCCTAGGAAGAAATCAAATTGCATCTAAATTGGTTCTAAATTAGCTTCAATTCTTGTTTGCTACTTGTGGTACAAAGAGAAAATGAACAAAGTGAGCAGCTCATTTAGTAGGCAAAGAAATACATTAGAGTGTGTGTTGTGTAACCGGATCCCTGCTGCTTTTATCTACTTTCTCTACTGCCATTAATGTAACTTGGATCAGTGAAAGTGCACCAAAGCTAAGCACATGCTGCACTCAGAGCAGGTATAGGCTGAGTCTAGCACATAGTTCTAAAAATTCGTTTGGGTTTATTTGGAAAAGGCTGTGTCAAAGTTAAAGGCTATCTTTTATTTCTCACTTTTTTTTCCTCTCAAGCACATTCTCCCTCCAACACTTACAGGAGGGAACAGAATTCTCAGTGAAAACATCACTAGTTTTCCATCATTTCATTAGAAATGAAACGCAAGAAACACAATCCACAGGGACAAATTACAAAGGCAGAAAAGAGATCTTTTTAATGACTTACTGTTAACAGACTTCCCAAAGCAGTCAGAAAAGGCCCCTTTTTATCTGAGACAGTTTCTCACCTGGTATGGGCAGCTTCTAAAGCTTCTGTCATAAGATATGCAAACCTGAAGAATGATGGGGAGAGAGACAGCAGCAGATGGGAAAGGGAAAATAACAGGAAAGGTAACAGTGATAGGAGGAGAGAAAAGGGAAAATCATAATGGGAGGAAGCACATTTAATCATGAAGGGTGAAAAAAAGAAAAAATAGGAGGAATAAACATGGAAAAGGCTCCAAAGAGAGCTCCAGAGTGTGAATTCATAGTAAAAAAAAAGTTATCAGAAGCTATGGAAACCATCCATACACCTTAGCTGCATGCTGCGTGCAGTGTATGTCTCACTTACGCCTGAAATTATTCAAGCCCTGACACCTCTTTCAGTGGGGCCGCTGCTCCGTGCTGAGCACGGACAGGGTTTGCCGCTCCCGGTAGGAGCGGGCGGCTCCGGGCCGGGCTCGGTCCGTGCTCATCCCTGGAGCGGCGGGAGCAGCCCCGGCTCCGCTGGAGCGGGCGCTTGGAGCGGCGGTCGCGGCTGCTGCTGCCGAGACAGCGGCACACGAACCTCCCAAAACCGCGGAGAGCGGGCAAATGGAAGTGAACGTGTGGAGGCGGCGAGGTCAGCAGCGGGCACAGCCAGGGCGGCAGAGGCGATGGCGGGGCCGGACCCCGCTGCCGGGCGGGGGGCGGTGTCCGGGCAGGGCCGGGCCGGGGGCGGGCGGCGGATAAACCCCCCGGCCGCCCCGCCCGGGAGGGCGGGATGAGCTCGGGGCGCAGGTAGCGGCCGCAGCTCCGCGGGAAGCCGCTGCCGCTCGCATGGAGACCCGGCTCCTGCTCGGGGCGCTGCTGGGCGCCTGGCTGTCCTCAGGTGAGTGTCCCGCCGGCCGGGCACCGCATAGGCACGGCACGGCACGGTATGGGAGGGTGGACAGGGCAGCCCGGGCCATCACTAACCTGCCGCCCTCGCCTTCCAGCCCTGTCTCCGTGGGGTGCCCGGGCGGAGCTCCCGGCCGACCTGGACCTGCCGCTCCCCAGGTAAGAGCCGGCCGGGGCGCAGCGGGCTCGTTCCGGGCTGGGTGGGTGCCTGCGCTGCCCGGGCCGAGCCAACCCTGCTCTTTTCTCCCCCTCAGCCCAGGCAGCGCCGCGGGAGCCCGGAGCGGGGGCGGCCTCGCCGCGGCGGCGCAGGTAAGGATGCGGACCGGGCTGGGCAGCACGGCACCTCGCTGGGGACACCGGGACACCGGGGTGGGCAGCTTCCCACCAGGCAGGCCCCGGAAAGAGAGCATCCACCACTTTGCATCCCGGGCTCGTGGGGCTGATGAGTTCAGGTGGTGCTACGCTCCCAGCGCCGCTGCCCGGGGAGAGCCCTCTGAGGGGGCTGGCGGTGCAGGACAGAGGGTTGTGTGTTCTGGTTGTCGTCAGCATGATGTGCTCCTCAATTATATACCTGCACATTGCTGGGATACTGTCTGTATTTTAGTGCTAGAACAGCGAGAAAAGATTGTGTGATTGTATGCAAAGCTTTAGCTTGTTCAAGAAGTTATGTGCTGTGCAAAGCATCCTTGCTCGAGGAAAAGTTGAGGTCTGAGGTCAACAATTGCTTTGTGGGAGCCTTCTTGCCTCTCGGTAGAGGTAAATGAGCTGGCAGTATCGGGTCACTACAGCTCAGCACTCAAGTTTTTGGATGTGCTTTGTCTTGGCAGCTCGACTGTGTCACTCATGGCACGTTGCTGAAATGTAATTAGGGTGTGTGGTTCCCGCTCCCTTGTTCGAGGGTGGGAAAAGGAAAGGTTGCTTTGTAGTCCTTGTTCGTGGCTCCTCAGAGGGAGTCACCTTTCTCTCTGCTTTCTCCCTGCTCTTTCTGGGAAAAGCTCAGCAAAGAAAAAATGTCACATAACTGTAAACAGGTAACCAAATCAACCACCAATAATAGTGAGTGCTCCTGGATAAAGGTTCTCCCACCAAGAATTCAAGATGTACTAATAAACTTTTTTGTTTCTTTCTGGTTTAGCTTGTTGAGCAGAAGTCTTCAGTAAGAAGTAGGTTTAGGAGGAAGGAAGAAGAAAAATATTGAAGTCTTGAGTAGAGTACTTTTTACTTTACAGTGGTGTTTTTTGAGAACTTTATAGTAAGCCAATACAAAGCAATGATCTTACGAAAAATGGTGAATTTACTGACAGACAGAAGAGATTTTTAAGTGTCTTGTTTATAGCTGCTGATTTCTTTGTTCTTTCTGAAAGGAGTCTGGAATGGCAGTTTATAACACTTCACCTACAGCAATGTCCTTGTCTCGGAACAGGAGAATTCACAGTATGAAATGTGACCCACCCAGTAAGTTTTTTATGTTTCTACATAAAGTGACATCTCTAGTCCCTTATTTTCTGCTTTGTTTAGTCATTCCTAGGAAGAAAAAAATTCTAAAATAGGTAATACAGGCCTTAATGATAATGAGGCTTTACCTTGTTTGGTTTCAAGGGTACCCAGGAGTATGGAAATTTGTTGTGGAGCTTCACCTAGCTTCAAGTTTACACCTGGTTCTAATTTGATAATTTGGAAGACTATTCCTAACCACAGGTTTTGTAATAAAGGGTTTTTGGAAAGGAAGTCTTCTCTTATTGTGGTATATGTAAAAATGTGGATTGATATTTAGACACCAGTAAATTGCCTATCCTGTACCTTTTTTGTGCTTGGAGGTTGGTTGTTTGTTTTTGCTGAGGTAACCTGCAGATGCTTTTTGTGTGTACCATCTATGGGTTAGCAGGATAAGGCCCTTTTGGCCACCAGCTTGCAGTGGTGGGCATTTGCTTGAGGAATGTGCATCTTTAGTTTTTGATTAATCTTCTTTTCAGAAGTGAAGTGGACAGGCTTAAAATACCTTTGGTAAAGGGTAAGGGTTTTCTGTGTTAACTCTGAGAAGGGTCTGTGTCATGCTTGTGTTGTGCACAGGAGAAGAATGAGGCAAAATAATTCTGAGTAATTTTAGTTAGTTTTGCAAACTCTCTAATTTCTCTTTAGTCAGCCTGATTGCATTGGATGTGGGACCTACCTTAGAGTGAAGAGTCTCAATTTGCATCTCATAGCTTTACAGCTCCAAGAGCAAGATATGTGGAATGGGCTCATAATTTGTGACAAGGGTTGTGTAATCTCCAGAAGCTTTTAATGTCTTCAGTACACACTGTTTTCAGAATGTTTTGGGAAGTGTGTAGCTGAATGTGGAGGAATGATTTACAAGAGTTTAGGGAAGCATAATATTGCTCAAATAAAAATTATTACCTATTAATAGCTCTCCAGTTTATGAAAAAAATCATAGCTTCTGTATGATAAAATTGCTTTAGAAACCTAGCATGCTATACTGATAAAACTTCCTCTGTTTTTGAGGCTTGCACCATCTTATTGACCAAGAAGTTGTTTTGCTTTTTTTATATACTAAATAAGGCAGCTGACAAAGAGAAGATATGCAGATCATGCTGAGAAATTTGTTGTCATAATAATTTTGTTTGTTTCCCTGGGTTTAGTCTTTGCCTAGTGAAAATTTCTTTAATTAGAACTAGTAGGTTTCATTTTTTGCTTCAGATCTGGAAAGCTTCTAAGGTGTGTTACTGTTCAAGTGTACAATAAAAACTATGCACATAAACCCTTTGCAAAACTTCTATTAAAGAGCTTTTGTCAAGGGTTTATGTGCAAGTTTATTGCTTCTTAAATAGCCCTAATATTTAAGAAATGGAAGAATAAATGTGGAGCTAGGGAGAATAACATATTTACAGATGTCTCATGCTAACTCATCACATGGCTAAGCTTCTAGAGGAGGATGCAGTAATGATGGCAAGAATTAGGTTTTATTGCTCTCTGTAGATGTAACAGTATAAAGTTTTTGTTCTCTTTCTGTGAGGCAGAACTATTCAGTGTGGGTTTTCCATTTCTGATGTATTTATTTTGGAAAGGCAATGTTGTTGAGCACAAACCTTAAAAATTATCAATGATTGCCCATACTTGAAGGCAAATAAAAGCACTATTCAAGTCTTTTAAACAGTGGAATGCATAGGCTTGAAAGTTTAGTTTTTAAATCACAGTGAAGTGTGTGGCAAATGGAGTCTATTGTCTGTGTGTGAAAGATTTGTTAAAAAACAAAATAATAACCTGATCTGTATTGTACAGTGCTCCTAATACTTAGAAAAATAGTTTTTCCTTTTGGTCTCTCCAATTTAAAGAGAGATGCAAGCTGTGATAACTCTGCCCATGGAGTGGGATTTGCAAACATCTGGGGATATATGAGATAATAAACCTTCTTTGTTTACAAACCTGAACAAATGGAAACCCAAATCAATGACAAAAAAAACCCAAACCAAAACAGCAGCTGTCATCTGCTTTCTCTACTTTAGCAATGTCTCCAAGAATATTATTCTTTGAAATACTTGTAGACCTGTATTCTTCATGCAATACCAGTTTTTCTTGGATTCTGTAACTCTATAAAGATAAACCAATTTGTTTTCTGTGGAATGAGTGCATCACTTTTGCAAGAGATCTCTTTACCTTTGTGTTGTATTAGTCAAATGAAAGCATTTCAGAAAGTGATGTAGTGTCTTATCTGTCAGTGGAACGAAAAATTTGCATTAGCACAAGCAAACACCATGAGAAAAGTTCTGTGGTAGTTTCTTGTAGCCAGGGAACACAGGATTTGAAATGTGTATCAGAATAATTGAAGTTAACATGCAGTTTATGTAGCTGTTCAACTTTTAACTTCCTTCCACAAAAATCTTACTCATGCAAAATTTAAAAAATAGCAAACAATTAATTAAAAAAAAAAAAGACCCAAACAGGAAACTCCTGAGCTAAAGCATATTAAGAACCTGGAACAGGCAAACCAAATTATTTCTGGAAGTATTCAGGCTCCTGCTGAGAATTTCTAACATTCTAAGCACTACAAATTTTCTTGTGTTGAAATGCTGTAACAGGCATAAGTAATGGAAGTCACAGAAGATGTTTATCCCTTTCAATGTCTGCTTGAAAACTGATTTCAGGAGATGTACCAGAACAGAAAATAGGCAACTAACTGGAAGGCTCTTGGAATTGAATTGTTAAAATTGTACCATAACTGGAAGGCTCTTAAAATTGAAGGGTTAAAATCTCATTCACCTCAGAATCCCAGAGAGAAAAATTTTACATCCTGTAAAATGGCATCCTGCTGAAGCCTGTGTGCCAGGGAAAACCTGTGCCACTGCAGGCAGGTGCTCTCAAAGACTATGAAGTTGAAGGGTAAAAAAGAATGCAGGAAATACTTGTGTTAATTCTGCCATAGCTGAAGGAGCACCTGAAAACTTGCACCTAGAGAAACGTGCAGTGGAAATTATGCAGAGTTACAAAATATAGAGTTTCAGGGAAGTTAACTGCAAAAATTTAAATATTACATTTTAAGTATATATTCTACTCTTTTATGTGTGGCTTTAGATCTAATTTAGGTTTCTTGTTAATTCTTATCCTGATCTGCTTTGCTTTTTCACTTTTCCATTCAAAAATAAAATGTTGTTTTTAAATAATTGGTTATTTTAGTATTGTTATTACCTTCAGACTCTTCAACTGAACTACTCTTCAAATCTTGCATAGCTACTTTAAAAATGTATAATTTTTAAAGAATTCTGAAAAATAGAATTCCTGTCTATTTCTGTAAATGATCTCAAATTTCTAAAGCTGCTTGGGTCAAAATTGATGCCTAGGCAGAATCATAAGAACTGAAGGCATGGGCTGGATGTTGTATCTATCTTGGTTTAGCAAAACTTTCACTTCAGATTTCTACATTAATCTTTCATACTTAAACTTTTCTGTCCAAGTGAATCTAGTAATGAATACCCTGGAAGGAAATCTGTATCTACTATTTTGCATTAAGCATTTTTTTTTCATGCTGTGTTTAAAACAGTAGAAAAAATAGTAATACTAGGAAGTACTTAATGTTTTACAGAAAAATACTCATAGAATAGTACACATCAGGTACAAATTTTAAAGAATTAGTAGTGTACTGGTGATAATGGTGTATTACTGTGAGGTCAGACCTGAGCTCAAGCATTTGTATTCATGTGGTAGTTCAAGCAAAAATCAAGTATTTCAAAATGGATGTTTTCTTGAATGAAAGTGAGAATTTTATTTTAGATGTTTCTTTCATTTAGTATCTTATCTTTTGTGTGGAATACGTAGAGAAGGTTTCTTTGCAGTTACTTCCTTGTGCTCCAAGAGGAGAGCATTTCTTTTGTGACTCTATCTCACTTCATGCTCAAGGGCTCCACATTATATAAATTACTTATTTTATTCCTAATGACCATGTTGGCTCAGATGACCAAATCATGGATGAGCAAGTCAGGACATAGAGTTCAACTGGAATTGAAATAAATTCAGGAGATTTTAAGTATTCATTGGAGAAAGAAGTAATGTAAGAAAGCAGATAAAGCTAAGTGTGCCACATCAGAGATGCAAAGCCCCAAAATACATTGCATCAATAATAATAATAATTCAAAATAAATTTGTATTTTGGTGAAGATACAAGATGCGTTTGAACAGATATCATGATGCTTCTAGGGAATGTCTCTGTGTGGAGCTTGGACACTGCTCTGCAGAGCCCCTTGCAGGGAGGCTGTATTGGAGTCACACTTTTTCAAAGGCTCTGATAAATAATGGGTCAAGGTTCTGCTACTGCTCATAGAAGAGTTTAAATATGGGATGGACTGAAAAGGAGGCCCATGTGCTCAAGGGACTAAAATAACCCTACACACGGGGCTGCAGCCTAGTCAGTAATTACAGGGGGTTGGAGTGTTTAAGCTGAGAAGAGCAGAGTAGAATTCAGACCTGTGTTACAAAATGATCCCAAGTCTTAATCCTATTTGAAAAAGAAGGACTTTGAGGCTGGTTGCTTCATCAGAACGATGGTGGAATTATCATGGTGATCTTCAGGTTCTAGAAATGCCATTATTACTTATGTGAGTCAAATCATGCCACTTAGGCCTACTATTTTCTGCTAGAAAATTCTCACCAGTTTTCAGTTTCAGATTCCAACCCAGTGCACTCAGCTGGCATAATGTCAAAGGGGAAAGAGGAGCTGAGGAGTTTTTAACAGGTGTTGCTTTCAGGTTAATGGAGGACAAAATATTCTTCTGTAAGTTTTCCTAATTTTAACTTTCAGTTAGTCTTGATGTCTTTTCCTTTTCTGCAAGTATGAAAATGTTTCTTGCATTTCTAGTGGAGAGAAACTTTTGATGGGGTCATATGGGTTAGCTTATTTGGAGAGCTCATATTCCTTTAATGTCAAAGATTAGAATGAACCCCTTGTTACAGGATATTTTTTCTGAATACTTTGGGAAGTATTTCTGTGTTAATGGATCAGAATGGGATGATGAAAGGAGGCCACACTTAGAGTAGTAGGAGCATTAAATGTGATCTGAGACAATGCTGCTTCCCTCATTACCTGCTTAATTATTACTGTTTGCACACACAGATGTTCTATGCAGTGTAAGGAAAGACACTTAACAGTGATGTAAAAAGGGATATAAACAAATACAACAACTGAGATAATAATATTTTCTTAGAACCATACACACACAGGCAGAAGAGATCATCTTAAAGAAAAAAATGCTTGGGATTGAGTAATTTGGTTTTTTTTTGATTCAGGTTTGAGTAACACTCTTTCTCTCTAAAACAGAGCCAGGGAGATCCTTCACAGTGACAGCAAGGGTCCCCAGGTCAGCTGACTGTTTGCACAATCTGAACAAACATGTCTTGGAGCAGGTTACCTGAGCCATGCTTAGAGTGGAATCATTCAACCTGAAACATCAAAAGGGGGCTAACTTCCTCTACGGCTCAGAGGAACATGACTTGCAGCCTAATTGCACATTATTGTAACTGGACAGGCAACAGGGCATAATCTTAGAGAAGCAAAGAACAGAGACCAGAGCTCTGGTTACACAGGTCTCATGACACTCAAGATGAAAGAGATCAATGTCTGCCTCTCTTGACAAGAGGAACAGGCTTTTGCATTATTGACAAGATTGGTCACTGTGAGCATGTAAATGAGATGGCTCAGTCAGGGTAAGTAGGGACCTTTCTGCATGGTGCTTGCATTATTTTTTATTGACCTGACACTGGCCAGGCAGGGAAAGGAGCAGGATAATTGGGCTAGCAGGCAAAGAAGCATTACCTTTTACTTTATCTACCTGCCTTGTTCCTTTAAGCATGGCCTTTTTTTTTTTTTGTTGGAGGGTGGGAGACCCCCTTTTTTTTTTTTTTTTTTTTTTTTTTTTTTTTTTTTTTGGGTTGGAGGGTGGGAGGCTGCTTGTTGAAAGCAAGGGAATCAAAATTAATTGTTTGGACATTTTGAAAATCTTCAAATAATTACTTAGTATTTATAATGGGATTGCAAATGAAAATGGTAATGGCTTGAAGTTGAAAGGGAGTAAGTTTAGGTAAGATATTAATAAGAAATTAATTACTATAAGGGTGATGAGACACTAGAATAGGTTGCTCAGAGGTGTGGATGCCCCATCCTTGGAAGTGTTCAAGGCCAAGTGGGATGGGGCTTTGACAGACCTGGTCCAGTGGGGTTGGAACAAGATGATCTTTAAGGTCCCTTCCAACCCAAACCATTTTAGGATTATTTTTCAAGATTGATGTATTTGTAAAGATAAAGAAAAGAAGGCTGAGCCTTCAGTTTGTATCTTCATGAAACAGTTTCTTCTGAGCAACTTGTCTGCTTTCTGCAAGAGAAGCAGTCTGTATTCTAAAGTACAAAAACTTTTATGATTGCATAATAGCAAATTATTAAAATTAAAATCCTTTCCTAAACAACCTTTATAGGAGCAAATACTAGCAAAAATAAGTGAATGGATCACAATTTTTTAGATGATTTAATCATTAAGTTCAAATTTAGAAACAGGAAACTTTATTTCTTCTTGTGCACGTTTTTCTTTATACTGTGAAAAATTTTGCCATGTTTTGATAGAGATCTTCATAGGGAAAATATAAATTAAAAAAAAAACAAAACCAAAACAAAACAACACCTCCCTCCCCCAAACCAAAACCTGTCATTGCAAGTCAGAGATCTGTGTCTTTATGGAAAGTGTTTGTGGATGGTGTACTTGGAAGCTGTGAGTGGAAGGAGGACAGGCAGGTAAGGATACATAGCTGGGATCAGAACACATGTATTTGTAAGGTAGCTTGCTCTCCTCCTGGCAGAGCTTGCCCATAGGGTGTCACTTGTGTGTGGATGTAGGCTCTGGGCTTCTTTGTGGTGCATACTTGTTCACTTCCTCTAGTCGCTGCTTAAAGGACTGGAAACATGTCAGACCAACAGATGTCACAGACATTTTGATTTGGCTTCCTAAAGGTGCAATAGATTAATGAATCTGACTGTGTAACTCAGGCTGAAGCCTTCACACTGTTTCATTTTTGTGGGCCCGGTTAGGTTCTCCAGGACCTTATTGCTAAAATAGCAACTCCTGTCATTCTCAGAGTTACATTCGGTGAGAGAACTGGGTGTTAAGAAAGAAAACGATCAGACTTTGTTTTTGACGTGCCTTGTTTCTTTTTCCTCTCAGATTCTCTTGCATGTTTTAATGGAGGGGAGTGTGTGTACCGAGAGCTGTGCAACTGCAGTCGATTTAACGCGACGGGGCCGCGATGCCAGACAGGTGTGTAAAGAGAGAAATCTGACTGGGTTCCTGGGCTTGCACTCGTGTTCCCACAGCTACAATGACTACTCTCTGCCTAAAGCTTCCCTTCATGCTGTAGGATTTTCTCCCTCCCTTCTTCTATGTCATTATATTCACAGCATGTGTCATGCACTGCCCCACCTCGGCTGCTGTTCGTATCCAAAAAGCAGCGCTGTGTCTCAAGTGACTCTCCTTTTGTTAGTGTACAACACAGGTGCTGAAAGAGATCATATATGCAGGACATGGGGCCAGTATAACTTTGAAACTTTTGATGGACTCTATTACTACTTTTCTGGGAAATCCACATATGCCCTTGTGAGACACGCTGAACTAGATGAACAGAGCTTTTCCATACAGGTAGGGAATAACACTTCTATGTTTTCTGAACTGTTGTTAAACATGCTAATAATGTATTATTTTTAGGAGATTAAAAATAAATTGAGATGGTAATAGGGGGTTGTAAAATGTAATCTAGAGGTGACTTTAACATGACGTGGGCTACGTGTTACCATAGCCTAGGATGTAAACAGCTGGAATATGTCGCTACAGAGCGCGACACGGTGCAAAGCACCAAGACTCCATCAGAAGGGTGTGCAAGAGATTTGTTACAGCAACATGTTGCTTTTATAGTTTTTCAAGATATTTACACTTACTTAACAGAAACATACATTGCCCATTGGTCATAAGAAAGAAACTAGGTTCTCAATGGGTGAACAGGGAGCCACGTCATTCTGTGAGCCAGCTGAAGTCTCTAACTTTCTACTTGCTCTCTTCCATCACGTTGTCGTAGTGATAGCCTTGGTGTGTTCCTTGAGAGAGATACGGGGCTTTCCTTATTTCCAGGAAGCCTTTGCTGGCTCACAAGAACAGCACGAAATGTCTTTCCCACAGGATTGTCAGGAATAAGACTGATGTGTGTCTTTCCAAAACCTTCTTTGTTCACTCAGAGCTGTGAAAAGACAACTCCATGACCATGGCTATGAACTGCTCAGTTTTTTCCACAAGAGGGGGACCAAACTTCTTGTTCCCATGCTGAGTGCAGATTTGGGGGTATTAGTTCTGTTATGTGTTTATTATTAAGAATTTGATTAAAATGTTGATTTTGTGATTTTATTTGGCAGGTGAATAATGATCCTGAATGCCATTCTTCTCCTTATTCCTGCAAAAGGTCCATTAGTTTATTCTTTTCTGGAGATGAACAGATCAAGATGAGCAGTGAAGTCACCTACAAAGGATTTGGGTAATTGCAGTCATGTTTCTCATGCTGTAGTTACACTGGAGTTAATATCATGGTACCATTTCGATAAGAGATGTAAACATGTTCTTTGGTAGACTGAAAAAGCAACCAGACCACAGCTGCAATAATTACTCTCCATTTACAGAGTTGTGTCTGAGAAAGGTGATAGCTAAGTTAGTGGTATATAGAATTAAATATAATCATTGGCATTCATGATCTTTGCTGTTATTTGCAAATTCATTTCATTTAGTGGAGTTATTCAATATTTACATCAGGGATTTTCAGTTGTATGAGGAAGGCATCAGCAAGTCATTTCTTTTTAATGGTTACATTTCCTAACATAATATTATTTTTGGTGCTGTGTTGTCATTCCAGAGTAAAATTACCTTATGTTATTGGAAACATACACATCCAGAAACTAGCTGGATACTTCCTGGTCAGGCACCAGTATGCCTTCACCCTGGCTTGGGATGGTACATCTGCAGTGTACATCAAAATGGCACCAGAGTACCTGGGCAAAACCCACGGACTGTGTGGGAACAACAATGCTGTTCTGCAGGATGATCTGGAAACTAGTTATGGTGAGTATTTAAGATACTTCCAGTTGTGCAATATTACTTTCTTAGTTTTCAGTTGTAATGCTGATTGAATTTAAGTTGGGTGAGTTTTGAAATGGAAAATATGTTATGGAGGTATTTCTGCTAAATTATATTTAGTGAAGAGGACTAGTTTCAATGTAGGTGGGGCTCTTGGGAGGAAGATTTTAAAGCTGTCTTACTCAATTATCTACAATGGTATTTGTATTTAATTTTCCTGGGACCTGAAAGGTAAAATCTGCTTTTAAATGTTCACTGCCCTTTTAGAAATTTTGTGACCTGTGGAAGCCTGAGGCATTGCTATTGGAAATAAATCAATAACTAGTAAATCAAATTAATGAAAACTGTCAAATTGTGTTTGATCTGGCATTTCATATGTGCTAACACTTTCAGAAATAATCAGTGATCTTTCAGTGTCAGCTTCAGACACTTCCAAAAGGCTTGGCTTTCAGTAAATAATGAGTGAAGACATCTATATAATGAGTAAGGAAAAAAAACCACCCAGAACAGGGAGAAAAGATCAGTCCTTTGAAAAGTATCCCAAGTGAGGCCATAAAAACTTCTGGAGATACGGCTTTGGGCTGTTTGACTGTTGGCTCCTGTTTAACGTGAGGATATTTCTGTAGAGCAGTCCCTCAGAGCTCAGAGTGGATGTGGTTTCCTCTCTTGTTGGTGCATTCCCCTCAATTTCAGAAAGCACCAGCCCTGCCCAGTTAACAGTCATTACCCCCACTGATACTTGGCTCACTAAATCAAGTTTTTTATACTAATACCAAGATCAAAGGGTCATTTCCCCAGAGACATTTCTCTCTCCTCTTACCTTTCTTAGTGTCTCCAACACTTAAAGCTGCATTTGTAGCACGAGCGAGTGAATTCACTGTGCATGAGCTTTATCCACTTGGCTTGGGGAGCAGTAGAAGTAAAGATGTGCCAAGATATGCATTTTTGGGTAATCCAAGTGGTAATCAATGCCACCACCTGTACAAGGTGGATAATAATAATGATGGATTAATTGGTTTAACCCTAGTGTGGACATTTCTACTTAAATAAGAATCACACCCATATTTGACTAATTCAGACAATAATTTTGTACCATTGCAATGACCCAGGAGTGCCTCACTTTTCTAGGGTTTGGACTCCCTGTTGGGCATTCTATCATAAAGTAGCAGCATCGACCTATATATTATTTATTAATTTAAGATTTTTATTAAACCTTTTCTTTCCTTTATTCCATTGATGGACTAAGGCAGGCGTAGTCCTTCTCCCTTAAATCCCTTCTTTGCCAAGTTGCTTAAGCTGTTTTCTGCCACCTGAAAACCCACTTCTCTAGTTCCTTTTAAAAGTATTTTTTTGCTTCTTGAAAGGACCAGATTGATTTCAGCTGATTCACTTGGTAGTGGGAAGGGTTAGGTGTTCTGTTCTTGGTGTGCTTTGATTATTGAAACATTTCCCTGGGAAATCCTATAGAAACACTGTTGTTCTTTGAAGTGACTGTGTGACTCTGTGTGTGTATCTTGTGTAGGAAAACTGACAGATGATGTAACAGAATTTGTAGAGAGCTGGCAGGAAAATCCTCCACAAGGAACACCTGACTGGGACAAATCTCTTCTCAGTGAGCCACCATGCCTGACACAAAGCCACGAATCTCTGCAGGTTTGGATCAACACAAAAGGGTTATTGACATAGCTGGTGATTCTAATTGGAGCAAGCATTTGACTTAATTTGAATTTTCAGTAAATAATTTGACAACTTTTAAACCTTTGAAGGAGACTGGAAATATTTGCATCTTTTTTGGGAGAGATAAATTAAAATGCTTGCTGCAACAGGTCTTCCCTTGTCCTCTCATCACGCACTGCCCTCCCCTTTCTTTTGTATTTAATTCTTGATCTGTTCAAATATTATGCTGTCTGCATAGCAGCTGATAGAACTGCTTGACTATGAAGCTGAATGAGTCACAAGTTGTAAAATGTGGGATTCTTCTAGAACTTATCCATAGGAAGGATAGAAAGAAGCAGGGAAGCAAAACCAGAGTCAGAGCATTATTTGCTCTGTCATTATTTGCCAGTGTTTAAAAAGAGAATTATTGTTGCTTTTTTCCCATGACTTTGAAGCAGTTTTTCCTTTTAATTAGTATTTTCAGGATACAACCCTTAAATTAAAGTGCTTTGAAACTAAAGCTGGTGCCAACTATGGTTTATTTCTCTTGCCTTTTACTGTGTAATTCAATTGAAATGAAGGCTTTTTCAGGTTGTCTTGGCTTAGTTGCAAAATTATCTGTGCCCTTTTTGGGCACTGCTATGACCTTGGATGAAAGATTCAATGTTATGGGAACTCTGACATGGAGAGCAATGTATTACTAAACTCTGCTTCTGTTTGGTGAGAGGAAAGTGATTCCTAGTCACAGACAGATGTCTATTCTGATTTTCCAGAGCATTCTGTTTTATTCTGCTTATGTTTATTTTTGCAAACCTCATTACAACAGCTGTCTCTTTCATTTCAGAGGGCATATGCTCTGTGTAATATCCTGTTACATCCCCCATTTAAACAATGTCATGAGTATGTGAGTCCTCTTTCTTTTATGGCAAGCTGCACAAATGACCTCTGCATGTAAGTGAATGTTTTTGGCCAATTCAAAGCTATTATAAAAAAAAAACCCATGGTCCTTTTATCATGAGAATGAATTATAGATGTTAAATGAGCTGATTTGTGACATTCTCTGCACGTAAGTTTTTATCTAACATTGTTCTGTTATTTTACTTTTCTCATTTGTTCTGGTTTTGCCACTCTGGAATGCTGTGGAGTTGTTCCTGTTTTCTTTGGTATAAGAATGATCAAATTCAGGCCCAGATGTTTTCCAGTTGTGTTAGTCTGTCTCCCTTGAGTATGTCATCTGAGTGTGCAACATCCTTAGGTGCTTTCTGCCATTCTAAAGCCTCTTACTATAGTGAAAAGTCAGAGTCAATGGGCAGGTTTGGCTTCTGTCATGCTGTGTGGTCCTCCATTGAAAAGAGGAATTTGATAACCATTTGAACTTATGCTAACATTTCATAATCTGCTATACTCCTGTTCTGAGCAGTTTTGACTAGTTAAATTAAAAAAAAAATGAGGCAGGTCAGAAGATAATTTCCATTTCTTGTACCCTGGTGGCTCACTGGTAGAAATTTTACACTTCCTTCTTGTGACTTTTCTGCAGGATATTACTCCTGTAAAAATTGAGCTTTACTGAAGTCTCCCTATACTGCTGTATTTCAGGCTTTTGTGGAGTTTTTCAGGGAAATAGTGTCAGGTCTCAAAAGTATTGAAACTTACATTGATGACCTCTCTTCCAGGGTGGCAGACAGTTTTTACCCTTTTAAGACTTTTAACCCAGTCCAACAGCACAGTACCTTAGAACATTGTTAAATTAGATTCAAACAGCAAGGCTGAATGCAGTGCAGGAGCATTCATGAGGTTATGACGGTGTGTTTGAACGGAGGTACAAAATGATATGTCACCTTTTGTTTGTGTAAGGTCAGCAGCTGATGATGCAACTTGGTGTCGAGCGCTCACCGAGTACGCCAGAGCGTGTGCCCAAGCAGGAAAACCGCTTCATGGATGGCGTCTGCACTTCCAGCAGTGTGGTAATGCCCCTGCTCCTCTACTTGGAAATGCTGCTTGGTCCTTCTGTTTTGAAAAGGCTGCCCTTCATAGTTTCAGTTCTTTGCCTTTCTCCAATTTTGGGCTCATGTAATTCATAATGAAATGATTAAGTGAGTCAAACTCACTTCAAGGCTACATAAATGCAATGAATTTTCTCTTTAATATGTGCAATTTGTACTGAATTTTTTTAAATTTTATTACAATGTGATTCTTTAAGATGGTTAAACATTTTTATTTTCATGGAGCTACTCTTTCAAATATTGCCAAAGTCTTCATGGCTTTGTGATATACAAAATGTATGTCACGAGTGTTAAAATCAAATCTAAATTGCACTTGCATAAGACTTCATCTTACAAGTCACATAATGTAAGTTTGAAAGATGTTATCTGATTTGGTTGCCTGCCTGGAACACAGGACCAAAACTGCTTTGTCATCCATGATGGAAGATTTCTACTGTGGTTCCAAAAAATCTCTGTTAATGAGTGTCCTGACTGCTTCTGATGATGGTCTGAGAATCTAAATAGCTCTCTGCTGTGAGAAAGTGTGGTTTAAGATTATTCCTTCTTGATGCACCTTTAATGGAGAGAATGTGAATATGTAAATATGTGCCAGTCCTCTGTGTGTTAGGAAAGCCATTTTAGACATTGTTTAGTGTTTATCTAGAGAACAGATACTCAGCTGACATGCCAGCAGATAGATCCCTGAAAGGAACATGTGCAATCTATTGGTGCCCTGTGACAGTAGCTCTAGACCTTTTCATTTCTCTGTCTGTTCCTGTATTTCAGTCATTACCTGTGCTGAGCCCTTGGCCTACAGTGAATGCATCAACTGCTGCCCTGTTTCATGTCACCAGCAGTCCCAGTGCATTGGCAGTGAGCTGCACTGCGTTGATGGCTGCTACTGCCCAGACGGTGAGTTCTGCTCCTCAGGGACACGCCTGCTTCCACACAACGTTCAGGTTGTTCCTCCCCAGGTTTACATCCCTCGCTGACCTACCCAGATTGAAAGCAGGAGCTCTTTATAAACTGAGTGGATAACTGACCTTGTTTTCCTTACTGACAGGAGCCTTTTCCTCCCTCTAAAAAGTAGGAATAGGTTTCAGCTCAGGTCCACATTCTAGCTGTACAGCTACACAATTTCAGTGACAAATGGGGTTTGCTCTTGTGTTACAGGGCAGGCATCCTCCTGCTTGTGGTGATTGCTGTATGTTTCTTGTTGGTTAGGGGGAGGATTATTTTGGTAGCTTGGGTTTTTTTGTTTTACATTCTTTTTCCTGGTTAGGGTGCTTAGAAAAGCTCAAAACCATTACATAAATAAAACTGATTCCTGTGGCCAGGAACAGGTTTTGAAATTGAGGCTTTTAGATTGTTGTACAATTCTGGCAAGTGACGTATTTAGCAGTGTGGTCTGTAGCAAAACTTTGCCCTCATCACCAAATTAGATATTGATATCCAGTTTTCCCCTAGTTATTGGCTTCTGTTGAGTACCAAATTCTATCTAAAAGAGGACAGAGAAAGTTATGCCATGGGTCAAGTCCTGCCTCTTATAGTATCCTGATTATTTATAAGTTTAATCATATTTGTCATGAATTATGTCTGTTATGGTAAAGCCTTTTTTTTTTCCTGGTCCTCTAGTAAGAAAAAAAAATTATAGTAATAAGGAAAAAAGGCAAAAATAAAATCAGTAAAATGAGGACCATAGAGGCAAAGATTTGTAGATGTGTTAGAAAATAAGCCGAAGGTATTCAAAGCAGCATGTTTGGATTTATTTTGTACATGTGTGGTTTCCTCTCTTTCTCACCCAGTAATTAAATATTTGGTTTTTTTCACTATGTGTACTGTATCTCAAGAAATTTAGTGTCTTGATCCCTGTAATATAATTTATTTAATATAATTCAAATGCACTTCTTTTGGTGAAAATTACTAACAAATAGTCTAGAGATTTATTATCATACTGAAATTAACATTGGGGTTGTTTTTGTATATAATTGTTAGTGCTCTGTCAGCCATTGTCATGGATATTTCACTTTTTTCTTGTTATTTTATTTCTTCTAGGCTTAATTTATGAAAATGAATTGTGTGTCAAGCCTATGGACTGTCCTTGTGACTACCATGGAAGTTTCTTTGAAATGGGTTCAATGGTTTATGAAGAATGTAATAACTGGTAACTTTTCTTACCACATTGTGAACTAAATCTTTTAATGGTCATATGAAACAGCTTCTTCAAGGCCTATTTCACTTGGGAATTGGATAAACTTGATAAGTACTCACTGTTTCTACATAAAAAAAATTCGTTCTGTGTGTGTTTTGCAATTAAGGAAAAGATAAACTATTAAGCTGTTCATGTGGAAGAAGGGAAAATTACAAATATTGCAGAGAATACTGTAATATTTAGTGCTGTTTTTCACTTTGGATTCTCCCTTAAAAATAAAAAGAATCTAGAATTCAAAATCTTAACAGGAGAACTATGCTGAGTTTTTCTCCTGTTTGTATGGTCTCATTGGACATAAAGAGCCTAATGTAATTGTGACAGTAAGCTGCTGTTTTGGAATTTAAGTGAATTTTATGAATTGAAAATAAAAAATTATAGGAAGAGAAAGTGCCTTTTATTGGATCACCTTAACTGAAGAAAATGGATGAGCTTACAGATGTGCGGCTTTTTTTCCCCCCCCAACAATTCTTATCTTTAGAAGTAATAAGATTCAAATTACTTGTTTGTTCTTCTCAGTGTTATTAATCCTTAACTTTTCTAATGGTTATTAAAGAACTAAAAAGAAATGATAGTGGCACTGGGTGCATGGATGAAATTTCACATGATCATGTCCTCATGACAAGCTTCCAGCCATGAAGACAGTGCTAACTCTGTTGTACCCTTGTCTAAGACTCAAGACACTTGGTGCTCATTCCATAGAGAAGGGATGCAGGAAGAACAGCTCAGGGACAGTTGTGTATAATTCACAGAATAAAAATATGAAAACTTTTTGTTTTTATTTCAGCACCTGCAGTGGAGGAAAGTGGATCTGTACAAATTTTACATGTCCAGGTATGTGAAAATCTCAAATACTGTTTGGTAAGTCAATTCTTACTTCAGTAAATATTACTTTTAGATGTTAATATGATGTTTCATTATGTAATTTGCATTTTTACTTCAATCCACACACTCAGTAGATTAAATATTAAAATAGCTTGGCTTATCAGTTAAATGTGTTAATGTTTCTGAAAATCAGTTTTAAGAGCCACAGATCAAATACCCATAATATATAGATGACAGATATTATTGCCCCCTTCTGGGGGAGGAGCTGTTCAGGTATCCTGGCTGTGCATCAGGTAGGAACTCCATAACAAAAACAAGGGAAAGTTTTGTTTCCTAATACCTGGCTGTAATGTAAATACAATTTTATAAGGCATAGAATGTATCAGAGTGTATGAGCTATACAGCAGTAATAACTGTGGAGAATTACTCCACATAATTCTCCACAGAGAATGCTGTCTTTACTGCAGATTTAGGTGCATTACTTATGATGTTTTTCAGCTGAATGCTCAGTTTCAGGAGACACTCACTTCATGACCTTTGATGGGCGCAAATACACTTTCCAAGCCACCTGCCAGTACATCCTGGCAAAGAGCCGCACGTCTGGAACGTTCACTGTATCCTTGCAGAATGCTCCTTGTGGACAGGTAGGAATGCTCCTTGTAACCTTGGTCCTGAAGGGTCTGTTAATTGAGGGGAAAAAAAACATTGAAGAAGAAAAGCAAGATACAAGCCTATGCATGTGAATAGCTGATACTAAGGGAGCTATTAAAGATAATAATTAGGGTGGTCTTATTTTATATTTGACAGTTTCTGAAGCTGTGTACAGGCATCACCAAATATTTTGTCTGCCTTATGTCCAAGACCCATTCTTTCCTCTATTTTGTGTATGCGTTTCTGAGCATGTATTATAAAACCAGGTGTGAGGTGTGGAACACTTGTGAGGTTTTTGACTACAAAGTTTCTTTTTTTTTTTTTTGGTCTTGATAGGGCTTATAATTTTCAGGAAGTTATGTCAAGAACAGGTCTTAAAAATACATACATGGTATGGGAGGTGCAGGTGGCTGAGCTCAGCTGTTTTCTGGAATCAGGCTTTTCTCACTGTCTGAGTTCTACATGTGCATGTAAGGGCAGGATTTGACCCACATTTATAATATAAGTCATGATTACCAAGCTGCTGGACTTGCAGTAGGAGAGAGTTTGTATCTCAGCCAGATTTATGTTCTGTCTCCAATGACATTCTGCAGTAGTTTTTATTTAGAAGCAACTGTGCAGGCATGTGAAGAGTATATAGCCTTAAATATGACTTTGCTGTAATTCTAGACCATCTGTATATATTAGGCCCACATTACTACATAATTCACATAAAATCAGATTTAGAGCCATTGCTTTGTACTTCTGTGGAGGTAACAACATCAGATTTCTTTTTATGTTCTAAGTAAATGTATGATTCTATGAGTCCTTTTGCATTAATGATTACAGTCACTCTTCTCTGCAGTTTCCATTGTTCATGCACTTGAGATTTCCTTGGGGAGATGAAATGGTTATATAAGTTGTCATGCTACACTTTCAAAAGGTGTCTTTCAGTAGTCGTTTTCTATTTCTGCATTTTAGCCTACTTCTCTGGAGGACAGAAAAGACTTAAGTAGAAAGTTAGAATGAAGTTGCAGTGACAAATTTATTTTAATAGAAATTATTTCTTTTCAGTCCAGGTAAGAGACAGGAGACTGAGTGCAGGGAGTCCCCTGATCTCGGAGGTAGAAGTTGGGAGTAAGAAAAATAGTTTAACTGGATAGAGACTAAATATATTTTGAAATTTGATGATCCAGAAATAAATGTCTCTTCTGTGGTTCCTAGGAGAGCCATATCAGGATACCAGGTGAGATACATGAGAGGGCCTAGAAGTTACCACTGTTGAAAAAGTGGATTCCTGGGTAGCAAATAAAATTGCTGTATAACACTCTAGCAGCTTTTTCTCTGTGACCTAGAAGTGTTACAGTGAGGGCTGTGAAATGACATGTTGGTAAGGACATGGACATTTAAAAAAACTTCAAGGCTTTAACCTCTGTGTGCATTATTCTTGTGATCCTGCTAGTATTTCCAGTTTATAAGAACAGGCTGTTTCAAGATGTATTTGGTTGTTGTTACAATTTCCCACTTCAAGTGCATATTTTAGTTAGCTTGGTTTTATTTTAGCAAGTTGCACTGGCTTCGTTCTGTGCTAACCTTGGAATCCTGAGGAGTTGATTAAGTTAATATCATCTCAAGTAAAAAAAAAAAAAAAAATAAAAGAATAGCTGTGAAACAAAATATAAGCATAGGCATACATCCAGTGTCATAGCCTTAGAATTTTGCAGAGTCCAAGAAGCTTGAGAAAGGTGGTTGTGTATTATAGCTGTACTATATCATGGAAGAAAAGCAAAGGAAATCCCCAGAGAAACTGTCTAGGCAGCTTTTTTATCAAAGGAGAGTTGAGGCCAGAGTGACTTCTTGCCGAAGCTCACAGCAAGGTACCTTCCAGTCTGACAAGGTTTTCATTGGAAAGCCCATCAATAGAGCAAATTTTATTTATTGATAAAGTTTATATTGGAAAGCCCCTCAATAGAGCAAATACCTCCTGTGGCAGTGGGCAGAGTATGTATGTGTGTCTCATTCCCTTGTGTTAGGAATGCTTTTCTGTGTACAAAACCGACAGAATTGTGCTTTTTGGCTTAGTTGTTGTGGTTAATTTTTGTTGAGGAAGGTCATAACCAAACTAGTTGGCTTTCTGCTTCGCTGCTGAGATTGTGCAGTGCCTTGCAGTAACTCTTGCCTTCTTCAGCCTGACTTAGTGACTTTGCTTAATGTGTCTCTGTGTCCAGGTGGTTTGTAGGTAAAAACTACCAGATTTTCTTGGCTTTTACTGCATGTTCAGCTTCATACTTTACCTAGCCTTTAACAAAGGTAACCTGATCAGTCCTAGCAGGTATAGATTTCACAGAGGTCTGAGTAAAGCATTCTGGATGTTAACAGTCAGGTTGGTAATCAGCGGATTATGGGATATGTCCCAGGGCTACATGCTGCTGATTTAATTATCAGTGTACAGGTGGTAAGAGGGTAGTGAGAACAGGTTTTGTAGTATAATGCAAGTTTTTGTAGTATAATGTGGGACTTCAGTGCAGCTATTCAAGTGTCTAATTATCAACCAGCTGGTACCACTTGGCAGAGGAGCTGTCTTTCAGTTCCCCAGGCACCCTCCATTATCTTTTTTACCCATTTATTAAAATTAATGAATTGTAATGGGAAGCTAAAAGATTTGAAATGTGGAATCTCATATTTCTTGATGGTTTGAGATTTTATATGCTTCTTTAAAAAAGCCTTATCACTCCCATCTCATTCAAGCTGACTAGAAAATGTGGAAAGAAAATACCTGGGGAGATTTTAGCTTTCTGAATCACAAAGAATCCAGTCATCCTGAGCCTTGGAGTTGGTGACATAAACAGTCATCAGGCAACAAGTTACTCAAAATGATGTGAAATTCTGTTTAAGCACTTTCTGGAGGGAGAATCAGTCAAGTGATCAACACAGCTTAACCTTATCTGAGTTTCAGGTGACAGCCTCACTGGCTTTGTAGTTTGTATGATGAGAATGTCTTCTGAATATAGATTTTTTTTTTTTTTTTTAAGTATCTAGTGAGAGAAATGGCCATTCCTGTGAAAACACTTGCCAAAAGCTGGCAGAGGCAGTGCTGTGAAGGAAAAAGTCTATTTGAACAGAGAACAATTGTCAGGTAGAATTTCTCCTTCAGTTTAAGGCTGAAGGAATAATGAAGCTTTTGTCGAAACTGTGTAGTAATGTATATACTGTGGAGGGTTGTTTTCTTGGTTCTCCTCTGCTCTTCATGCCACCTGCCATTCTTTAACTTCTTAAAAGACCAACAGTATTGTCAGTCTCTAGCTATTGTTGCTGAATGAAATGCACAGAAACCTAATTTCTTGGTAAAGAGGCAAGGCAGCAAGATAAACTACAAGCACATGGTTCCATGAGGCAGATGTCTGTCTTCACTGTCACTCCAGGAGAGCGGGTTGAGCTGATAGAATATCTCATTATTTTTATAATTTCCCATTTTCAAGTTTCATTTTATCATTTCATCTGCTGGTGAGAGATCGCTATTGCATTATTATCTAGAGACAGGGAAATTCTGCATTCGTTTCTTTATCTTTACACACCACTGTGTCCATGGTATTTGAAAAGCTGTCAGGTGATCTGCTCTGCTGCTAGTTCAGCATCTGTCAGAGCCACATGGTTCTATCCTGAGATCCTTGCAGCACTAGGAATGGTTTTCAACAAGCAGGACATTTGCCCTGGATTAGACAAGTCCCAGTGAAGGTCAGAGTTGAATAAAAGCGTAAATCTTTGAGCTGAGCATTCTGATCTCTTTACACCATGAACAGTGCTATTCACTGTATAATTTTGATTGTGCAGCTGTCCAAATCTTGACTATATCTCTCACTGCCACTTTCAGCACTGAAGATGCTTAAAGCTTTACTGTTTTGTCATTAGTTGTTCCTTCACTGGAGGCAGAGGGGCTGAATAATGCAGCCTCCAACACCTCTGGAGGTTATTCCTTGGCTGCAGCACAATTCCAGATCCAATCAGTGTGGAATGTTCTGCAGGGAGACCTAGACTGTTCTTTGACCAAGTGATTTCAGACACGTCTGTATATGTTCTGGTATATAAGACTGTTTTGAATTTGTGCTCAAAATGGATTTGGTAAGAGATGTTTTTGTTGCAACATTGAGACATCGAAGATTTGTAATAGAGATGAGAGGAAAATGAACAAATAGTGTGACAAGAGCAGACCCAATTTTTGTCATTGTTCTGGAATAGCTGTGAAATGGTTACAAGATCTTACAGTGAAGGAGGCTGAACAGAAGAAACAAGAGCTGGGTGCTTCCCCTCTTGTCTGCAGATGGCAGGGAATGGACAGTCTCTTAACTTTATCCAGCCACACTAAGCCAGTGGAAGTAATTTGGTGTCTAAATAATTTGATTTGAGTGTAGTGGGAGTGTCAGAAACCCAATTTCCTTCTGGAGCAATGACAGAATAAAATGTAGACTGGGATTCTCGTGTCTTTCAGCATGTGACAAGGTCAGTGCTGACATGGGGAAGTTTGAGTCATCTCTTGATCCACCTTTGCACCTGATTGTCTTTGATAGAACATTTCTCTTTTTTAAAAAAACCTAAATAATGATCAAATTCATCCTGTAAAGAAAAATGTTAATCTGCTGTAATTAATGTACATACTTTAACAAGCATTCTTTCCATACTGACATAGGAATTGGAAGAACCTGTAGTTATTCTGGAAAGTGCAAGTCCTGTCCTGAAAATTTTGATTGTAACTGAATTCTGTTAATCACCTCTCTGACTCATTTCCATGTTACTTAATAGAGGTATATTTGTTGCAGAGTTTCAGTTAATTAGCTGCTTTTGGTACTGTTGAAATGAAGTTTCACTGAAGAGTCTGGGTGTAAAAAAAGTAAACAGGATTGATCTAGGATTTTTTAAGAAGGTTTCATCCACACTGCAATGCAGTATTCATACTCATGTGTTTTTGTATGTGACATTTTGACTTGGAGAAGTGAAATGCAAATAAGAATAAGCAATGGTAGCAGCAATAAGTAAGCTGGGTCAGTTGGATGTTGTGATATTATATGCTGGCATGATGCTGCCTTTATTATCAATATTCATCTACAGCGCTTACGAACATGTTCCATTCTACAACTCCCCTCAGAAATAATGAACTTAAGTTCTGTTTTAAATAATGATTCACAAGATGTTTGTTTTTCATTAATGCTTGCCTTTAAAATAATGTTATGTCTTAAAATATGCTTTAGAAGAACCTGGATGTATCAGCACACGTTAAAGTACAAATCTGGAGTTTGCTGCACTGCTCTGTAGACAGTGCAGCCTTGTTAGTGAGCATCAACTCAGCCTCTGTGGGCCTTTAATCGAGGTGTCTCATGAATTGTGTGTGTCTTGGTACTGAGCTGTGTGAGAATTGTTTAAATTTCTCGTTCCAAATCCCGCTTCTGTGCTGTATTTGCATAGCATGTTAATGTCATTATTAAACACATATGGGAAATCATTCAGGATACTGATTTTTCTTACTTAGCTGTAAGGCTGCATGTTTCCTAAGTGTATATCAAAATTTTCAATCCCCACTAAGTATAACTTTTGTTGCTTGCTTTGTTCTCACTTGCAGAACCAGGATGGATCATGTATCCAATCTGTCAGCCTTATTCTTAAGCAGGACCCCAAGAGGCAAGTGACCCTGACCCATTCAGGAGATGTTTTGATCTATGACCAGTACAAAATTAACCTGCCTTATGCAGATGGTAAGGAGTAATACATAAGCATATAACTCTTATCAAACACTAGATCAGTATTTCAATGGCATTTGTGCATGTAGTGGTACTGTCAGTATTGCTAACATACTGAAGTTAAAAGGCATATTTTAGTGTAAACATTGTTATTTCTTATGAAATGCTTCACAAATTAACTTTTGGTGTATTTTTTACACTAGTGGTAGGAGTTGTGCAGTAGCTGCATTAGGCTAGCTGTTTCTTACATTAAGATTTTGTTTATTTTAACAAGTCCAAATGCCATCCCTCACATTTGCAAGGTTTTTTAATTCTTGCCTGAGGGGAAATTCTTTCCTCTGATTCTTGAATTGAATAATTTCTTCCATTTTTGTAAGCAACTCACATAAATTTAAGCAGGAAGAACTCTACTGCCCCTTAGAGATGAGCTACAGATTTTCAGACAAAAAACTTCTTTTATTTTGCTTTGAGTTTTTAAATCTCACTGTCCTGGATATGTGTGGCATTCTGCATAGGTATATATGACTATGAGACTCAGTGTTATCTTTAATGAGAGTTTTATATGCAAATCATTAGTACGTTTAGCACATTTGATTAGTACATTTAGTAAATTTGATGTCTAGGCCTTGGCTCTTTGGGAATTTCACAAAAAAGATTTTAACGTAGGAATTATGTTCCTGGCTTTAGGATTAGTTTGTCTTCAAAAAAATGGTCTGCAATGTTCATATCTTTACATGGATTTAATTTAGTTTACCTTTGTGGCTATTTCAGTGAACTCTCAATGCATTTTAAACAAGCGTGGCGAGTCTCACAAGTGTCTTGTTTTGCTCCTAAAGTTTCAAAGATTTCTTCTTTCACAAGAAATCAATGTTTAGAGGAAAATAGGGCCTTAATAGCAAAAAAACTTACATAAAAGTGATATAAACCAACACCAGTGAAATGACAAGAAACAAAATGTAAATTTCAAGCAGGTTTCCTTTGCCTTTCAACAGTCTCTGTTTTTATTCCCCAGAATTTTTTGAAATACGGAAACTGTCCTCTGTATTTCTGCAAGTAAAGACCCAGATTGGCTTACAGATCCTCTATGACAGAGAAGGACTGAGGCTTTACCTTCAAGTGGATGAACGGTGGAAGGACGACACTGTGGGCCTTTGTGGAACCTTCAATGGAAACACAGAGGATGATTTTCTGTATGCAGAGCTGCAAGATTTCTATCTGCCAGTATATGAATATCTGTAGTTGAAGTGGTGGATCAAGTGTGTACTGAAGCCAAAAAGAGATACCAAGAATAATTTATTTTGAAGTTTTTCATTAGTGAGATAGATAGTAGGGTTCAGTTTGCTAACAGAAAATCTGTAGCTTCAGCTACAGGATATCAAGCCTTGTTTTGCTAGAAATATTTTAATATAAAATTCTAGTGAAATATATGTGATGCACAAGGGCTATTTTACCAGAAAAACGTTGTCCAAAATATAGCCTATATACAGAACGTTCTGCCTCTCTGCAAGACTCCATCTCTTTCCAGCTCCTATTTTCTCCTGCGAGCCCTGATCTGTCTGTGACAGAGCCTCCATTGTTCAGTGCCTGCAGACCAGCATCAGGAATTGGCTGCTGCCTGAGCTTCCCATCATTCTGATGCAGGGAGACGTGCTCAGAGCTGCCCGAGCACCACGGCCAAAGCTGCTGTTTGCCCAATTTCTTTGCAACATGTATCTCACAGACACTAAAGAACAAATTGGCTTCCTGTGGATTAGAGTAGCCTAATGGAGCTGGGAGAAGAACACAATATAGGACACAACAGGGTAAAAAAAGGAAATAATAAAAGAATTATATGCTCTCAGAGCAGCTGGAATTTTCTAACTCAAAACTAATAGGAAAATGGAAAATTTTCCATTGTAGTTCCCATTTAAAAAGACAAATACACCAATATTGAAGAGTTTGTGTTACAGATTAAAAAGCATTATCAGGCTATTATTTATAATGAGACTAGGAAATACATAGGCAGCATCTCAATGAAGACATATTATTTATGTAAAGCTACCTAAAATATTTCTCTGTTTGACATGTAGTTTTGTAGTTTATTTTTGACAACAGTCTTCGGATTGCTCTCATGCAGATGTGAAGCTGTACAATATTTGTTAAAAAAGACCTTAAACCTGGGGTCTTACAAATTGTTCTCAGACATAGCACAGATTGTGGTATCGAGGCATCTTGATACAAACAGAACCTGATCCACAGCAGATGTGGGAGACCTGCCATAGGCAGAGGTGTCTTTTGCAGCACCTTCATTCCCAGCTGCTTTAGCAGTGGCCATACTCCTGTTTGCGTGCCTCATGCAATCTTTGCCCTCAAGTAGAATGTTCCATATTTAAATGCACAGTTCTGATCATTCTCTCTGTACAACATTACTGTGCCAGGGTTATTTTGATCAAAGTCTTTATCGTTCAGCTTCTACTACCTAAGCCTCACAGGTGTCTGTTCAATTGCTTTTGCAGTTATACTTCTGGAGGCTGGGGTTTCTTTTCTCTTTCCTACAAGGAATAAAGGGCCTGGGAAATCAGCAGACAGGAAACTATAGGTAGAGGAGAGATTAAAAATGGATTGGATACCACTAAGGAACCAAAAGGACAAATAAGAGAGTTCAAACTATCAGGGCAGTGATGCTCCCTGCTCTCTTATAAGAAAGGAATTTGGTATATTTTGGACTTTTCTTCCTTGAAAGTCTCTAGGAGACATCTTCTGTTTTGTTTCTGAGCCTCTACAAATAAAGGAGTCCTGAAACTAATGATTAAAGTTCTGTGGGTGAGTGAACAAGAATATGGAATAGTCAGAGAAGAGCTTGAATCAGAGGGTGTAAGAACTGAGGCCATTCTGCAAATTCACTATGCCTTGTCTGACTGACTTCTGTTTTGTGAAAGATCTCCAGTTGGAGTAACAGAAAGCACTCCAGAGCTGTTTGGAAACACGTGGAAGACTTCATCGGCGTGCGTTCTTGTGCACGACAGCTCACAGGTGGATCCGTGTGATGTTCATCTGCAGGCAGGTGGGCAGTGAGGGCAAATTCTTACTGACAAATGCATTTCTACTTAGTACATCTGCTGTGCCCATTTTGCTAGTTGGATCAGGTACAGTAATAACCAGTCCCATCCATTAAAGAAATTAGTACCTAGGAGTAGTATAGAGGCTGCTGAGTTCACTCCCCTTAAAAATTCACATTGCGTATTGTTTGAGGATTTTGTAATACTTGCAGAGGTGTTTGAAATACATAATTTTTATTTCTGGTTTGCAGTTACACTGTGTTAAGTCAGACATGCATTAAAGTTTGATACAATGTCTTGTGTTGGTGATGCTGCTAGTTAAGATGGAGCCTCAACACTATTGCAGTATTCATTTTTGAGAATGCTGAAAAAAATCTAAATACTTGGTTTAGTTGTCTACTGTGGAAGAGAATGAGAAGGATAAAGATGCTTATGCTCTGCCAGCCTGTAGAATTAGCTGAAAGAGAGCATCCAGCTGGGATAACATGCAGGTGGCTGATGCTATGAGGACTACAGATGGTCACTAAGTCATCAGTTATATCCATTTCACAATTTCTACCACTTCTTGTATTGACACTAAGCACTTGTAAAGACACAGAGGTAGAATATTAAGGTTTTCCCTGTGATTTCAGCAGTGCTAGGGAATGGTCAAGTCTCCTGCTACAACATCACTTGTCTTTTGAGTATTTACACAATGTGCTGTGTTAAAAAGTTGCATTCTTGGTAACAGATTGGGACATGAATGTTAGTCCTTCTGTATAGATAACAAAGATAAAGAGACTTATGTGGCAGTGATATATAACCACGATTGGTTGCATTGTGTAGAAGACACTTTTTGTTCCAAGTCTTTTTAAACTCCCTCACTGAAACAGTTTTTAATCTGTTATTTGTGTAGCCTCTTATGCAGCGGAAGCTTGTAGCATCCTTACGAAAGATCTTTTTGCTCCATGCTACCCCTATTTGAGTCCTGTTCCCTATTTTGAGCAGTGCAGAAGAGACACTTGCAAATGTGGACAGGCTTGTTTTTGCTCTGCTCTGGCCCATTACGCTCATCACTGCCGAAGGTTTGGAGTTGTAGTAGATTTCAGAGGAGCTGTCCCAGATTGTGGTGAGTTTCGTGTCACTTCTAGACTTAAATAATTAGTGCCTGAGGACTTTGTAGACAATCAGCAAATAAAACTTAAATCAATACAATCTTTTAAATGAGAGAAGGATTAATTCTAATTAAGTGTAACCTTTTGCACACAAGACAAGGTTCTTTTTTTTTTAAAGAGTGTTCTGTCAAGACAGAATTTGTACCAGCGCTTTTAGGGGATTCTTCCTTTATAATTTCCTTTCTTTAGTTCTTTGACTTATGAAACATATTTTTAAAGTAGTCAGAGGGCTTCAAATGTATACAGAATTCAAAATATGTCAGTCCTTATTTTATGGCATTGCATATTTCATACTCTATAGGTATTATTCATGAACTGCATAAATAGATTTCTTTGCCTTGTAGATGCTAGGTTTATCTAATTCTTTAAGTGAACAAGATGAAGAATTAAGTATTAAGCAGTTTTAGTTGGATTGTCTGCTTCTGCTGTCTGACAATCTCTTGGCTTATTCTCTTGCTGTCAGTGACACTGAAATACACAAAGTGCTGAAGCAAGTGTTGAAACTTGGTATTGTTATTTAGTTTAAAATGAATAGAAGATTATAGAATATATGTATCTTTATAGATAAAGGTGATGTCTGTTAACTACTCCGTAAATCCTCACAAGCAAAGGATAATATTCAATTCTTTAGTTTATATTAAATTTTAGTGATGCAAAAGTTATTGATAGGGCAAGTTGGGCCCTCACATATATTAAAAAAAAAAAAAAAAATAGAATTGGAAACCCTATCAAACAACCTGAAATTGACACCCCTGATGTAGGTCTGGCTCTGTTAAGAAGTCTGAGAATCTTTTCTAAGGAGCATTGAAGAACTTAACATTTAGCAGTTATCATCACGTCATGTGATTATGTGTTTTAATGCATGATAAAGAGGATTAAGTTGGTCCAGCTTAACCATCTTAAGCTGGAGTGTCTGTATGTATATCTGACAAGGCTGCCTTGTTTGCATTTATTAGGGCATGAATGGCTGTGTCCACTTACGATGGAATGAGTCACTCAAGCCATTTGATTTTATTTTACTTTTCTGGAAACAAATATAGTTTTCTTACAGTATATTTAAAAAGTCATTGTAGCATTGAAATATGTTAATCTATTAGTATTTCAAGAGCTTCAGTGTTTTTTTTAGTAGAGCTTTATAAAAGACAGATATATAGATATATATAAAGAATATTTAATATGGTATTGTGCAACATCTGCAAAGTAGATGCTTTATTTAAAGATATATGGTTGAATGCACATCATGTGATGATCCACAAATGTAGTTTTTTTTAAAAAATGCTGTAGACAAAAATCCTCTTCATGTTGATTTCAGTGGAATTGCTTGGGATCCGGCAACTTGTTTGTTAATAAAATTAAAATCTACTAATTTATAGCTATAAGGATGTTAGCTGGTATTAGAGATCAGTGTCTCCCATCTAGTCACAATTTTTACTTGAGGTGTTTTTTAATAAGGCTATATACAGATGTGTTGGGGGGAAAGGCTTTCAAATGCAGAGGTACAGACTGTCAGCTCCTGTGAATTGCCTTGTGCTATGTAATGCATTAGGAATCATGTAGGAATACATGTGCGGATGAACTGGAAAAAAATACTGTGTGATGAAGTCTTTTTTTATCTGTCACTTTCTATTAGGAGCAATTAAGATCTTTATTATGTTCTCCCCATCCTTTATTCCTCTCAATTGCTTCCTATTGGGAACTTCACACTTTCAAACTGGAATTTCTTCTCTATGGAATGGCTTTTCTGCCCTGTTTCTTTCAACAAGTTCTTTAAAGTATTTTCATTGATGTTATATCAGCCTTTGAGTTGCCTCCCTCTCCGTTCCTTTTGGTACTCCTTTTCCTCTTGCCTGAGTGATTCTGTGCAGTCCATGAGTGCTTTTCCTGCAGTGCTTTGGGGTCCATACACAGCTCCAAATGTGCTCACAGGGAGGCTGTAGCACATACAGAATTTGATTCTGAATCTGCTGACCAGCCATAGGAGTCCTGGCGATGCTTTAGCCAAAAGAATGGGAAAGTAGTGCTGGATTTCATGGCCTCAGGTTCTTTAGTGATGACCAGGATCTGAAACTCAGCCAGCACTGTTACAGTTTTCCCTGACAATGAGCTGCAATAGGAGCTGCTACCATTTTAGAAAAGTACGGGACTATTTTGGCTCAAACTGGAAAGGAGCAGACAGTGTCAGTTTTCTCAGTGCTTCCCTGCATCCAGTATCCTGGTACGTTGAGTTTTAGGCAGCTTGGAACTGTTTCATGCAGGAGAAATGTGTTTTGGGGAGTAATATGGGGGCATATTCCTTTAAATATTTTTTTCAGCTCATGCATCTTTATGCAAACTTTTTTGCATAAAGCAAAAGTTTGGAGTTTAACTAATGCTCTTAATGAGTTAAGGCAATGCTTATCCACAGTTACAATGTTCAGTGCAGACATTTATAAAATTATTTTCTATTGACTTATTCTGCATTACTAAATAGAAGATATTAATATATTTTAGTTCTTCCTGCCTCTCAGTACATCTTTGTCTATTTCTATTGCAGCCATTGCAGGGATGGAGTAATGAGCTGTGATAACAACATAATAGGTGAGTGACAGGAGAGGGAAAAGATACTTCAAGGCCAACGAATAAATTTCCTCCAGTCTTGGTGGAACCCCTTGTCTGAATTAAGAGAGTGCAGTGTGTACAAAATTAACTTCTGGGAGGGGATGCATAATTATCTGTGTTTGAAAGTAATGCTCCTGCTTTGTGCCAGCCTACTGTTCAAAATACTGTTAGATCTGAGCAACTTTTTTCCCCCCAGTATTTTAAAATACGAACTTTTTCTGCTTGCTGATGCAGATGAGCTTAGCTGTATGATAGACAGCAAACCTCCAGTAGGGCAAACAAAGGTTAGCTTTGCCCCAGATAGTGAGGAGAGGCAACTGAGTGTTACTAGTACTGCTGGATGTTATAATCTCTGTTACAAATCCTTATTGCACACATTTACAGAATGCAGAATTTCAGGTGTGAAGACTAAAGCATTTGTCCATTGTCCCCCAGCACACAGCTGCCCAGCTGGACAGATTTATATTAACTGCAGTAACCCACAAGTGGATCCCGAGCTCAGCAGAGAGAGGACTTGTGAGAATCAGCTGCTAAACCTCACTTTCTCAGCACACCTCCCTTGTGTGTCAGGCTGTGTCTGCCCACCAGGGTGAGTACAGACAGATTTGCATTTTCTGGTGCACAAACATGACTGAGTAGTTAATAAAATTTGGACAATTTGAGATCTCAAAGGCTGAGCATCAATCTTGTGAAGTCTTACCTTGCCATATTGGCTGTTAAAGTCATAATAAATGCTAAACCAAGAGACAAGTGGAGTTAAATACTTCATAATAATATGATCAAAAACCAAGAATATAGAAATGGCATTGAAATAATTTTATTCAATTTGTGTTGTTACAGTAGAATCGTGTTTATCTACTTTTTTTTTCATAAATCTAACCTCTTATTTCAATATTTGACTGAGGGAGATAAGTTTATGTATTAATAGGCAGAATTTTCAGTACTTTTTCCCTCAAAAGGGTCTCTTAAGTCTTGGGGATTTATGCTGGTACTGTACATGGAATCAAGCACTGTATTGTTGAGATAATTTGGATTACAAAAATAATAATCTGTTTAAATAATGCTAGTCTTGATAGAATCTAATTTCTTAAGCACATAGCCTGAAGTTTCTTGGTGTTATAATTCTGAAATAATTTGAGCTGTTGAAATAGCTCAGCTGAAGTCTGTGCACTCATACTGAGTGATGTGTGGATATTTCTACCTCATGATAAAATATTGCTGCTCAGGATTTTGGGATTTTACTTTAATACTCAGAAACATGAAATGTGAAATGGTTTTTATGAAATTGAACCTGTAATTAGTGGCACTCATACTATGATATTGAAAAGTGCTAAGGTAGACTTGGAAATTAACTGGAGGCAGATATTGTCAGAATTGCAAAAATTCACCCTCTTGGACAGGCTGGCATCTTTCAAGGCTACCTTCAGCAGCACTATATGGCTGGCAGCTCAGATCATATAAACTTTTTATTCTCTGCTATTTTGCTGTGCATAACCTCTGAGCTTGTGATCTCTACTGCTTCCTGGTGGAATTTAGGTCTAGAATGTAAGCAATTAGTTTGGCCTTTTTTTTTTTTTTTTTTTTTTTTTTTTTTTTAGCATTGGAAGACTCAGTGTCAAGTGTTGCTGATCCCAAAACTCTGATAATCTGGTTTTATGGTTGTAAGAGGAAAAATGTTATGATTTCCTAGGGACAAAACCACAAAATTAAGATAATTTGTCTTAATTGTAACTTTAGCAAACTGTATTCTTTTCTACAGTATATTCCTGTAGAGATACTAATACAAAATTATTTGGGTTTGTTTTGTTGGGTTTGTTTGGGGGTGTTTTGAGGTTTTTTTTTTTTGTTTTTTTTTTTGTTTTGTTTTTTTTTTTTGAGGACGTGCAAAGAGAGGTTTTTTTGTGTTTTCAGGATTTTGCCCTTGGTACTGCTTAAGGCAGATCTAGGAAATAGTGTTGCAAGCCTAAGATTTGAATTAGGAATGTCAGTCTGTACTGATGAAGTAGAAACTTAAGTCACTTACAAACTTGTCAGAACTGGTGTCTTTTAAATATTCAGCTCTAGTAGTCCTATATTGATTATACATTTGTTTTTATTTGAGGTTGCTTTAGGAAAAATTAAGATGATCCTAAAGGTGTATGGTTTTCTGGTGTGCTTTTGGAAAAGCAAGAGACTTATGCTGTCTATTAACTATGCAGGTTTTTTATTTAGGTAATGACTTGTAATTGTTTAGGCATTTTAGTAAGAGATGCATTTGATAGAAGTTGGATATGAAGAGTCCTAATGTTTTAAGTCAGTAACTGAATTCACACTACAATGTTTCATGCTGCAGATTGAACAACTTGGAGTCAGAGACAGTATAGCACAGTAATGAAAAATTTAAAATTAATTTTTTGGAAGAGAAAAATGGGTAAAATACCATCACCTTTATACACTACCTCATCCTGTGTTCGTGTCCTTTCAAGCAGTGCAGGACTCAAATGCACTGTGAATTTATGCAACTTGGAAATCCCTTTTCTAGGCTATCAGTTCTTAGTGCTGAAATAGAAAACTGAGGTGACATTGTCCACTTTAAAAGGGTAAAAGAGCCATGGAATTTCTTTGATCTTAACATTAGTCCTTTACCTGAAATAATATGTTTCATTCCTTTGTTCATGCTTTTGTTCCTGCTTGAGGTCTTGCAGCAGTTCATCTTGATTCATCACATGTGCGCTAAGCTGATTAAACTCATTTCATTGCTACTTAAATGGCTTTGATTGGTTGATTTAGGTAAAATAATTTTAAAAGTGAGTGCAGTAAAGTGACTATTGTGCCTAAGAAAGCTCTTGGTGGGAATGTAGGAAGCTACAGTTTTTTGAGGCAGAAGGACCTTTCTGATCTGCTTTGTGGGGTGATTATTCCTCAGTGATATCCTGAAAGGCACTTAACGAAAGGAACCTCTTTTCATAGAAGGAAAAGAAGTGATGTTAAGATTTCAAGGGGGAAATACTTTTGTTTTGCAGTCTATTTTTGTAGTATCTGAAAACTGAAATGTTCTTTCAAATGCTTCTCTGCTTCTAGCACTCCTTTTTTTGTTGTGCTTACAGTGCATCTGTGCTTCATTATTTTCCCTCTGCAGTGAGTAAATCAGATGCAAGTAACCATGCTTAAGTAAATATCTGAATTTACAGGAGATCATTCTATGGGTTACAGTTTTTATGGTACAAAAATTGATTATATACTTTGCATCCTTTTTAGAAGCTGTTGAAATCAAACATTAATTCTCCTGGAACTCACTTCCTAGTATTGATTCACCCTACTTTGCCTGACATATTGAGTAATTTTTAAGACTTTATTTATATTTTTTTCTTACTGGTTTTCATCTGTCACCATTTAAAGGGAAATGTTCTATATTTTCATGTTGCATTTCAAAAAGCTAAGTGATACACTTTCAGTGCATATTTTTTCAAGTACAATATTTGAATTACATTTTCTGCTTCTGGATTTCTATGAATCAAATTATTTTTTCCTCCTCAACGACACCAAATGTGCATGATTTGACATGGAGACAGGATCCTTAATCAGACTACAGAAGAAATCAGACTTTGCTACTACGGAGCAAAGGAAAAGGAGGGGAATAAACAGTAGTATCTTCCTACATTTCTGTGTGACATGTTTGCTCCAAATGGACATCTGTTGGTTTGTGCCTGTCGTATTCCATTGGTTTTCCATGGTTTCTAGTCAGACCAGTAATGATCTCCAAAACAGTTTCTGTTCATTGTTGCTTACAGCCTGCTCTTAGTGTTGCTGTCAAGAAAAGCAGTCACTTTCCTGAAGGAATGACTTTTGTTTTCCCACTTGCCTCATTGACAGGATTTTACCTTTTGACTGCAGCATAGGTTTGATTTAACTGATCTGTACTTTATAGAGTGAATGGCATAAAATTTGTGCTATATTTGCAATATATATATATATATATATATATATAATGTTTTGGGGGTATTATGGTTGGGGTTAATTAGTTTAGAGGTATTTTCCAACCTTGATGATGGTGATTCTAGCAAGAGCCCTGTCACATTTTTGAATACAGTTGCTTTCATTTGGACTGACTCAGATTGTTTAATGACATACATCAGTATTTATTTTAGATCATGTTATCCATTCCTTTTTCCATTAGCTGAAATATTTAGCAATTTCCATGCCTATTTCATAATATTTCCATCTTGCTGGAAAAACCAAGGCCCACCAGCCTCTAAATATGAATAATAAATACAAATTCTGAGAATTATGTCAATAGCTTGAAATACATATTGTCCCAAATGCAATTAGTAATGTTTTTTGCTTCTGTTTTTGCTTCTATTAGATCTTCATTTTTTCCCTCTCATGTTTTTGTTCCCCCTAAAAAGCTATGTTAAACCAACCACTATACAATTATCAAGCAGTCTCTGCTAACTTTGCAGTATTTCGAAACTTCCTTTTCAAAATTTTCATGACTTTTTTTTTTTCTTTTAACTCTGAATCATAGCCAAACTTCTCTTCCTAATCATGCTTATAGAGCTGGCTGTAATTTTCTCCTTGTTTCAGTGACTTTTGTTTTCCTCAATGTTAGAGCTGCAAAAAGTTAATTCTCAGCTGGCTGCTAGCAGGGGTTATCTGTACATCCAGGTCACTTAATTTCTCACTGTTCAGCAACATCCAATACCCAGCTTGATGTTTTATTGAGTGTCAACAGACTGATCTTAAAGAAAGCAACACCACATTAGAATAACTAAGAACATAGTGTGCTCCATAATTCCAAGTATGTGTATTTATTTCTGTGGCCTGTGAGTATTTAAATCTCAAGAACACAAGGCAACTGTGTTGAAGTTCTCTTTTTTCCTTGCACTATATGTTTAATTGTTTAAAACTATGTGGGCCACCTTTTTAAGCAAAATGCCTGACAAATCTTTTCTTGTGTATGTTTAGGAAAAACAAAACCCGTCCTTCTCCCACCCCTGCACTCTGGAGACAACTAATTATTTATGACACAGAAGAGCATATTTTGTGCTAAAAACTTGACTTTACTGAATTTGAGAGAATTTAACATAATTAGAATTTTTATGGCTTTCTCTTTTTTTAATCACTTATTGCTCCAATAAAATAGATGAAGAGTTAGTAAACTCAAAGCTGTAATATACTGTAATTGTAATGAAGTTTTGTAACTAAGGAATATAATATCAGATTTTCCTTCTAAAACTTTCTCAATTATCACTGTATTTTCTGTGGAATGTATCAAGTGACACGTAACAAGCTGAAACACATTATTGGGAGGTTTTATTAAAAAAAAAGTAAACTCATCACTTTCTAATTTTCATAAAGAAAACAATTAATGTTATCATCTTATAAATGTGCCTATGGACAAACAACTCTATTAATGAAGAATTAAGATGGGAAGAATACAGATGAGCTTCAAATAATTTTAGAAAACTACTCTTTATTAATATAATTACATTGACCATGTTGTGTCTTAAAATAAGTCTCCTTAGATTCAATAAAAATCCTGTTCTTTTGGTGTGTGTTTATATAATTTTTCGGAAGACCTACTGCTCCTCAGTTTAGACTCAGAATTTACTATTATTATCAGTGTGAAAATAAAACCTGTTTTCTGTCCAAACCTCACTCTTCTGGATGGCCCTGCTGCTGCTATCAGGCTAAGTATTTTAAATCTTTTTGTTTAGGCAGGGCTTTGGAGAGGTCTGTTGAGATTTAATGTTTTCCAGGCAAATGAGGATTAATCCCATTGGGGGTACCATCATGGCTATGCACTTGACTATTTTCTCAGGAAAATACAAGTCTCTTACAAAGACTGCATCAGTATTCCAGGAACCAGTATTTATCCACATCAGATTTTCTGCTGGTTTCTACTTCTGCTGGCAATAAACATAGCATGCTAAATGTGCAGGAGCTAATTTCCAAAGAAAACATATATTGCAGTGCCCTTGTAAGACAATCCAGTTCTTTTCTATCCTTTTCTGCTTCACAGACTTGCAAATTTCCTTGATGTGTTCTTGAGTTCCTTATTTCCTCTTGCAATACTTACAAACCCTGTTGGTCTCCTACTTTCTAGTTTACACCAGCTGCAAATAAATGTCTAAATATTTTTTTCCTGTACTTGTATTAATTGACAGTATCTTTTAGGCTCTGGGGCACCTGTTCATAAGACCTTCTGCTTTCTGACTTGTTTTTAAGAGAAATATTCAACTCTGTCACTTAGTTCAAAGGAAGACTTCAGAGTTACTTACTGAAATTCTGGTGCTGGTGGTAGAGCTGACTGCAGGAAGGTTTCCAGTCCAGGGTGAAACTGCCAAAGAAAATGACTATCTCAGTTAAAGCACCAAAATCATGTGTTAACACAGAAGGATGGAAGGGTACAGTGAGAATAATCAAAACCTTCCAAGCATTCTACAAAATTACTTAATATTTTGGTATAACAAACCAGGGCAAAGAGGAAGAGGAGACTTTAAGAAGCTCCCCAAATGAAAAAGAAAACAGCCATAATATATTAACTCTCCTTGTCTAGATGGTGAGTGGACCCTAATAAAGGCATGAGGTGCTGTAGTAATGTTACTAATGTTGGATTTTCTCTCAAAATTTACCTTGTTTTCTGGTTAGACAAGTCAAATGCTCCCTGCTGCTTCTTTTGTTTATTTTTTGCTTCCCTTAAACTCTATTACAGACCTCTGTAGGACGATTTGTGAAACCTTCAGAGAGTAAATTTAATGTTGCAGCAAAAGTACTTGTGGCTGCATGGATCAGTTGAGGATGGGCTGTTGCAGGAGAGAGGGGAAGGAGCTTGTGCAAGACACAGGCTGTTGAAAACTGCTCTGCTGGACCTTGGGAGAGGGATTTTTTTTTTTTTTTAATTGTTTTGGTCCAGATTTGGGATCTTTGCAGAAGTAGTGTTTGATGAGTCTCAGGTGATGTTAGTTCTAATGGTGCCTTTACCAAGATTATTTACATATTTCTGTGTGTGTGAATGCAGACAGCTCTAGATAATGAGATCATAAAGAATGTGAATGTTCAGCAGGGTGAAGTGGGATAGTCATCCTTGTGTCTTTGCAGTTCATTGTAGGCTGGACAGCAAGTATAAGCATCAAGAAAAATGTCTGATACTTCAAAGCGGAGCTGTGCAAGGCCTCTCTGTAGGGTATTTGTGGTGAATTCTTAGATCATTGAAATCTATCCATTTGCTTGGCTTTGCAAGAGAGAAAGCTGTTATCACTTTTTTTTTTTTTTTAAATCCAGTGTAATAACACGAGGAAAAAACTGCATTTAGTGTTACCTTGTCAGTGTGATCTCTTTGTGTCTGAATGTGCCCTGTTCAGTTCGGAGCAGCTTTAAACCAGTGGGAATTTCAGTCTCACAGTTGATTGTCTCCAAGTGACACAATGCTTGAAATAAGTATGGATTACAAAGAACACTTCACCTACTCTGGAGGAAAATTGCAGTTTTTCAGTTTAATGGGGGAGGAGGGTTTATGGTGTTCTGCATGTTCATAACCTTTACAGAGATGTAAATTTCTGTCTAATACATAACACACTGAAGAAGAGTTTAAGTCAAATACAAATTACAAATTTCTACAATGTAATTTGTAAAATACAAATTACCAGCTCATTAATATGAGCTACTGAAATGTCCTGTGATAAATTCAGGGATGAAATATTTATTTTTGGATAGCAGGGAAACAAAACATTGTTACTCTGTTTGTCATGGATGTGCCTCACACCTATCACATCTTATCCCTAGTGCCATATCTTGCCCAAATGACAGTGCTAAACACCAGGAGCAATGAATCTGTTAGGAACACAGAAAAACCTGTACAAAATTTGTATTACTACAGAGAGGTACTGGGATTCTAAGCAAACTTACCTTGAAGAAAAAAATAAATTATCTGCCCAAAAGTACCATTTCAAGAGACTGTTTTATTTCTCAATAGAAATACGTTTCAAACATTAGAAACAAGGATAATCCTAGGCTGTATGGTGCCTGTAAGGATTCCTTTCACTATGGAACTGGTATATTAGCTGCTCTGGATTCTTGTGTTGTAGGGAATGGGGCAGGATCAAAACCACTGGGAGCTGCAGCAGTTGGAGTGAAGGACACTGCTGCAGCTTGTCAAGAGTTCAAGTTTCACAGCTTTCATTTGAGAGATGGATTTGTCATCACAGCTGTTCTCTCTGTTATGGGACCCTCAGGTCCCATATTGGTATTGCTTTGCTTATCCAATAGCATTATGATTTTTGTAATAAAATGGATTGGTTTTTGGAAGAAATGCAACTTTCCTGGGCTCAGTGAAATGATAGCTTAATTAATAAAATAAATCAAGGCTTCTGGTGTATTTCATGACCTTTATTTGTAGAATCTGCTTGAGAGTTCTCTTTATCTCTGTCTCTTTACCTAATTTCAGTTTTTCTGAATATTATCGAAAAGCCACGAACATTTTACTTTAAAATTAGGACTTGTTGCTCTGTTTAGTCTTTCTGGGCAAGAATTCCTCTGTTCTTTCTCTATGGCAGCAATCTTTTTCCATTTTTTCTTTAATAGTTTTCCATTTTTTATCTGCTTGTCTAGAAGTTCTGTATAAACACAAATTCACAGCATTAGTCTTGAACTGTAAACAGCCATGCATATGGTTATGTATATACATATATATATACATACATATATATATATATATAATGCAAATATCCCTTGAAGACTATGAGGATACTTCTGCCACTAAAATTGATTATAATTGTAATTGCTTGCATAAAGGTGCAGAAATAAATATTAATTAATACAATGATTTCATGTAGCCAGGATAACTCTTTTGATATTGATTAAATTATTCAATTTAATCAATATCAAAAGCAAGAGGTGAAACTACAGCTATGGAAAAACTACAGTAAAATAAAACTCTTTCAATTAGTGAAAGGAAAGAACAGGACAAGAAGAAATCCTCATTTAAAAATCCTTAGACTGAATATACTTCTAATTTTGAAGAGTAAGTTTACATACCACTAGAACAAAGGGCTGTGATGGCTCCCACATCTCGTGGATTATCTCTTGGCTTGAGTCAAATGCAGTTTAATTGGCAGTTACAAGAAATTTGGTGAAATTTAGAGAATTTCTAGAAATTCTTAGTTTCCCTGACCTTAAAATTTATATATTAATGAGTCAGTCTTAGAGGGTTAGTGATTAAAAGGTTAGTACCCGAAGTGCTGGCACTTAATAAAGATAAAATGTTCAGGCACCTGTGAAAGCAAGATACCAAATTGCTCATACACAATTCTTAACAAAATGGTGCCTTTTCAGTTTCAGAAGACTTTAAATGTTGAGTCTCAGTTAACAAAACTGGTAGTAACTTGAATGTTTAGGAAAATACTTTTGTGCCTGGATACCAGCTATACTGCTGCTGGATGAGTGTTTTTTGTTCTTTTTATTTGATAGTCTTGTGAAACATGGGGACATGTGCTTGGATGCAGATGAATGTCCGTGCTCATGGAAAGGAAAGGAATATTTTCCAGGTGACAAAGTAATTTCTTCCTGTCATACATGGTAAGTGGAGATCTACTTAAGTGATGAGTTCATTTTAGTTGTGTATTTGTAGGTTGATTATTTTTCCTTCATGTGTTTTAATCATAAATTTCACAGCAGATTATGTAAATCATCTACTTTGACTTTGTATTTACATTTCTTCAGAGAGCTGTTAAAATTGCTTCAGGTTTTGTTGTTTCAAAGCACTTTACATAACAAAATAATGGCGATTTGGGATCTTTTTAGTTTTTAAAAATCTTGATTTAGATTTTTTTATTATTATTGTTATTTTTGAGGTCATGGCTAGTATTCCTAAAGTACAGGTAAAATCCCTTAAATATTACACCTGAGTGACATTTTGGAAAGCTTTTTACTTATTCATTTTCACATGAAGCACTGAATCTGAGCAGTCTAGAGACCAGAACTTAGACCTGTGTCCTTAAATCTGCATCCAGTACTGTGTTAAATTAAGGGGAGTACCGAGCAGCATCATGTACTGAGCAAAGAAACTGACAAATTGGTCACTGATTTTGTGTGCGTGGATAACTGATGAATCAATCAGCATTCAAAGGGAGAATTCCAATAGGAAAGGGTTGATAGGCTCCTTTAAACACATGCAGACACCTCTTCCCTTTTTCCCTTTTGCTATCCAGCGTTGTAAATGCAGCACGTACCCTGCCAGGTTTCCTCGAGCACTCTCAGTAGGATGTGTTTTACTGCCACTTTAATAAGCTGCACAGGAGTGTGAAAATGCCCCCCACCTACCTGATCCTGAAACAAGCTCGTTTCATGGCAATCTCTGCCTGTTTTGCTCTCTGGCCAAGGCTGAATGTTGCAGGCTGGCACCAAGCAGGGCTGTTTGTTTTACCAGAGCCTCAGGAAAACCAGCTGTACTGCCGAGCACCATGATGCTGTGGCAGAGGTGTAGCCTCCAGGTTCTCAGCAGAGCAGTTCCCTTTTTGTGCCCTCCTTGTAGCTTCCCAGGAGCGTTTAACCGGTGTCCCCTGGTGAGCTGCTGCTCCTGGCCAGCACCGCTCAGAGTAGCCCAGCCCAGGGAAGGCTCATCCCGTCAGCACCAGGCTCTGCCTTGTCTGGATGTCGTGCCCCCTCCAGCCTTGTGCTGACTGCCTTCCTCTGCCTCTCGTCAGGTCCTCAGTAGCTGCTCTAGAAGAGATTTGTAGCCCTTTGGTCGACTGGTGAAGCGACTTACAAGGCATCTCCACTGGGCAGGCAGGTAAAGCGACCCGGGTTGTTCACCCCCTTGTTTCCAAAGGCCTCTCCATTTGGACCTGGTGTGGGATTGCTTGCATCAGAGACACTTTATCCCATCTAATCTGTATGAGACTTCACCAAAGGCAGCAGCAATGGAGGCAGAAAGACACTGGATATTTAGCCTTCTATTTTTTATTTTTTTTTCCCCCTGAGGCCAGGCTCATTATTTCATGCACAAACCCATAATGTTGTCATGGCTTTTGTAGTCTTCCATGTCCAGAAGCAGAGACATATTAAGTGGTAATGGCTTTTTGGCAGTTGTTCACGAATAGAGGAGAGCCTGCAACAAGCTCTGCATGATGCAAAGCGTAGGAAATGTGAGTCTGCTGAGTGGGTATGCAGGGGTGTATCTGATGTGATAAGGGAAAGGTGCAAAGCATGAGAGTGCTTCTGTGCAAACACACACACTTAGGCACTCATAGAAGTCATCATATCATGGGGTGCATTGAATTGTTTGTACTGATATTAAATATCATCTTAGTCATACTTGGTGTAGTGTTAGCAGCATAAATGTTGATATGATTTATCTATTGAACAGTGATGTGACAAAAAAAATCTTCGTAAGTTGGCAAAACTCCCTGTGAACTGACAGGAACTTTCAACCCAAGCTCTGGGGTCTGACTGACCTGTGGCTCTAGGTTTCCCAAGTTTTGTTTTCAGTTCAAGGACCTGAAATATTTAGCACATAGTGGCAACATTAAACACAAAATATTCTAATGCTGAGGCTACCAGAGCAACATTTTGATGGGGTGCTGTGCCAGGTAAGATGGGCTTGTGCAAGGAGATGTGTTGGGCTGCTGTCATCATGCTGAGACCATTGAGCAACTCCTGGTCACTCTCTGTGGGCTGCTGAATTGGGCCTCCTGTATTCTTTAACAAATACTTACTGGAAATATCCTGCATAAAAAACTATTTGAAGTTTAGAAGATGCTGATAGCTCAGCTTTTCAACTAGGGCTCTCTAGATTCTGATAACTAAATGTTAGTTCACTTAGTAAGAAACATGCATGGTATGGAGAACTTCAAAGACGTTGTGTACCTCTTAATCCCTTCCTTCTGACTATAAATGTGTTCCTGAAAAAAAAGAAAAGGATCTCCCTAGGCTTTACACGCTAAGCCATGTTTCTGCACAGGCCCTTAAGGCATCAGCATATGGAGATTTGAATAGGCCGTGAGTGAAACTAAAACCTCATGTCTCAGGAGAACACGAGAAGCAGCACTTAGTCTTCCAGTCCAAACAAATTTCTTCTGTTTGCCTCCCTCTCCATCAGCCTGATGAGGTTCCTTCCTTTGCTGCTCTGGGGTGACTGCAGTTAGCAAGTCCTGCTGCTATTTCCTTGAGCTTTGGTGCAGCAAACACTTCTCACATGTATTTTTAACTTATTTTAGCCATCTGCTTAGTGTAGTGATACACTTAGAGATGCAAAATGCAAGCAGTGGACCAAATCAGTGGTGGGATAAGCAAAGTCTTGGAAAACCTGGACAGTGGTTCCATGTAGGTTCAACTTAATTGCTAAGGGAACTGGAGGAAACCTGATGCTACCAGTAGCTGGAGCTGCCTAGATTTTCTAGAAATTTGCTGCCCTTCTGAAAAAAGTGGTGTACTGGCACTGTGATAGAAATATGAAGCAGAAGTTATACTGACAAACATTTATACTGAGAGAAAGCTTCATACTTCCTGCTACTTCAGTATATGAGATGTCAAATGTTAGAGATTTATCCAGTATTGCTGTAAGTCACATTAAGACTTTAGCTGTAAAATATTCAGCATTCATTTAACAAGGAAATTAAAAATAGTTTTTTTTAAAAGTAAACTTAGGCATGTACCAAAATTATATCACATGCTGTATTTAGTTTAACCTACATTTATAAAGATACCTATACTAAAGCTATGCCAAGGCACCAGCTTTGCTGTGTTTATCAAGGAAAATTTAAGTGTCTGGGTCATTTAGGAACCTAGAAATGAGATTTCAATGATTGCTTGTGGATGCAGGAAATGAAATTCTATCCATTATTTGTAAAACTTATCTAATTTCTGAAAATTTTATTTAGATTGTAAGAGGGTGATTCAGAAAGAGGCATAATATCCAATGCTTCAAAGCCTCCTATTATGCAAAAAGAATCCACTTCTCCTATGCTGCAAAGGCAATTCAGCAGGGTCTGAGCAGTCGTTCTCTAGATGTTGTGGTGAAAACCCTTTGATGTTTAAGGTGGCCATAGACATAACTTGAACTGTTCTAGAAGCTCCTAAATTCTTAGGCTGGTGTTTGGGGCTGATGACATCTGGAAAAAGAGTAAATCCAACAATGTGGTTCTTTTAAGGAACCTAAGCACCAAAATAATGCTACTGTAACATTTCCTTGGTAATTCTGTGAAATTCTTATTCAAGGACAGAATGCATGGAGATTATAGGAACAGGAACATGCTACTTTTTGACTGTAAGATTCAGCTTGTACAGAAAAAAATGCTGGGTGAGAAGCTGAAAAAGAAGGCTTTCTCCTTGTGGCGTGTTATTGGTGTGCACTAGAGAATAAATTGTATCACGTTGCGTGGGGTTTTTTGTTTTGTTTTTTGTTGGTTGTATTTTTTGGGGTTTTTGAGACTCGTTGTGATGCCTATATAGTCTGGAACCCTTAAATTCTCATGGAAGAAGAAACTTAGACTGTATGAGTTTAATATGCACTTTTTTTTTCTGGGAGAATTAATTGATGTGTTCTGCTTCTAGCCAACATTTCAAAATGCTTCTGTCCACGCTCCTCACACTTGCTCAGCTTTTGTTTCTTTGCTTCTCAGTGCCATAGCTGTAATAATTTGTCTGGGTTTGCAACTGATATTCCCATAATTGGTCGTGCATTTTTCAGCATTTGCCAGCATGGATCGTTCCAGTGCACCTTCCAGCCTTGCCCGTCGATGTGCACAGCGTACGGGGACCGGCACTACCGGACCTTCGATGGACTCACCTTTGACTTTGTTGGAACTTGTAAGGTTTACCTGGTTAAGGTGAGATTTTGGTGTAAAACTGTGGCATTCACGTTTTCTGAAAAAATCCCTTTGCCCAGGATTTTTCTTCTGGGAAGCTGAGAAGTGTCAGAGAAAAAAGGAAAACAATTCTTACCTCATTTGCTTCTCCTGTGTTCTGCTCAAGGGTGGAATGTGTTTAGAGATTGTTTGACTGGATTCTGGTGTGAGTTGTTTTCACTCTTTGGCCAATCAGTGCCAAGCTGTGTTGGGACTCTGGAGAGAGTCACGAGTTTTCATTATTATCTTTTTAGCATTCAGTAAGTATCCTTTCTGTATTCTTTGGTTTAGTATAGTATAGTGTTCTTTAATGTAATATATTATCATAAAGTAATAAATTAGCCCTCTGAGAACATGGAGTCAGATTCATCATTCCTTCCTGCCACAAGGGTCCCTGCAAATACAATGTAAAACCTCCCTAAAACTGGGTTTAAAACTGCTTGTTAAAATCTGCCATTGTACTTACTTCCTGTCTGTGCATTTTATTGAGTCCTACATTCTGTTTTTTCATTTTTGGCATTGTTGAGGCTTTGAATCATACATAACACAAACATGCTCTGATGTTTCTGCTAATTGAACTATGTAACAATACGTATATTTATATTAGTATATTTAAAAATTGACTTTTTTTTTTTTCTTCAGGGTATTTCTTCAACCAGTCTTTCTGTCATTATAGAGAATGTTGACTGCTTTAGTACTGGAATCATTTGCAGAAAAAATGTTTTCATTAATGTTGGAAAATCTCTTTTAGTATTTGATGATGAAACTGGGAATCCAGTAAGTTTCGTTTCTTACTGCTGGTCAAAAAGAAGCACGTGTGCTTCTCTGGGTGTTTCTTCCTTTCATAAGCAAAAACTTACTGTGCCACTTCAGTAGCAGAGGTGTAAATATCTTTACAGTGAAAGCTGATCATATCTGGATTGTTCAGTGGAAACCTTAAACAAAATTTTGTCTGTATTTGACAAAAATGTTAGAGGAGATAATTGTAGCTCTTTTGTTTAGACTTAATTCCTGTTTAATATCTTAGGAGAAATAAAAGTGTTTTGAAGTCAGTGGTACTTTTGCTATTAATTCCCCTAAGAGCTGAGTCAGGTCTGGAATGTATAGGAGGAATATTTCTATACAGTTAAAACATCCCAACAAATTACAGGGCCTGTGGAGTATATCCTCCACAGCTGGAATTTCATTTTTTGTTTTGGCCAAACTGCAAACTCTATTCTGTAAATGTTTAGTATTTTAGTATATTAGTAATTATAGTATAAATAGTACTATTTACAGTTTATAGACTGACTATAGAAAGGAAGTTTGTGTAATTAAACCAGGCATCTTAGTCCATGCAACAAATAAGTTGCAGCCTGATTGTTAGTGGATTGAGAGGAAAATGCTTTCTGTAAATAAGATTGTGATCTAGGGAGATATTTGGACAATTCCTTATTTCCAGAGGCTGCTTCATGCGTAGTTTTTACCTATTCATATTCAAAAAAAGCATGTGCCTGTAAGTGAAAATCATAATCAGGAGCCTTAAGACAATTCACCTACCTCCCAGATTAATCATTAGCATTCTAATCTTCAGTCCATTACCCATCCTATAAATTTGATATAAAATCAACTTTTAAAATTGGAAAATCATAAAAATACAATACAGTTCACATTCAAAATTCAGGCCCCTTTTGCTTAAGCATTTTTCCCCTCTGTGGCCTTCTGTCTGTTTTTGGACATGTCTGAGAACCATGTTGTTAATTTTATTTAGTTGTTTCATTTCTTCTCAAGTGAACATGTTATGAAGACACTATTTCCATTATAAGCTCCCTTGTTTTATTTTGAACAGAGCTTATCTAGTTACATAGATGGCCTACAAAAAATGCAGTTATGGAAAGCTGGATTTTTCACTGTTGTTCATTTTCCTGATGAACATATCACCATTCTTTGGGATCAGAGAACAACAGTTCATGTGCAGATGGGGCATCAGTGGCAGGTAGGTGGAACTCAGCACTCTTATTCCCATTTCTTTGAGGTGTTTATGTAAGTCTTGTTAAATGAGACATAATTATTCAGAGAATAGACTGTCACAAATAAATTAAAGAAGCATTCAGCTACATTGTCAATGAAAATATTCATTCTCATTGATCTTTTTTAGTTACTGTTTTCTGTATAACTTCTGTAACAACAGAGACAAATATCTTTGGGGCAAAGTTTTCCTTCAGTACTCATTCCTTACATTATTTTGCTGAGGCTTGAAAAAACACATTACTGGCTAACAGCACCCTTTTCTGAACAAAAAGATCTCATTTTTCAAAGACTTGGGGATACATAACTGAAAGGGCATAATAATGACATTGCCAAAATAAAATATCCTCCATAGCTTTGTTACTGAATTCTTCTGACTGAAAAGCTGAATTCTATTGATTAAAATTTAGCTAAAAAATGATCAAAATGTGGCAAATTTATAATTAAACAGCTGAAGACGCAAGTTTTGAAAATGGTCGTGGCTGACAGCATTTCGTCTTGAGAAAATACCTTTATATATATATGTATATATGTGCGTGTGTGTATATAATTTTTTTTCAGGGAGAATTGACTGGATTGTGTGGAAATTTTGATTTGAAGACAGTAAATGAACTGAGGACTCCAGATAATTTTGAATTAACGAACTCACAAGAGTTTGGAAACAGTTGGACAGCTGTAGAGGTACATGGCAAAAAGAGAATGTGCTTACTAGTATATTTTACTCATAGATTTTTTTGCTGTTAGACCATAAAATTAATCGTGAATGAAATCAGAAGTTCATTCCTGTAAGAACCAGTCAGGCAGCAATACAAATGACAATATCAGTGGTTCTTAAAGATTTCATAATCTGTTAAAGAAAATAATCACCTTTTTTGCTGCAGAGTGTTTAGAGAGTAAAGAAAGATGCTGCAACAATATATTGAATATTTTTGATTACATTTGAACAGTAAACTAGTGGGATTTCTGTATAAGGGAAGAATGTTGAGTTCACTTTAGAGTGTGTTGACAGTTTAGCTGATTTGTCATAGCTGGGAAACATTTAACTGTAGAACCATAGCAATGGAAAGAAAAAAAATTCTGTGTGCCTCTCTGGTACCTTTGATTAGACCCATAAGTATGTGTGTTTTTCTGTTGCTTTCAGTGGAACGTTTCTTCAGGTAGTGTAATTTTCCATTTCTTCTTCATTAGCATTAGATTTTAATTCCGTATCTTAGTCCTGCTTTAGTTTCATAAATTATGCATTTGTTTCATGTTTTGCATCTCCCTAAAAAAATAAAAATCACAAAAATATGCTTTGCAAGTTCAAAACACAACGTGGTTATGAAAAAGATTTCTCACCTTCATTTTGCTTCCCTGTTTAGTGTGTTGACAGCTCTGACATTCGAAATCCATGCAGTTTGAACCCCCTTAGAGAGCCATTTGCCAAGAAGGAATGTGGGATACTGCTAAGTGAAGCATTTGAAGCTTGCCACCCAGTGGTGAGTTGTAGTCCTGTATATAAACAAGTGACAGCGAACATAGCACCAGAGAGAAAGGTTATCCTTCAACGTGAAGCTTTTTGTTATTAATGAAGACAAAAATACACCTAATTTGGGATGTTTTCTTTTTAATCACAAGTATTGTTTGTATAAGCATAACCACTTGCTTTTAATGAAATGTGTTACATGGCATGCCCATTTTTCATGCAGATATAAATAAATGTGTTGAATGGGCAGTGTCAGATGGAGAGAACTGATTCCTAGAAAACTTACTCAAATGTAAATCCATGTAGAATGTGTAACATTTCAATAAGAAAATTAGCATTGACAGTTTTCTTTGAAATTTTGTCACTTAAGACAAGACTCGAAGATACTGTAAGGAAAAATGACAAATTCTTATGTGAAATTGCCTGATAATATGAAGAGAATATTAACCATTCACATGTAAAGAAGAGCTTTCTGTCTACTTTGATTTCTTACGTTTTATGTGTGTCTGACTTCCTTAAAATTTCTGGGTTTTACTGATTTAGTAAACTGATTTAGTTTTACTGATCAGTTTAGTCTTTCATTTCACAGTTTTTCACAGATTTTTAGGGCTTAAATATTATGAAACAATATAAAACACAAGTCCACGTCAATGTCTTCATGTGCCTGTTCTTGATGGGTCATTGATTTAATTGTGTTGCTAAGTGCTGGACACGATTTTATGGTGTGTCCCAATGAACATTTTTTCTCATGTTTCAGGAAGCATTGAGAGTGAAATCTTTAATTCTTCCAAGCTGGATGTATTGCCTTTTGGAAGAGCCATAGCTTTGTGTCGAGGTGCTAGCTGGCAGTTCCTGTAGGGATGTTTTTGATAAGTGATATTTTCATTTCCAGATCGACGTCACCTGGTTTTACTCCAACTGCTTGACAGACACTTGTGGCTGTACCCAAGGTGGTGACTGTGAGTGTTTCTGTACAAGTGTCTCAGCTTATGCCCATCAGTGCTGCCAGCACGGGGTTGCTGTGGACTGGAGGTCTCCCAGAGTGTGCCGTAAGTTTGTTTAACCAGCACTGCCAAGGGCTGCCCCTGCCCTGCATTCCTGGCAGCCAGACCTGAAAACTCAGTCACCCCAGCTGACCTGGGGCCATGAATTGAATCTAAGCCTCACTGGTGCCTCTCACTCCAATTTCATTCTGATTTAGCTGGTTTATGAGCTTTTTCTGTGTTGTGAGTGATACTTTTGTACTTTTAAACCCTTTGTCCTGTGATGTGAAAGGAGAAGTCATGGGAAGTCTGTATTAGGGTACAGCATGCGTCCTTCAAAGCAAAGGTGCAAAGTTAACAGCTCAAGGGATTTCCATCTTCAGGAGAACTTCACTTATTAATAAGATCTAGTAAATATATGTGCCCTATTAGACCCCCCAGAGCAAGTGTGAAATATAAATGTCTTCTGAAGAAAAACAAATCAGTTTTTAAGCTGGGCAGAGGATTCCTCTCCAACAATTCTTAGAATTTACAAAAAAAAAAAAAAAATCTGAGACCCTTTTCTCTAACACCTAGTGGAAATGCCTAACAGAAGGCTGTCCTTTCCCCAAAGATGCCATAAAAGAAGGGGAGATGCAAAGAAAGCATTTTTCTAACTTTGCAGTTGTACAGAGAGAGTGTGCAGCTTGCTCAGGGTCACACAGCAAACTGGCCTCAGAGTGAGGGGGTTGCTCTTAACTTTTGATGGAAAAGGTGTGTTGTAATGTGAAGCTCAGTCATAGCCGCTAGAGGTCACAAAAAGACAGCTGAAGGTATGTAAGCTTAGTATTTCCTGCTGGGAAGCAATGCTTTATTTACATCTGCGTAGTTTAAATTAGTGTTTTATCTAAAGAACAGTAAATATTTGGCAATAACTTTTTAATACATGTTTGTATATGATGTAATGTGGCCAAGCATTTGGCTCACATCTTAATCGTTAAGGGGAATAGAAAACCTGTTTATCTACAGAATGCCTGTAACTGCATATTTTTTCTTTTTCTTTTTTTAGCTTATGATTGTGAATATTTCAACAAAGGTAAGTTCTAGAGAAAGTGAAAAAATATCAATGGAATCTTGGTTTTTTTTTCATTTAAGTTTTAGCATCTTTGTATAAAAGCAATTCTATTACTGAAAACATTTGTGAATGTTATGTTTAACTAGTCAAGATTGTTTTGCTGCTTTATTTTGCTTTTTTAAAGGCTTTTAATTTCATAATTTGTGGACCTCTTCTGAGAACATATGTCTAACTAATTTTCTTTGCAGTGATAGGTGATGATTAAACATTTAAATCATTAATTAATTAATGGACTATCAACTGGAAAGTGCTAGTGGCGCTACTTGCTAAGGTGCAGTGCAGTTCAAAGCTGAGCAGAGCCCAGCGGGTTGTTAAATCACTGACAGGCTCCTGAGCAGCCTCCAGAGGGAGGTAGCTGTTAAGCTATGACAACTTTTTGTCCCCAGAGGGGAATAACTCTCCTTTTAGTTCTGTCTGACCTAGGCTGGAGTTCCTGAGCAGCCAGCATTGCTGCTGCATTGGAGGGGCTGTCAGTGAGGGGTGCAAAGCTTGGGGAAGGTGCTGGACCGTACCTTGAACCTGCACTGGGTGCAGCAGGGCTGTGTTAGCCCGGGAACCCATATTCAGACTATTTCCAAATCACCCTGCCCGTGTCTGCACAGTCAGGTGTGGCACACACGGCAGCCTGGTGTGAGGATGGGTCAGGGCTCCTGCTATTTGTGCTGCAACTCTTTATCAAGCTCATGTAGAAGCCTGTCTACCCACATGACATGGAGTATTTTGGTCTTCTGATCAATATTGCAGCAGCTCACTCCTGGAAAGGTCTCAGAAAGGGACAAAGTTAAATTAGGACAGACTTATGCACTCTGCCAGGCCCAGAAAATATAGCCAAGAAATGTGCTTTTTTTTCTTACACTGACTCCTGAAAAGATTTTGAGTGGAGCCAAATCACTAATACATGGGAATTTTATCTAAATTACCATTTAAGACTTTCAATAAATTTAAATAAAGGATAGTTGAATATAAGAGGTGATTGAAGGTTTTTGTTTTCTTTTTGGTTTGTTTGTTTTGTGAAAGAAATACAGTCTGATAACAGACAATGTTAGTGCAGGTAGACTGCAAGTGCAGTGCCTCTAACATTTGTGGTAATAGTGAAGCTAAATGATCACACATACTTTTAAGATGTGTTCTTACCTTTATTTATTAGAGAATTCTCACTGACAGAAATTAGTGGAAATAGTGGAGATTTGTGCATGTGACCAGCCTTGAAATAAACGTGGTTGTTTTATACTTCTTTCTTTGTATTTTTGTACTCTTTGTACTCTTTTGTACTCTAATCCAGCTCATCAGTATTCAACATATAAAATTTCAGAGCTGTCAGTGGGCAAAAAAAAAAATCATCTCCATGCTGAAGATTTTCTTGTCTACATAACTTAGAGTAGGATGACCCAGAATTACTTTGTTTCGGAGATGGGAACGTTAAGAAATTGTCTTAGACCAGAAAGAAGTTTTCTCTATGTATTCTCTGTATGAATCCAGAGTGAAATAGTTCTAGTCTTAGAAGAAGCAGAGGCCTTTTGTCTTTGATCAAGGGAAATCCTCAGCTGGTGGCTGTGGTCTCTCAACTTTTGGATGGGCCTGAGATGGGATACTTAAACAGATAAGGATATTTCCAGAGCAGTAGATGTTTTAAGTAGTAGTTTAAAACAGGTTTTTTTCAACTCCCTGCACTGAAGGTAAGGAGGTATTTTGTACGTGTTTAGGTGAGCGTGGACTTGTGTCCTAACTGGCTACTTTTTCATGCCATTAGAATCTAAACCTCTACTTATAATGTAGCATCCTTAGGATTTCAAAACTCTTAATAAGTGTTAAGGTTTTGGAGAACCAGAGTATGAAGGCAAGTTGCAAATCGCAGTCCAAAATTGTAACCTGTTGGAACAGATTGTAAGAGTCAATGCTATTAACTTCCCAGTTGATAGCTGCAGTTATCTCAGCTGTGTGCTTGCCATGTCCTGGCTTGTGGGTAAATGGTAATGAGGTGAATTGCTCAGGTGAGGCATAAAAGGCCTAATTTTAACAGGGAACTTAACAGAAATAGTCTCAAACATTTAAAAATAATCTCTAAATTATTTTTCTGCAGTAAAGTTTGATCTAAATGAGAAGGTGTGGCATTTTAAGGTTTATAAAATAAATTTGTGTATTATTGGCTTTTTTTACTTACAGATAAAATTATGACCATTCTTTGCTTATGATGCAGATTTCTTCCTGTCTTACTTCTCAGTGGTTATGTTTGTATCCTCACTGTTCAAGGAGTTTCTTGATGCTTGTTGACAACAAACTTTTATTCTCTGCAATATGCCTCATGCTTTGGACATTAATAAAATAGATGTTAAAAAGTAGTAAGAAGTGTATAATCAGTTCAACCATACAAATAAATAGTTTAGAAGGATCCTAAATCAAGTAACCAAGGGGCCAGCTAACTTCAATAAAATGATTATGAAACCAAAGCAGATGAGAGGGGCAAAAAGCAGAAGCTGATAATGAATCTTGAAAATTGGAAGTAGGTATTCTTGATAGTTTTCAGAATATGTATTTTCTAAAAAAGGTTTGTTTTCGTTTTCTTTCAAGTTTAGTGCATGGCACCTAGATCTATTTGCAGAGTGGTGAGATGTGTTTTTCTTCATGTGCTCTGCCCTAATGCTTAGAGCTCAAGCATTTGTGACACTTGACATGAAAAATAATTGGTTTTTTTCCCCCACAGCTCTGGGAAAAGGCCCATACAAACTGGTCAGCTATTTGGATGGAAAATTTGTAATAGCAGCGAAATTGGTGGACGGCATTGTTTTCCCCATGAAAGAAGATGATATTGTTCCTGGGCATGTAGTGAGCTTTATGCTGACTTCAGGACTTTATAAACCCAAAGCACATGGTAAAGTCATAATAACCTAGCATCTTAAATAAGACAGAGCAAACTCTGCCCTTGTTTTTAAGAATAAACCTGGGTGAAAAAAAATCCTTGCATTATCAGTCGGTTGAATGTACACTTTAATGCCTGCCAAAATTTTCTTGGGTGGGTTTTAGATTGTATCTTTGTAAGCAGTTGAAAAGCAGCTGTCTCCCCACACCCCAGCCTTCAGAAGCACCAAACTGGTATTGCAGCCCAGTAACCTGTGTGTTGCTCCCTTTTGCCTCTCTTCTGGTGGAACTGGGAAAGAATGGGAGAGAAATGTTGCAAGGAAAGTGCTCCCCACTTGCCTTGCTCTGCCATCATCACTCATTGTCTGCCCACACACACAGAGATGCCCTTTGGCACTGGCTGAGGGTGAGTGCTGCAAATCTGTCTCCTTTGGTTCCCAATTTAAGTTTTCCCTGAAGGAAACTTCCTTCTTCTTTAGAAGAAAGATATGTTGCACACCTTCAGACATGTGCAGAAAGCCTACAAGAGTGTATCCATCATTTGGAACATTAATTAAATGCTGAAGTTGTCTGCATACACAGCTTCAATGCCCACAGAGACTTGGGTGTCTATGGTTTTACTGACCTTGGATAGCCTGAAAGTGGCTTTGTGTCACTTAAAAAATTATAAGTCTTTGATTACTGATACTGCTGTCTGTAGAACTGACACAAGAGCTCATGTAACAGAATAGCTGGGGATAGGTTTCTTTTATTAGTCATAGTTTTGAAGCACTTGTACATTGTGTTCAATTTATGTTTGGAAAGGGGAGGTCGTTCCTACTGTTCTGTTCCTCTATAAAAATCTCTTGCTCAGAATTTAACCTGGCAAATAGAATTTATGCCTTGTGGTCCAGTTTGAGCAAATGGCATTTCATCATTTGGTCATGAGGAATCTGTACAATCAATATGATGTATCATTACAGGACGTTCATGACTCTTTGGTACCTCATCAAAATGCATGTCTTCCCAGTTTCAGGCATTCCTGGATAATGGAGAGTTTGGGCCATTAATGCACTGATTGGCTGTACAGCAGGTGTTAAAAATCACACTGACTGTCCTTTGTTACTTATCAAAGAGCTGCTTGCTACAGACAATTCATAAAAAGGCATTCACTAGTACTGCTAGATTTTTCAGATTATCTGAAGCTTTTATGCTCAGAAAACAAGGTGGTCTTCCAGAAGTGTTATGCCAGAATGCGATAATGTATCCTTTTAATAGAGATCATTTGTTTTCTAAGCATTTTTTTTGAGAAATGCTACCCAGTCCTTGAGGGTTAGTTGATTTTACAGTAGATTAATGGCTGTTTTCAAGAGACTAGCAGAGTTTACAACAAAATAGAATGAAGTAATTCTGTGAGCAACAGATGCCTGTAACAGGCTCAAGATCTGATGCCCTGCAATTGGCTGTACAGAGGCTGCTTGAAATCAGAAGTACTTCAGGGTAAGGTATCATGAGGGAACATTTGCCAGAAAGAAGACTTTGCTGTAACATTCTTAGAGGGAGAGCTAGAGAGCTGAATGAAAAATACAGTTTTTTAATTTATTTTTAATGAAAGGCTAAGCTTTTAAGCTATCAATTTCTGATGGCAAATGTTAATTTAAAACCTAGTTAGATGGAGTTGAAGTTTTTATTAAACAACTGGCTTAGTAAAAACTGTGAATTAAGTTTTGCTTGACTGCAGGGCTGTATTCCTTTATCCTGGTGTGGGCAAATGTCTCAGTCTCTTTGTATTCCTGTTGGAATCTGTAGAGTATTTAGAAAACTCAATCATCATCACAATCTAGCACTCTGCGATCCATACATAGTGTATTTTCTTACAAGATTCAGGCTGTTTTCACTGGTAAGGCCAAAGTCAATCTTCATTCCTCACGCTACTAGTATCAGTAGTGGTACATCAGAATGAACTTGGTTTATTATGCAGGTATCAACAAATAAGTTCTGTGTGCTCTCCTGTTTTGTTTTTTTCAGATTCCAGCTTGATTTCATTTGAAACAGCTGAGAGACCAAATTATTTTCTTCAGCTGGTCTCCAATAATACTCTTGTTGTTTCTAAATGGAAAAAATCGGAAGATTTTCACAATAGGTCTACGTTTGTCATCCACAAGAATACGTGGCTGTCGGGATACAGTTCCTTTGAGTCATTTGCAAAACCAGGATTCTTCATCCATATTTCAGCCTCTTCAGTTGAGCTTTTGAAATACCATCATTCAGAGGAGTTCAGACTGTCAACCCTTTTTAAACTTGTAGGTAAGTAATTATACTTGAGTGTTATGAGCAGCAGTTTTCTCCCTGTGCAAATCCAGGCGAAATGGTGTTGTTATTTTCAGAGGTGATGAGATTACTTACCTCTCCCCTACATTACCAGGAGCTGTGGGAACTCTGGGACATCCAGGCTCAAAATATTTTTCCCTGAGCATTGTAGTGAAGATGAGATTCTGTTTTCTTGTGAAAAGCCATAAAATAGCTTAATACACAATTTGGTTTTTTTTTTTTTAATTTGCCAAATGGATTTGGAAATACATATCCTAATGGATATTTTCTGGGCAATACTTGCTGTGGAGGTGGTAAGAAAATTCTTTAGGAGAGGAACATTCATACTCACAAATAATGGATTCACAAAGGGAATAGAAAAAAACAGATCTCTAAAGTTTAAAGTGTGTGGACAACATTTTCTCTCCTTTGCCTGCTGCCAAGAGAGAGATTTCTGTACAGTGGATTCTCATTTTTAACCTTGTGGCCTCCTCAGGAGTAATGCCATCCAGTGCTAAGGACATGGCCTGTAGGCTACACCTTTCAAAGCTCATTTTCTCCTGAGAAATACCTTGGCTTTTATCCACTACCCACTCAGAGATGCTGTGTCTGTTGGGATGTTAACCACTGTCACTCATCATCTGGTTGGGGGTATTCACCCCTTTCTGGGGATACAGATGTTCATTTCCCTAATGTTTCTTGAACAGATACAGCTTTTGAATACAAAACAGGCTGCTGTGAGGGTGTTTCTGCCTACCTGTGAGACTCCCATTCCCATAATAGTTACGTTCCACTGAGACGTGAGGATCAGAAATGAAGATATTCGTCTGAGGGTCTTTTCATAGGAGCTGGCTGCAGATGATGCTCCTACAAGAGCTGATGACAAAACCACACACACACAAAAAAAAGTCATTCAAGATATTTATATTTCTGTGGGTTTTGTTTTTGGGGTTTTTTTTTAATATCAGTAGGGAAAAGAAATAATAAGGATTACAGTTTTTACATATTCTTAAACAAGTGGAACCATGCACTGAAATGAAGGTAGCCTTGGAGGTCAGGAAAAACATGAAAGAAGTTATATTGGCATATAAAATAAAGCAAAGCAGATCATTCATGTAACTGCTCTTTGCTTTAGCTTTTACTTGCCTTAACACATTAGATACATCAAACCTATTCATTTATGAAATTCAGTGACAACAATTACTTGCTGAAACCAAGTATAGTATATATAATTCCAAAATCACTGCAAGTGATTATGTTCTAAAACTTTTTTATTGTACTGAAGTTTTAAATGCATTAACTATTTATTTATTTATTTATTTAGCAGAAGTATTTTAAAAAGTGTTCCTGGCTATACCATGTTTTAGAATCAGTTGTTCATTCTCTGAAATTGAAATGCGTTTTACAAGCAAAGATAAAAAAAAAAAGAAATATTGTATCAAGTAAAGCATGGCCTGGCCATGTTTTACAGTGACCATGTTGAATGGTGGCACAGACAAACCTGAAGCAACCTCTGATTTCTGTGACAGAAGAGGCCAACTGTATGCCTCGTGGAGCTTCTTGTTATCAAAACACTGAATTAAAGTGTTAATGGTGTCATTGTGAATCTGCCGATGTTTTGCGGTACATTACGCTGACAGCCTAATGCAGCTGTTGACTGGCACACTCCAACTCCAGAAAAACGACAGATTTTGTCATTGCCAAATGCCTGTTGCCTCTTGACAAATGCTTGTAATCACAGAGCTGTTGAGGTTTTTGAGCGGCAGAATTAGAGGGCTAATGCTATTACCGGGATGTTCGTACAGCATTTCAAGCAAGGCACTTTTTTGGGACATAACAAAAATATCTCCTTAGTCTTTTGTCTTTGAGGGAGGAATGAAGAAGGTTAAAGCATGTTCCAATTCTCAGTGGTCGTCCATTAACACAGAATGGTATGTCTTTTCAAGTGTGAAGTCTTTACCCTCCAGTCATTATACCGAAAAATCCTATTTATGCCAATGGAAAACTAAAACAATTTACCTCAGCAAGTGGGATCAGATCAAATGATCAAGAGGTATTTCATTAATCACCACATCCGAGGGCTTGGGTTTCAGAGTTTTATAAGCAGAGGAGCATAGGGCTCCAATCTTTCTCCAGTGTACTTTCACAAGGGCCAGCCTGCTGATGTAGGGTAATTACATGGTCTAAAAATACAGCAGCATTTGTTTAAGTTAATGGAAAAGTTACACCAGCTCCAGAGTGCGCAGGCAAAGGCATATTGGGTTTCCTGCTGACTATTGTAAATGCTTTGCATATTAGATCAGAAACTCTTGAAGCGGGAGCAGCTATTCCTGCGGAATCAGAGGATAAATATCAAGAGCAGAATAATAGGCCCAGTAAATCCCCTTGGCCAGAAAGTTCCTCATGAGACTTCTGGGTGCTCTGTGACGCACATTCAAAAGGAAGAATTTTAAGTGACCTGCTCACCACAGCAGTAGACACATGTCTGTTTCAAGTCAGCTGACGAGTCACTTTTTCCAGTTTCATCGCAATAAATATTGTCACGTTGGGATACACCAAGGTTGGGAGGTGTTTGCCACGAGAAGTCACTTCAGCTTTAAAATTAGGTTGTTTTCATTATACTTTGCTTTTTTGCTGTTCCTGTTCCCACAAACATTTAAGGAAATTGAGTAGAAAACTGAATTTTGATGTGTATCGCAAGAAAATGTATTTTTGCTTTCTATTCAGGAATTTCTTTGCTGGCAAACAAATTGGTATACATTCAGTCAAAAGAAAGAACACTCTTACACTTACCAGATGGACAAACACAAAGGTGTAATGTAAGAGCCATCCATTTCCATTTGAGATTGCTGGGATATAACTTCATGTAGGAAATTTATGACCTTTTTATGGATATAGCTGCTATTTTCTTATACCTTTTAAAAATAATATGCTCAAACTAGTCACCTTTCATCATTCATGTAATTGTCACCCATTTAGGATCACTATGAGTTACTTTTGTCTGTTATGAAAATGTGACTTGCCCCGTATAAATTCTGCAATGAAGTATTTAACAATGCTGGTTACATGCTTCAATAGCTAACTTGCTGTAAATACAAAGCCTGTTTTAGAGAGAATTTTCAGCTAAAATTAAAATATCAAGATGCACTGACTATAGGCACACTGCACAGAGGCATTTTTCAATGTTTAAGTTTGATACAGAGCACTTCTGATCTTGGTATTTTAATTAACTCAGTCACATTCAGAAACATGGTGCAAAACTGAAAATTAAATTCACTTTAATGAAAAAGTTTTTTACAAAACTATCTTTTTACCTTAAGTCAGTTTTACACCGGCTGTTTTAACATCAGTTTACTCTTATCCACTTCCATTAGCAGAATTAATTTTCTGGAGTGTCTTGCTTCACTCATAATGAGTTGCTGTTGAGTTTGATTTGAGCTCGTGTGCTTTGTTGGCCCAAAAGATCTTGACTTGGGGCTGGAAAATGCTGAGCAACTGCTGCTGTACCTGCAGATCCCATGTGTGCCACTGAACACATCTGCTTGGTAGCTCCTGCAGTCAGACTGAGGTTTCTGTACAATAACATCTTTCCTTTTTTCCATCTTTTCCATCTTTCCATCTTTTCTTTTCCTTGTTTTTCCACAAACATTTGCCCTACCATTTTTGGCTGAATAAATAGGAGGAGATTAAAGGGTTGTGTTAACATTGTAATAGTAAACTGAACCGTACGTAGATGAGAGGTAGGTAATTGCACTTTGCTTCCAGTGATGTTTTGGCTGCGCACAAAGTTTAGTTTTTCCAGTGATATTTGCTTACATTTCTCATTGCAGAAACTTAGAAGTCATGAGCAGGGTTTGTTACTCGTTTGTGTGTGTTAAGTGAGTAGATAGGATTTCATGTTTCTAAACTTGTAACTGAGGAGACAGGCAATCTAAGTTACCAAGCAGAGTTTTGCCTCCATTATAAATAGAACTAATTCTAAAGCAGTTTTTGTGCCTACTGGATTTTTAAAAAAATTTTGGGTTAAAGTAGCAAAAAAGGAAAAAGCATCAGGTAAGAATGAAAATCCAAATACTTGATTTTTAAAAATTATTTTTTAGATGTTTATTTTGAATACAACCTTTTATTAACACTGGAACATTTCAAATTTTAGGGTTTATTTTTAAGTAAATAGCCATTTTTTTGAGCATAACTTGGAATTATTCATATTGGAAAGATTCTAATAATGGCAGATTTTGTCCCTGTGACATAAAAGTCAGCATAGAAAATTAAGGTCAGGAACTTGTGAACAGTAAGAATTGCCAACTGACAAAAAGAAGTGGCCAAGTTGCTAAGAAAGGTGGTTGTGGCTCAGCAGAACCTCGTGGTCTGTCAGTGATAAAATAGCAAAAATCTTCATTAAATGGTAGCTACTTCTGTTGTCATCCCAGTTTTATTTTTGAAAGCTGTGAAGAAGGAAATCATAAATTACAGGGAAGAAAACGCTTCTCCGGTGTTGAAGAAGGTGTGAAAGCAGAGGAGTTGGGAAATGTCTTTTAATCTATTAAAAGCCACTGTCACCCAGGACATCAGTCACCATTTTGGGAAGGATTTGCTGTGTCACCCAACAGGAGACAAATGCTGGTAGACTTGACAAGGAGACACATGGCTGTCTCCAGATGCCATGACGAATCCTTTTGAGGAACATATGCCTGGAACGAGAAGCTTGATTCATTGTCTGTAAACTGCGAATCATTGTTCTGTGGTGAGGGAGCTCTGTTGCTGCTCAGGCTGCTGTAAGCTCGTGTTACTGCTTGCTGGAAGGGGAATTTAAGTATTAAAAAAATGGGAAGCATGTGGTGGAGGTGGCTGAACAGACCAAGTGACCTCAGCCACTCCTCATGGGGCTTCCCCTCAAGGCCCTTCACCATCTTCATTGCTCCTTTGGGCACTCTCTAGCAGCTGAATGCCCTTTTTTTATATTGTGGTGACCAAAACTGCACACAGGGCTTGAGGTGAGGCTGCACCAGTGCAGAGCAGGTGTTTTTGTGTTGTTTTTTGTTTTGTTTTGTTTTACAGTGGCCTGATCCTTGGGATGCTCAGGCATTCCAGAAGTTAGGTTGACAATAGTGAAAACTCTAAATATGATGAATTATTGAACTGATGTTTTCTTAATACTCTAAAGAATTTTCCCACAAGTCATAAAAAACTACAGATATCCAAATACTTGATTTTTCATAATACCTTATGAGTTTACAGAGACATCCTCAAAACTTTCTGAGAAAAACGAAAACAATTCATACAAATACTCAGTACTCAACTCTTGCTGTGGTTATTTGGTGTGCTCTTTAATGTAGTTTGCACACTAAAAAACACCGGTATAGCTTGGCCTCACATACTCCATTCTCTAAAATATCTTGACTGGAAAATTACATGTCCATTGGTTCTACAGCTCTTTGAAAGTAATTTTTTATGACCAGGTTCACAAATTCTTCTGTTGTACATAGCCGTTTTTGTAGAAGTAGAGACAAAATTTGTGAACAAGCATGACTTCATTCTTGACTTGAAAGCAGCATTTTTGAAACACTCGACAAATGCTATGCATTTATGTAGAAATTCACCCTAAGTCCTACCAAAGTATGCAACACCACCAAACTCTGAGAGCTTAAGCTGTAGGAAATCTTGAGGAAAATGTGGCTATCATTTCATAGAAGTCAAGGTTCATTTGGAGAATGGGAGATGGTATGTTAATCCCAGCACTTGGAAGTGTTTATTCATGGCCACCCTTCTTCTAAATTGAGAAACTGTCATTCTTCATCAGGTTACGGTCTGTCTTCTGCAAGCTTGTACTTTTATTGTGTTTGAAACTTACTGTGTGGTTAAGGGTGAGTTCCGTGGCCAGATTTAAAAATTATGGATTTGTCTCCTTACTTAATCTAGGGTAGACTAATAAATGAGATTTCCTACGTTCACCTTGGATTTATTTACTGTTATGGCTGCTTTTGGTGATTGCCTATGCCAACAGGTCTCTGATACGTTTTGTCTTTCTGCCATATATCTTCTTTTTTTCCTTAAACCTTGTATTTCTGCTATGTGTTTTCTTTTGTCCTTAAACCTTACCACTCAACAAGTCCATGCATACAAGACCTCATACATCAGTCACCAAAATGTATGGCAAAAATCCCCTTCCTCCATTGGATTTATGTAACTTACATTGGTGTCGTTGGAAGGGGTCACAGAAGAATTCAGTCACATATTCTTAACTTCTTATGAGAACATAATAAATGCATATTCTACTGTCATAAGAATTGCATTTTTGAAAGTACTGACAAATTACGTTCCGGGATAAAATGAGATGTAAAAGGGGTAACACTAGATGGCAACATGCACACCCTTTTGTCTGAGTTTGATTTCTATTTTTAAGAGAATTATTTGTATTTTAAGAGAAGACATTAATGGTTAATAATGACAGAGGTAATTAATTATGAATGCAGATTCCCTAAATTACAGGATTAAAAATTTCTCAGTATCTTCATGGAAAATTTTACTGTCTTCAAGAAGATGTAAAAGAGCTACTCCTTGTATCTCAGTCAAGCAAAGATGAGGAAAACTTAAAAAATACTTCAAAACCACAAAAATGGAAATTCTTCCTAAGTAGTTAGCATTTTCTTTCTGGTGTTTAATGTAAACGTTGTTTAAGAGCAACAACTCTTTGTGGGCTGTGAACAACATTGCTCTGAGCTCAGGTTTAGGAGTTTAGAGGGGATTCTTATATGATGGTGGTTGTCTTCTGCAGGCATGATTGTACAGTAAATGTCACTGCCCTGCCCTGGCTGCCGCTAGAAGAGCTGGGGTGGGCTGTCATAGTGCAGGGACTGAAATCCAGATATGTCATGTAAATCTTGCAGGTGTTGGAAGAGCCACTGGGCTAATCCAGCATTGTGCTGGGGATCTGTTCTGCGTGGAGGTGGGAGAAGGATGGAGTGCATTTAAATTTGTGTTTCTGTCATGTGGCTTGAAAGTCTTTCAATAAACACTGTGTGTAGATGCTACAGCAAATGTAAGGCATGCCTCTTAGTGATATGTATCTGTGAGTGCTTAAAGGAATACAAGAGTAACAGATCTTTGTTGTTTTTCAGATGTCAAATTTAAGCTTCTGTCCCGTTCTACGTGTGAATGGCGTTACGATGCCTGCACAAGCCCTTGCTTCAAGACATGCAGAGACCCTTTGGGAAAAAACTGTCAGACAGTACCAAAGTAAGTGTATTTTTATAGAAATGTGTGTAATTTAGGCAAGACACTTAAGCAGGATGATAGGAGTACGAGGGACCAAATGTACAATTAAGATATCCAGACTGTATTCTTGGGTAAGGAGGTAAGCGAAAGATGAAAGCAATGGAACAAAACCTGCTCCTGCAGCCACATAAACTTGACATTTCAGCCTTTAGTGTACTGTCAGGTTCTGGAATGACTGCTATATTTGTAACTTTCATTTTGGGAGTATTACAGGGTATTAATGAAGAGAGGTTATCACAACTTTGTTTCAAACAGTTGTGCCCTTGCTTTTCCATTATGTCATTGCAGCAGCTATGTCTGGCCTTGCTCTTTCCTGTGAAGTGAAATTTGTGCTAAATCGGGTAAAAGTGACACTCAGATTTTGACATGTAAAAATAGTGTGTATTTCTTATTCACTCTTGAATCTGTGACTGCTCATTTCAAAAGCTGAGTGTCACAGAGTTCATGCTTTCCCTTAGATCTGAGTGGGAGTGGAAGCATGGCAATGACATTTTGAAGGAGTACACTGAGGTGTACCAGATTGTCTGCTTAAACATACTTTATATGTAGATTCTTTTCCTGAAAATGAATGCTTGATCCAGAAGATACTATTCAACTAGTTAATACTGATTGTTTTTCTTTTAGAGTGGAAGGATGCATCCCTGCCTGTCCTCTCAACATGTTGCTGGATGAAATCACTCAAAAATGCGTGTATTTTGAAGACTGTATGTTTGAAAACTTACTTGTATCATATATTAGACTTAGCTTAATAATTAATTAGTTCTTTAGTCAAAATTTCAAATATCAGTGCCTGCATTTGTGTAACTGACCTTAGTTATGTGAACCTTGAGCTCACTAAACATAGATTTTAGTTAAAATAATTTAATTCCTCAAAAATATGAGACAAATTTTAAACTAAGAAAGATGGTCTTTCTTCATAAAAGATTTCAGTAACATTAGATGTCAAGCAAATGATTTATTGAATTTATTTTTAAATTTGTCTATGAGTGTTAGAAGTTTAAAGGCTATCGAAAAGATCAGTTATACGAGTTAACCTAGAACTCTGGTGGCTCCATCGCTATAATTATTAATGAATTTCAGGCTGTTTTCTTGTGTCTGTTTTCAGGCATTGAACCTGCAGATGACAGCCCACCTTTGCTTCTCAGCACTCAAACCCCAGCAGTTCCACATTTAACGCCAAGTGCAAGTTTGGCAGTGATCAGTGGAGAGGCAACTTCATTTCCTGTACCTGAAGCAAAGGACAGGGAAACAACACTTGCTACAAAATTGCAACTCACAGCAACTACAGGGAAACTGCAATTTTTGACTACTACATCCAATAAAACGCTTCCAGCCAAAACTTTACCTCTAACTATTTCTTCACAGTCAACAGAAATTACTTCTGGGAAAAGCACTACAGCAATGACTGGGACAACAAAATCTTATGTAAGCTTGTCTGCTTCTGTTGACATTTCTTCTTTGTTTCCCTCTGCTGTCAGTTCAGAAACTTCCACAAGGATACAGCTGATCAGTAGTGGCTCCACTAAACAGCTGAGGGCTACAGAACCTCAGGCAGCAACTGCTACACATGCAGTGACCACAAGAACAGAGCCAGAGAGCAAACCAATTGCAACTTCTGTTTTTACTGGGGCACCACTTATACTTAGAACAACAGAAGTGCCAGTCAAAACTAAAATAATGGAGTTATCAGAAATGGCCACAAGAACACTTCCCACGAAAGAAGCACAAGTAAGACCAGAAGGACTTACAACATTTACACCCAGCTCATTTGAATCAATAACAGAAAAAACTAGTGCCTATGTGCCACAGCTTTCTACGTCATCTCTGGAAGTGCCTTCATATACACCACCAGTAAACTTAACAGGAGCTTCTGAAGGGACAAAAATAAGCATAGAACAGTCGTTTACCACAGTAGCTAATGTTACAGTGACATCATTTTCTCCTATACTCAGTACTTTATCTTTGTTAAAGCCAGTGTCTTCAGCAACAACAGGAACAGCAGCTGTTTTAACCAAACAGAGTGCGAAGACTACATTTTCACCAACATCCACACCACCTGTTTTAGTAGGAAAGACAACTACAGAACCTCCTCTTGGAATGGTTCAACACCTGACTGGTACTCCAGAGGTTCTTTTCACTACAACTTCAGGTCCAAAGATGACAACTCTACAAACCCGAGAGAGATCATCAGAAACAACTTTGTTATCATTTACAACTCATAAAAAGGAAATCCCAAAAATAACATCTCACGTGGAGCGTACGTCAAGTTCCTATTTCCCTCCCTATTCACCACATCCTAGTTCTAGTACTGAAAAAACCTTCATTCTTTCTACAAAGAAACCTGCAGTGTCTGCTCCTACTCCTGCTTCTCCAGCTTCGGGTGAATTAAAAAAAACATTTAAAACTGTTTCAACTACAGGATATCCCTTACACACGGTTCTAAACACAACTGAGTTCCTGACTACGTTATACACTAAATATCCTGTCATGGCTGAGACGAGCAGTGTGACACCTTTGTCTGTTAAGGTAACATCCAAAAGAACATCCCCTCTTGAAACAGCAACAAAGTCAACTTTGTTTTCTGGAAAAATATCTACTGAATATGAGTCAGCTCTGGTTTCAAGTACAATGAAGACAAGCAGTCCAGCATATCTAGGTAGTGTTACAACATCAGCAATGAAAACCAAAGAAACCACTACAGCTCCTTTTGTAGCTACAGAAAGAGAATCACCTCAAAGAACATCCATCACTGGATCTCCACTTGCTCTCCTTAGTGGGACTGAAACCACATTGTTGACAACACAGCCTGATAAATCACAAGTAGAAAGTATTACTACCATCTCTGCTGGAAAGCCATCTGCTTTGTCTTTTTCACCATCAGGTTCTCTGATTTCTGTAAACATTTCTCTTCCTTCACTGCCCTCAGATGGAAAAGAAACATCGCTGACAACTCTCAGTCCCATGAGTACATCCTCTGAAATAACCTCTTTATATCCTAGAACAACTGTACAAAAAACTATGTTAACAACAGAAAAGACCTCTCCAGTCCCAACTTTCTCTATTTTATCTTCTATATTAGAACAATCAAGTTCAATAACAACAGTACCAGATGAAAAATCACCAGTGAATATCACTGATGCCACATTCTCCCCAGCCTCTGAATTCAGCAGTCAGCTCATAACAACCAAAAAAATAATGACAGGCAAAGAAGAATCCTCTCTGTCCCCTTCTGTTGCACTTCCAGTGACAAAGCCTTCTTACATTTTCTCCACCTCTCAGTATCTAGGAGATAAATTAGTTTATTCACCTTTAACACAGCTGCTACCAGAAGTAACAACCACACCAAAACATTCAGTAGAAACTAAAATGGTTTCTACAGCATTAAAACCTGCAGTCCAGAGTATACCTGAAGCAGTGAAAATTCAAGCAGCTGCAGCTCAGCCATCCCTGCCTCCATCTTCAGCAGGCCCCTTCTCCTTGCAGACATCTTTAGGAGCTAAACCTTTGGTACCAACCACCAGGACCACTGTTACACCACCTGATTCGGCTCAGAAGACTACAGAACTTGGTCATCAGACCTCTCTACCTTCACTGACGAGCCAAGTTCACCAGTATCCTGCAGAATCTCTAACACAATCCCCTGGTCAGCCACAACCTGTCTCTAGCACAACTGAAGCTGCAGCAGAACTGACTTCCTTGAAGACCTCACTACCTGAAGGCACTCATTCCAGTGTGTTACCTACCTCAGCAGGTCCTACCAAAGTTATTTTACCAACTCAAAAATATTTGCATTTAACTGATGCAGTCACACAGCCACTTGTATCAAGAACTTCTGTTTCGCAGCCTACAGTCCCAGCTAGAGCAACAGCTGACTTGATTTTTGGCACCAAATTTCCCCCTTTCTCACCGGAAGTGCTTGCCATTTCATCTTCTTCAGCAACAATTGAAAAAGAACTGTTTCCTTCATTTTCCACGCAGAAGACAGCTACAGATCTAAAATTTACACATCAGGCCTCATTTACTAAATTCCTTGATTCAAGACAAACACTTGAAGCATCACCTTCATCAGATTCTGAGTCAACCTCTTCAGTGGTTTTGCCACCAGGAACAGCAGAAGTTCCTGTTGTGTTGGGCTCCACATCAGGGGAAAGTGGCACGGAGAAAGCTGTGGTGTTGCCTGAGCAGGTCACACCTTCAGCCACCACCCACAGCTCCATGATCCTACCAAGGACAGCCTTGCCCACTGAGCCCCGTTCATCACCCGCAGCTTCAGCCTCTCCAGCGATAAGCAGTGCTGGGCAAAACCTCAGTACTGCATCAGCAGCTTCAGACAAAGCAGCAGCAGTCACAGAGCCCATCTCCAGCTCTCCTTCTGTTACTTTAGAAGCAAAAGGAGCCGTGCCCCTCGACACAGTGAAGTCTGAAGAGTCAGAATTAATGACAGAATTCCAGTCTGTCCGTACTCAGGGTGTTACTGTTACACCTCAGACATTTTACCCTCTGTATTTCACAAACACAACTTCAGTTCTGTCCATTGCACATTCGCCTGCTGAATCAAAAGTGTTTTCTTCCATAGCTGCATCATCAGTCAGTACACCTCAAACTTCAAAATTTGAAGTAACATCTGAGATGCAAACACCTTCTGTGAGTTCACTGCTAATGATATCTGATCATCCAAATGACACAGCAGCTCCATCAGTTTCCTCATTTACTTCATCTACCAAACCACTTCATGGCTTGACTACAACATTTTCTGATGGGCTGACAATAGCTGAAGCCGTGGCAGGAGCTGCAGCATCATCTTTTATGTTGCCTCAAGAAACAGCAACTCTTCAAACTTGTACAGTGAGTAGATATAAATAATTACCTGTCTGCTTTGAAACGTGTCTTATTTATTTCTCCACACTGATTAAAAAATAAAATTGTGAGCCATGCCTTGATCTTTAGGATTTAAAACATCTGTATCAAACAAAGGAGCCTGATTATGTTCTCCATTATATCTCAGACCTTGGGTAACTTCATTATGCATAACATTTTTTTGGAAATGTTGTACTAGACTGGGTTTCAGGCCTCACTTTCCTGAGTGTGACTGTTACAAGAATGGGGTTTTTGACAAAAAAAGGTGTTTCATACTGTCCAGTGTCAGTGTTTTGTCTCGTTCTCCTCTTTAAAGCAAATAAGGCATCCAGACATCCCTGTTACCATTCCTGCTTGTTTCCTTCCATATTTTCCCTTCTCAACTTTTTTCATTGTAAAGTTAAAAACTCAGTAGTGCTGTTCTCAACTTTACTATAGGACAACAGTTAATCTATCCTCAGAATGTCGGGTTTTCAAAGATGCTCTTTTCTTGTAGCTTCCATCAGCATCATGGGGATCAATAAGTATTCTGTGCCTGAAGAATGTAAATTCCTTTTTCAACAAAAATTATTCAATATTGTGATACTAACTTGGTATGAATGGTAACCTCTGTCTTTTATTGAATCTGCCTTAGCCAATCACAGAGAATGAGTGCATAAAACACATTTGTTTGGATGGACGGCTGATCCAGGTTAATAAGTCACAGAACTGCCCATACAATGCTACTCAACCCAGCTGTGGAGTTTTAGGATTTGCTACTCAAACAAATGGTGACAAATGCTGCCCAAAGTGGGAATGTGCATGTAAGTTTTAATTCTGCAGTACTTTTGAAGTACATTCGGGTAACAGTTTAATGCATATGTAAGAAGGGTAAGAACTGACACTTCTATACATAGCATAGAAGTAGAAGATGCACATTTTTTGGGTAATTCATTGTTGAAGGAAATTTATAATTGTAGTTCTGTATTCAGGGAAATAAAATAAAAATGCTCCTTTAACATACTCAGCATTAGGTATCTGCAGTGGATATGTTTAGCTCTGACTTAGACAATTCTTGTTATCTCTCTTATCAGGGGACACCTAATCAATACAGGTTTTTTTGGTTCTATGCTTAACTACTTCAGGATGAAAAGATTTTCTGGGCTGTTGACTACTTCTGTTAACAGTCTGGGGACTCTATTAGCAATTGGCACTTCTGCTTAGGCTTTAGAGTTTGAAATTACTTGGAGTAGAGGTCCAAGCCCACTGAAACACAAAAGCTTTAGCAGTAAGACTGAGGAAGAATGAAACTTTTCACCTTAGGAATAAGACTGCAGGTGAACTATGGATCTGGCATGATCTGCTGTCACACATGATTATCCTTTGTTTGGAGTTTCTAAGAATTGCAAGCCTTTGTTGGCAAGAACGGTAAGGAAATAGCTGATTGCAGAGGTCTGCAGGTTGCCTCTCTGAAAATATGCATGATTTGATTCTGCTGTCCATTTAGAAAGATGCACCAGTATCAAATATGTGAAAATATGTGCTGCATATAGGAATCTCTTAGTAGGCTAGTTCATCTCATAAAACTTATTGGCTTATCTTCATATTTTGTAAGATTTACTGGAATTCTAAAGTAAGTTAAAAAAAAAAACCTTTTTTTCTTTTCCTTAGGTCGTTGCACCATTTTCTCTGATCTGAGCATTGTAACCTATGATGGAAATCATTTGGCTTTATTCAAAGAAGCATCCTACATTGTTAGTCAAACTCCAGATGAAACTATAACCATCCATGTCCTTGACTGTAGAATGGTAACTAACATTTATCAGCTAACAAAAGGTGTTTGGTACTGCTAATAAGATGTATCTGAAAGGCAAGAGCATAATAATACTTTATATTGTGGTTATTATTCACTTCTGTGCAATATCTATGAATTGTGCTTGCATTTCACAATACTTAGGACTTTTGTAACACTCTAACACCTGGCTGTAAATGCATAGTGAAACAGCTGGAAGATGAGAGGTGGGTCCATGTTATCCTGTGGTATGTGTAGTATGGTGATGAGAGATTAAGTGGATTTACATAAGTAGTCACTTTTGTGAGTGCTGTCTTATTACCAATACCACCACAGTTGTACCAGTACACCACCAGTTTCTTTCAATGCAGGATTTTTATCTGTGTTCATATGGACAAACGTGGGCTGGAAACACCCATCTTCAGAGCCATAAAAGACTGTAGGAATGCCACCCTGTGCTTTCCAAGTTTCTGACAAAGGAGTGAGAGAGACAGCCTAATGGGGATCCTCTCTGATGGGGTAGTGTGGGTTGGCTTTTGTCATGGAAAGTTCATTTCTTGTGAGACTTTTCAAAACTTCTCTTAACTCCAATCTCTCCTGTGAAGGCGAGGTCATTTGATGTCTATACGAATGTCCTTTGCAAAGTTTGGTTTCAGGTTTCATGTAATGGAAGTTAATTTCAGAAGCTCAATATGACTGATACGAAGACAATGTGTTTGTGACTTTCAGATTTGTTTTCCTCTTGTATTCAATATCTTCTGTTTTATTCACCCTAATGTAGCTCAGGAAGTATGCATTTATTCCTGATCCACTACCTCTGTGGTGTACATATCATACAGATTCATCATTCCCAGTCTCATCCTTGCAGACCTTCAGATATGTAGTTTGTATTTTTTTGTCCAAACATGTAGTCAACCGTATTTTTTTTTTCCCTGAAAACCTGTATTTCTGTTTTAGTTCCAAGATTGTATGATATAGCTCAGTTGCTGGAAACAATGAGGTCATAGTATTTTGTTTGTTTATCCAGAGAAACTCTGTAGTCTTGACTTGAAACTGCAACCACAAATGGTTTTCCTCTCAATAGTATAATCTCCCAAAGTCCTTAATGTCCTAGTACCTAAAACCAGTAAGCAACCAATGTATTTAGATTTTGCACATCATGGCTATGGATGATGTATTTTTGTTTTCTCCACAGAATAATTCAAATTCAACTTCTTTGTGCCTGGCAATGTTGAACCTAACTTATGTATCAAATCAAATTATTATCAATCGTTTAAGCAGAAAAGTAAGTATTTTGAGGGGTTTTATGTTCCTTTAGGTAACACCTATTTCTGCAGTCAGCTGCCTCCTCACGTGGATACTGAGGAGTAGATCACCTCAGGTGTTCGTATGATTCAGTGTTCCCATTTTGTAATTAAATAAATTTCTCCTGGTAAATTCAAAGAGTCAAACTGTGATCCAAGGTCAGTTAATGAGGTAAGACTCATTAGTACCTTTGGTACCTGTATTATCTTTATGGAAGAAAGCCTGACTGCTTCTGAAACTACTTAGGATTTAGATTCCTAAGCTGTGAAAAATCTGGCCTTAGTTCTTCTTCCAGACCATTAACCTCTCTTCTGTGTCTTGTTTAGATAACAGTAAATTCAAGATCTGCTTGGCCTACTGTTAGAAAATATGGATACAAAGTTGAAGATTCAGGCTTCAAGTATGCAGTTGAGACCCCAACAAAAATCAGAATTCAGTGGTTTCACAACACAGGTGTGATGATTATTGAGTTGAACAGTACCAGAGAACCAAGAGCTTTGGGACTATGTGGTAAGTACAGAGCAATGCAAGAAATAAAGGCTTTCAGATGCTTTGCTAGGGAGACACATTTTCCTAATTATATAAATTGTTTATTGCAGGGTCTGTCCCAAAAATGTATTGCAGATCACTGCAAATTTTAAGATACTGTTAGAATTAATCTGTTACTAATTTTGTTTGTTGTTGAAATTATATTTGTGCTTATTCCTCTCATCACTCTTTGCCCACAGTGTTGCTTCTGTCTGTAAGCTGTTTGAACCACAGGCATGATTGCAGTTACCAAACCCAAATAAGTAAGACAGGTCTAAGTCCACAATTTCAAATATGGTCATTTACAGATATAGGGTTTGTTAGCCATCTGGTAGGAAGTGGTACGTGCTATTTTCAGTTTCTAAAGGTCAGAATTCCCATTAAATGTAAACTTCAGAGAACTAATATTAGTTTAACTGTTGGAGAAAATACTTTAGAGGGAATTTCTTAATACTGTTTGCACTGTGTTAGGTCTGTTATGTGCACTGCTCTGTTAGGTCTGCACAGTTAGGTTCTCCTGCTTTATTTTTTTTCTAAAAAGTACAGCCTTGAATAAGCTGGTGGTGTTACAGCTTTTGCAAGCATGTATTTGCTGATATAAATCCCCACTTTGGTAGCTGCATCTGTAAATTTATGCTGTAAATTGAAGCTGGAAATCAGGATTAAGGAGATCATATAATTACAGTGGATATCTTTCCAGTTTCAGAAAGGGCAAATGCCTGTAGCTCAGTATCAAATACCAGGAATAGCTCAGTCCAGTTTCCAGTCCTGCTGACAGAAATGTGCTTCTCACAAAGAGAGTTTGAATTCACGCCATTTTGAAATTTGATTGCTAGCTCTTATTTGCCCTAACTTTTGTTTTCAGTATTGTTCTTACTCTTTTTGGCTTTATGGTATTGTAATTAGATAAAAAGAAAAAAAGACAGTAAAGACAGTGGATATTTATAATAAGCCTGATTCAAGTTATCCAGAGAATCTCTTTTGCCTTTACCTGTTTGTTTACTGTGGTAGGGAGGATTGGGAACATTACATTCCTGGTTTACCAGGCATTTTGATTAGATGACAACACACTTCTGTGGATGGTGTTGCAAGTACAACTTCTTCAGGGAATGTGCTGTGTATTTCTGGTGTCACCTCTGACTGGGAGGTTCTCTGCATGTCTGCCTGTGACCTCGTTGTACTGCATCTTTTCAGGGTGAATTAGTCCAGCCTAAATTCCTTTCTGTGCTTTCTGTGTCAGTGCAGATACAAGCAGCATACTTTCATCTTTTAGCTGAACTGCAGTATTGGTAGGTCTTGATTTTCCACCTTCATGGAAATGCTAAAACTGAAAAGACCATTACAGGTTTGTAGCACAAGCATCCTTTGGAAGGATCCAGAAACAGTGGTGTCTTTTACAGTGCAAGGATTGGGCAAGTGTGGCAGCTGTTGAAGAGCTGGGGTGGGAGATGAGGGACGTGGGAGGGGAACATGGACATTTCTATAGCAAAACTGGTGCAAAAAATTTAAAGCATGTCAGTTCTAGTTGCAGCGGAGCCTGGCAAGAAAAATGTGGAGTTTTAGTTTTAAAACTGTTTTAAATCTCCTTGTCAATGTTTAAGAGAAGTGAGAAAAGATGTCCCTGACATGGCAGCAATCCTTTGAAGTCTTTCAGAGCCATCATGTACTTCCTGTCTGTGTTGCAAATTCAGACTCAAAAGGTTCAATCAGACAGTCTGGAAAGCTGTTTTACTCTCTGAATGTCTGTTGCTGTATCACTGATTGTCATCAGGAATTGCTAAAAATGGTAAAACAGACCAGTTCTTTAGAAAGGGGTGGAATCCACAAATACTCTTTTGAGCAGATAAAGAATTTTGTGGAGACAACAGAAGAAAACTCTCTAGAAGCCTGATACAAAAGTCTCAGAAACTGATTGGGAAGAAAGAATGGGGGACTGATCCATCATTCTTTTTACTACTTGCTGGTTTTTAAAGGATATTCTGAGGAGACTACTGCAATTCTTGAATGTTCTTTGCTGACCACAGTCACCGTCCATGTTAAATTGCTCCTTTTGTTTCAAAATTTCTTACTATTTTAGTTAAAACAGAAAGAAAAATGTGATGCTGCCTTCTGGTATCACATAAGCATCCTGACATTTTATGGTTGTTCCCTTTTCTGATAACATTTACAATTTTAACTTGTTGCTATACATGGAGGTGCTTTGCAACCTTTTTTAAAATGCATTTTTGTTTAGTGTTTGTGCAGCTTAGGAGCAAACTTCCAGTTTCTTAGCTGGGCTCTCTGAGCAGCTCTTTGATATGCAGTAGATTTCCAATCAGAGATGCATCTTTACTTTTGCTTTCCTTCATTTTTCTGAATTTTGTGTATTTTGATCCTAATGAAGATTTTTTACATCTGTTGTAGGTTGTGATACTGGCATGTTCTATAAGATTTTGAAAAGATGTTTACTTTTTTGAATATACCACTGCAAACATATTTCATATGTGTTAACCTGCTTTTTTTTTTGGTTTTTTTTTTTTCCCTTTCTGGTAATTCATAGGGTTTTGTGACTAACCTGCTTTTTTTTTTTTTTTTTTTTTTTTTTTCCCCCTTCTGGTAATTCATAGGGTTTTGTGATAGAAGCTTGGAAAATGACTTGATGCTTCCCAACAGGACAGTTTTAAGCCAAAGCAGTTCACCCTCGACTTTTATAGACAGCTGGCAAGTGCCAGACACGTTAAAGTATGTCGGAGAAGACAGGCATCAGGAAACTAATTGCTCAGTCATGGACTGCTCAGAGTGCTTAAGAATGGTGTTGAACCAGACCTTCAGCAGCTGTCACCCTTATGTATGTTAACTATTTCAAAGCTTACATTTTGAGAGAGCTGCAGTTCAGATATAATTTTGTATACTTGGTAATTTCACTAATGTGAGGCTACGTGTAACCATATCTGTTGAATGAGATGTATATTTTTGTGTGTGCTTAGAGTTGCAAGGTAAAAGTAATTGAAGAGTATGGCAGCTTGGTAGGAGAGTTGCAATAAACAACTTTCAAAATTTCACCTCTGTTAATTTTGAAATACAGCATAATTCATAAACCAGTCACAGGTAATTCAGCTGTATCAATAAGATGTAGAAAAATGTAAGAGAAAATAGTTTTAGGATTTAATTAATCCTTGAGCCTTAAGTAATTTAACAAGTCCAGAATTGCAGTAGGTAATCTGAGAACCTGCATTCTCAAAGGCTCGAGAGACAGAGTTCCAGCTTGGAGATGTGAGAGGGCAGAACAGACCCTTGAAAGCAAGCCTAAAGCAAATAGCAAACTCCTGGTGTGCAGATAAATTATTTGTGGTCATGTGAGTCCATTTACCATTTGACCTTTTGTATATAGCTGATTTTGATGAAGAGGAGACCAAAAGTAGGTAAAAATGTAGAGGTAAGAAGGAACAAAGTAATTGTGCCTTCTACTAGAAAAACTGTATTACCTCTTACCTTGGCACTTATAAAAGATGAAACTAAGGAGTAAAATCATGTCAATGTTCAGGAAGTCTTACTTTAAAATATTATTAGATTATCCTTGTACACTAATGAAAATTTACCATGAACCAAGAACTTTTGCCTTCTTTGTAGTGGATATTTTTGAAGGTCAGGCTTTCCTACCTAGCATAGCCTCTATGAAGGTGCCATCTCTGTTTTTTCCTTTGTTAGATTCCACCTGAGCAATTCTGTGATATATGGGCTCGAGACACTGAGTACATTCAAAATCCATGTGTTTCACTAGCTGCCTATGTGGCAATGTGCAACAAATTCAATGTTTGCATAGAGTGGAGGAGCTCTGATTATTGCCGTAAGTATTCTGCATGTATGCCCACCTCTGTTTTTAGACAAAATTTGACTAATTTAAGAATCGTTATAAGTTGAAGATACCAATGCTTCTTGAGTCTTCATGTACTTTGATGCTGCTGTAGAAGGTGTGCCTTTGGAGATGGTATTAGGGAAATGAAACACCTGTGAGATTAGATGGAGTGTAAGGGGTAAAACCTGAGATCTTAGGGTATTCTGGCAGCAGAATTCTCCCATAGCAACACTAAAATGTAAGGCCAGATGGGATCTGTAGCTGGATCACACCATCTCCTTATGCTGTCCATGATCACTTAGGAAAAGCCCCCTTCAGTGATAACATAAGAAGGTCTGTGGTTTTGAGCCAATTTTTTTTAATTCTTCAGTTTGTATGGATTTTATTAGCAATAACTGTTAAAAGGAGCTCTTACAAAATATAGCTGTTAATATGTATTCGATCCATTGTGAAGGGACACATTCACACTTGTTTTTATACCACAGTGATGCATTTTCTTTGGCCACTGCAAGTTATTCAGATTACTCATTCAGAGCACTCTATGACTACTACTCTGTGTAGTATTTTGAAAATGTTTTTAAGTTTAAATTATTTTGTGTCAACACTGTTGCATGGTTTGTAAGTCTGCTGCCAGAATGCAAACTGAAGCTTGATGAAAATGTTATTACAAGAAGAAAAGTAGAAGTGCTTGCAGATTCCTTATGTTTTAATTTGTTGTGTAGGTAACTGGTCTGTGTTGGTGCTTCAGGCTGGGAGATCTCAATTAGTGAGCACAGGAAGTTGACAAGAAGACAATAATGTGTTCTCTTAGGTGTTGCCTCATGGGATTACAACTTGAACAATGTCTGATTTATTTATTTCCTTCCTAGCCTTCCCCTGCTCTGAAAACTTCTCCTACCAGCCTTGCATAGCTGCCTGTGAGGTTCCAGAGAGTTGTGAGAATAGAGAGGTGGCTCCTCGGGACTCAGACTCCTGCTCAGTGCTGACAGAAGGCTGCGTCTGTGCTGGAGGGACCCTCCTTCACCGGACCCATACCGCTGTCTGTATTCCTGAAGAAAAATGTGGTATATTTGGATGTGATTTTCTTCTTTATTATCTGCAAGTTGGTGGTCAGACACTTCCTTATTCATAAGTTGAGTTCTGGTTTGGTGTTGTGTGAGCTCTGAATATGTCATTCATTTGAGAATTCTAGATATCCAGTAAACATTAACTGTGCAGTGAGCAAGCCGGGGATGTCCTTGTGATGCACAATTTTGCTCACTTTCTCTCAGCTGGAGGATGCTCTTCAAAGTCTTTGCTTAAGTTTATGTATTCAGTTATTGTAATAAAAATAAACTTAACTGAAAAGGCCTCCTTTTCACCCAAGCCCTTTGCCAAGGGTCCAACCTTTTGATACCCATTCAAATGACATGCAGCAGCAGTTAATTGCACATTCTGAATAATACTTGTGTGTCCTGCCAGTATTCATGTTTATTTTCATTGCAATTCTGCCTCACCACACCAAATAATGGACCAATTCTTCCCCCTAACAACATGAACCATAAAGATTCCGTTTATGATAAATCATACTGCTAAAGCACTGTAAATTAAATAATAGTTTTGACATTTGTGAAATACAAAAGTAACTTCTTTTCGGATCGTTACTTTAAAAATAAAGGATGGGATTGGGATTTTAGGTGACTTGCAGTGGAGACACAAAACAAATTGGAGGCCTGGATCTTCTGGAAGGTGTTGAGTGTCTTGCTTTCCTATATAAACTCAGTCACAGACTATCTCCTCATTTATTTTTTTGTGGGGTGATGGATGTAATCAAGCCTTTAAAACGGTGGCATTTTTGTGCTTCATAGATCCACATCCACGATGGAAAAAATGGTGATCAGAATTGGAAGTTAAAAGGAATTTCCTCTCTTTTCTGTTGTCCTGATCTAGCTTGTACAGACAGCTCAGGAGCACCTCATGCCATGGGTGAGATCTGGAGAACTTCTTTGAGTGGATGCTGTATGCAAACATGTGTTGACAGTGAGACCATAATTCCAGTGGAGCACAGCTGTTCAGAGATCCACAATTTGGAGTGTCAGCGATTTGCAGAAGTGGCCTTGCTTGTTCCTGATGATCAGACCTGCTGTCCTCAGAAGATCTGTAGTAAGTATTTCTTCATGGTTGTGAATACTGCATATACTGGAATATGCAGATGTCCTTTCTCTGAGGTTTGCTTTCCTGTTGCACTTTCAAAGAAAATGGAAACTACTTTGGTTTGAATTTACAGATTATGTAGAAAACTGTAGAAGCTATTTGGCTCAGTATCCAGTTGGTTTTGGAGTAGAGGTAGAGGATAGGAGAACTGAAATAGTGCTGTGTTTATTTGAATATGAATTGTGTTTCCATCAAATTTAGAGATTACTGTTTTATTTTTAATATCCAAATACAAACAAATGATCTGGATAGTTCTGAGGAACAATAAATCAATGATTGTTTATCTAATTTATAAAGTGAGCAGTAAAAATTGATGGTATTTTTTTTTCACTTAATTCTTGCTTGGCTTAGAAAGTTTCAAAAAGAAGCTGCAAGCAATTTTCATGTTTTGACCATCTGCGGTAGTGTTGCAGTGAGTTTTCCAGAGGAGGTTTGGTTTTTTAATTCTTGCAAGGACTTAGCTCTAGTTTAACATTGCCTCCATGGAGAGTGTTGCAAATGATGAGCACTTCTGAATCCTGTCTCATGGGAATTTTTGTTGCTCCACTGTTTTTCATATGCCTGTAATTTGGAGTTTTGGGGTGTTTAACTTAAAATACTGCTTGCCACTGCTCCACTCAATTTAAATGCATAGTTTAGAAGATGCTTGTTCTCCTTTTTTTTCCTTTACGTGACAGTTTGTAATCAGAGTCTCTGTGAACTCCTAATCCCTGAGTGTAGCAGCTTGGAGAAGTTGGTCACGTACTACAGTGAAGAATCCTGTTGTCCCAGCTACGTTTGTGGTAGGTTTCTTTTGAAAGGTGAAGAAGTGCACTCTGTAAAAGACATTCAGAGAACTAAATAGATCGACTCAGAAGGATAAGGGTAGTGTAGATACCATTGCTTGTATGGCCATTTACAAAATTCACTTTTGTCTATAGCTTGGGGTTGGTCTGTGCCTCAGTTTGAGCAGACTTGTGTTAAATGATCAGGCAAGATCTTGGGATACAAGGTAAAAGCTTTTCTAAAGCAGCTTGTAGTACCTCTGTACTCCACACTGCCTTTCCTCGGGATATAGCATAACACAGGAGGAATGCTGAGCTTCATCTGAAGGAATATATCTGTTGCCCTTTTTTTCAGAATGTGACCCAGAAAAATGTGAGCCATTGGAGCAGATGCCAAGCTGTCAAAATGATCAAACACTAATTGCTGCTCGGGTGGAGAATACCTGCTGCATTTCCTATATATGTGGTACAGCAGCCTGACTGGTTGAGATTGAGTGTGGTTTTGCATATGCAATTATGTCTGTTATTATCTTGCCAATTAAGATTCCTTGTAGTTTAGGTCTCCCAATTTAGTAAGGCTTGATGCGGTTAAAAAAATGGCATTAATTTTTTAAAATATGCCAACAACATAAAATTAATTTAATTAATTTTCTAAAAGTGCCAACAACCATCAAGAGTCACAGAACAGCTTTGTGCAACTGAGTAGTATTGGTTAAGTAAAGGAGTTGTGGTGGATGAAGGAATTCAGAGCTTTTCAGATTGTCCATATGCAGTGTGAACTAAATACACAAATATTTTATCTGAAAGAAGACTGAAGTTGTGTAGGCTTTTATTCCCTGTACCCTGCTGTCTCAGCTATGGCCCATCTTAATTCATGACAAATATTCCATATGAGAGTATTATGCATATTTATTATTATTTATTTATACTTTTGGGGTTTAGCCTTTAATGAATTAATTCAATAATAAAATTGCACTTTTGACATTAGTGTGTGAGCTCTAGTCTTACCATGCAGTTGTTTTCTGCTTGATAATAATCTGATAATGAGGTGCTGTTGAGTTTATTTTATTTTTGAACAGATATCTGGGAAGGGAAGCACCTTCCACATGCAAAAAAAATGAGTGTTAATTGGAAATGTGAATTACAATTCTTTTATTTAGAGTAATCAGATGCTTTGATCATGCTAGCAATGGGCAGCATTTGGCTCTTGTCACTGTGTGCAGAGTCCCCTTTTGACTCTTTTTTGATAAAATGAGTGTTTGCAGTGTACATATTGAACAGTTCCTGTTGTGGTTGTCATATGTGTTCAGGTGGGAGGATAGCACTGGGATCATGGGATGTGCGTTTTATTGAAGATTGAAGATTCCTGAAAAAAACAACAGCAGGAGAGAAGACCCAGAAAAATTTTTCATAACATGAGAAGCAGGGAAAATCATGTTTGTTCACAAAAATGTATTAATTTTTTATAGCAGGGAACAAAGGAGAGAGGGGCAAGCTGCACTGAAAATTAGCCTTTTATATAAGGTCTATAAGCAGTGAATGCAGAGCACCTCTGCTCTCTTTGATATGACTCTGGGACAAACTTAGAGGAAATTTTCTAGGCAGTAGTAAAATTTCTTCCAATGTTTTAGATTTAAATGATTGTTTTCTCTAGCATGTGGAGCTTGCTCGGATCAATTTCCCAAATGTCAAGAAGGAGAAGTTCTCATTGTGGATGGCAACACTACTGACAGGTGTTGTCCTACATACCAGTGCAGTAAGTTTGACCTGATTTTAATATTTTAAATAACAGAGAACATGGGAGATGTTGTGGTGTGGATGCTCAGTGTCAAAGTGGTGGATTAGAGATACAGCTTCCCTTGCTGTATAAGCAAGTTATCATCTGTAGTCCTGAACAAATAATCTTTACTTTTAAAACTTCATGTGTGTAAAGCGTTTTCTAATATCTGTATCATGAAATATCCAGATTTTAATAATTTTAAATTTCCAAAATTTGAGGCCTGAAACTACAAGTGAGTATTTCCAGATCTTAAATTGTAGATATTTAAAATTATTTAAATACTTGTCTAGAGTATTTTGTACTCCATACTGTTATCTATCAATATCTAACAGTCAGATTTTTACTATTAGTCTTGTAAATTAAGATGTTATCCAAATGTATTTATTGTAAGTCATTTACTGTATCTTGATTAATATTTTCACTCATCTAAAAATGACAACATTGTATTGATTGTTCTTTCTTTCCTTTGATTTCAGTCTGTGAAACACATCGTTGTCCTGAATTCAGATGCATGCTGGGCATGTCTCTGGTGGAGGTCTGGAGCCCGGAGAAGTGCTGCCCCTTCCGCACATGTGGTAAAATCACTGATTTTCAATAAACCTGCCTTAGACAATGAGAGGTGACAGCAGCTTTGGCCCCTTGGTTTCAGCCAGCTACACCATTCTGAGCTGCTCATGAGCAGATGATACAGAAAAGTAATTTCATGCTGCAGAACTTCCTAATCTGCCTGTTTTGCTTTTCTTGCATCCTGTAGAATTTTTCTGTCCAAACTGGGTTATTTACTATCTTGAAAGTGTTGTAAGAATTACTGTATTGGGTTTGCTGACTTCTATACCTGGCATTTTTATTCTCTCTGTTGCTCTGTTGTAAGCAAATAGCGTATAAATTGCCAACCTACTGTTTCTGATGTTGTATTTTGTTTCAGAATGTGCGTGTGAAACAATCCCCAAACCACAGTGCAAACTGGTATGAAATGTATCTTGTCACTATTCTTTTAATAATTTCTTAATAAATCTCTTTATCAGTATCTGAATAATAGTTTTATCTGTGAAATATGAAATGGCACAGCATCATCTATTTTTTAAATAATTACTTTAGAGTAATTTTTAAACAGTAGTAGTTTTAAGAAGCCACCTAAGTCTAAATACCTTGCAGAGTAAAATGACTCTACAGCCCTGATATTTCCAGAACTTTATTCATTTGATCTGTTACTCTTATGAATAAAGCTCTGAAATTACTATCAGCCCTGATATTTCCAGAGCTTTCTATTACCATGTTCTGCCCCAATATATTGGTAGAGTAGGACTGCTTTCATGCACACAGAATAGATAAGTCAGGATAAAATTTTGGGTTTAAAGTGTTGAACTAAATGCTTTCAAGCATCAGTGCTTTCATGCACACAGAATAGATAAGTCAGGATAAAATTTTGGGTTTAAAGCAAAAAGCATTTGAACTAAATGCTTTCAAGCATCACAGTTAATATTATTTGTTATGGTGAATATGTTAACATACATCATAAACTCAGGCTGCTGACTAAGCAGAGAGATACTGCTACCCAAATTCTGCAAGAAAGTTGTTTAAAAGAAAAATATCATATAAATAAGAAAACCCACTGTTGCTTCATGTATATTTTTTTTCTTCTGTTTTTATACCTGTAGGGGCAGAAACTTCAGATAGATGAACTGTTTCAGAACAGTACAGAAAATGTCTGTAACTGTGTGAAGTACAAATGTGGTAAGTCAGAAAATAATTTAATTCAAAGAATTAGCCTTTCAAGTGCTAAGGGAAATTAGGAATTAAAAATCAGGACTTTACTTTGAACATGGCACTGAAGAGGACAGGATTAATTTACTTAATTCACAAATAGTGTTAATTTTCCTCTGTGTCCTCTGTAATTAGTGGGGATAAATAGACATTTCTCAGGTACATTTCTTATCCTGAAGTAGTCTTACAAAATAAAACAGTTGAAGAAGCCTGCACTGTCACTTGGGTGCAGCTAATAGAATATTATATATTTAGTTTTCATGCATGGCTATATTTGAAAAGATTGGGTGACTACAGCAAAAGATTAAATTACTATTAATGGTTTGTTTGAAAATGTGGCCTCTCATTCTAAAATAGGTAGAATAGCTTTTTCCATTTCTGTTTCACCATTTGAAATGTTTTTAGTGGAGTTTTGATGCCAAGCTGATTGTCCTGAGAACGCTGTTTGTGTTTTCTTGCAGTGAGAGACAAAGTTTGCCTGAGTAATGAGAGAGGTGTGCTGCTTCCTGGGCAGAGGATCGTGGAGCACAGTGCAGATGGCATTTGCCATATTTCCTATTGTACAAATGTGGTTGATCCCTCCACTAAATACTACAGAATAAACACATCTTCCATAGACTGCGCTGTCAAGTGCAAAGCTGTAAGGAATTCAGAAATTTAGACCTGTCTATTGTGTCTGACCTGAATTACTTTGTGATGGGTTTTGTTGAACAGATGAAACTCGTAGAGCAAGTAGAGCAAAGAGTAATTAGGATATTTCCCTCTAATGATGTGCCACAACAATTCTGATGGAAGTTTGAAAAGTCTCCTTCCCTCCACTGTTTCCTCTGCTGCATAAATCATACACAAATTCAAGTACATAGTGAATGCATCCTTGGGTTAATGGCATGCTGCCTCCTTGCATCCCTGCAGAGCTGCAGCTGCATTATGTGCAAACTGGTACAAATTCCTGGCAGACATTAGCTGAGTAAGAATCAGAAAGAGAATAATTATGAATAGAAGAAGAAGAATTCTAAATGCAGTGAAAACAGCTTTATAAAATAAGCAAATGTTACGTTGTCTTTTTATGAAATATAATACATTACCATGGCAATATTATACAGAATTTTTTTCTGATTTTATAGTTACTTAATGGCTAAAGTGTAAAAAGATTTCAGTGGTTCTTGAAGTAAGCTGTTGTGTTTGAAAATGGTAGAAAGACCAGCTAATTCTCTCAGTTTCGGAACCCCTTCCCTTTTACTTCAATTAAGATTAAATGTATTTTATAAAAGCCTCATGGGTGTGCAATGCCAATGTAAGCTATGTGGTTTTGAAAGTTATTTTAAAAATATCCCTAAAATCAAATACCTGAAAAAAAATCTGCCTGTTACATTAGTAAAACACTGAGCTGCAAGATGATTTCACACAAGGAGTAATCTATTTGATTTTGGCAGAACCAAGTCTATCAGCCTCCAAAAGATTTAACAACTTGCTGTGGTAGCTGCAAGAACATGTCTTGTCTCCACGCTTTCAGCAATGGCACAGTTACCAGTTTTAAGGTGAGTTTGCATATTTTATTCCCTCAAAATATTTAGAAGTAAGCAAAAAATCATGAAATATTATACATATTTTGCTATAAAAATGTGCAGAATAGAGCTTTATTTGGCCAAATACTAGGAATAGTTTTGTATTTAAATAATAATTTCTTGGAAAGTCAACCATATAACTGTCAACAAAAATAAAAGGATTCTGATATATGTGAGAGAATTACCATCAACTTGACTATTTTAGAACCTGCTAACATTATGTATTTTTTAACTGGGCTTTCAAATGCAGTAAACAGAATATGCATCTAAATTATATTTTGTTGTATTACTGTTGATTCCAGCAAGATCACATTCAATGAAATTTTTAAATTAATACTTAAAATACTGTTTTTGCTGAGTAAAGTTTCTGTTTTAAAATTTTTGACAGCCCGGTGCTGTTTGGATTTCCAACTGCATCAGATATGAATGCACCAACACAGCAATAGGAGCAGTTCTGGTGTCCTCCGCAGTTGGGTGCCCACCCTTTAATGAAACTGAATGTGTGAAGGTCAGTGTGCAAGACACTGTTTGCATTCTATCTGTGATTTATGTTTGCATAAAAACATTTAACTCTGACAAAAGATGCTTTTTCCTCAAGAAGGGAGAAATTATTAATTTTTGTAGTGCCTGTATCTTTTTCCCAGATATTTAAAGGTAAAAGGTATAACCACTCACCAGACTTCTGTGCCACCAGGTGCTGAGTTATGGGGCTGGACACACCTCTTCTGATTCTTAGAATATTTTCTTTTTTTAAATTGGGATATGTGATATCAAACTAGTCTTCATACAACTGTCTGAGCTTGGATGCTTTTCTGGTCTGGACCTCCCCTTTCTAACATTTTCAGTGTATAACAATGTGATTCAGCATAATGATCAAAAACATGGAAAAAAAGGCAAGATTATCTGACAATCAGGAGCATCTTTTCTACAGTGGCACATAAAGTTTATTAACTAATTTTGGAGCAAGAACAAAAGTTCTATTTGAATATGCAAAATGAGATTATACTAAGTGCCAGGGAATGGAGGCAAGGAGAATTCCTTTGCTGCTCTCTGCAGTTCCACATTTACGTGTTGATAGAAAGATCCTCTCCTGGGTGGGTGATGTTACACAAGCAGGGAGCAGTCCTGCAAGAACTGGGGGGCTGTAGTTCTTCCTCACAAATAGCAGTGGGCTGGTTCCTCAGAACCGTCTCAGTTGTGTAGCCAAACCTTCATCCATTCACTAGTGCTGCATTTGCCTGAACAATGATGCAGAGCTTTATCTGAAAGATATTTCTATTTCTAACAGTGCAAATACATGGGAATGAATGCTTCAAAAAAATCAAATTTTTCCTCTTTATTTTCTCTCTTGGTCAGGTTGGAGGCTATGTTGTGCCATTCTTAGAAGGCTGCTGCAAAACATGTAAGTGATTATTGACAATTCCTGCTTCATCAGTCTCTGATCTGTTACCTTATGAATAAAGTGGATTATTTCCCATATAAAAGCTTGATTCACATCAGAAAGCCTGTGCTTTTCCTAGGTTTACTCATGTAAATAAGACAGAAAATAGTGGAGTTAAATCAAAAGAAAACACTTCAATATGGAAACATTTACTCCACTGATAGTGATTGTAGCTGGTCAGTTCACTGAAATTCCTACCTCGACTCTTTTGTAGTTCTTGTGTAAAACTCCTCAAAATTTTAGCTACTGCATTAAGTAAAATAAAAGGTACTGTATTTTAGAAGGCACCTTAAAACAGTGCTTCATCTACATTAATATCTTCATATTTTGTAGAAGTGAAGATTGATTTATGTCATTTGTAAGTTAATTTTGTAACTAATGAATATAGTAATTAATAGACAGTTAAAAAACCTTCAAGGCAGTATTTTTTAAAAGATTCTACAATTTTAAAATTCCCCTTTTCTTGATTATTTGTGAGAGCTAATAAAGATTGTCTGAGGGGGAAAAAAACGGAATAAAAATTGTCTAGAGAATAAGTTTGAAAGATCTTATGTCTTAATACAAATCAAGAAAATAGAAATGATTTTCTTTCTTAACACATTGGTACATAGCTGAAACATTTTGGTTGAACTCATGAAGGCCTTAGGCTGAAGTTTGATATTATTAGAAGCAACTGAAAAGGAGATTTTTACACTGGGCAGTATAATATTATTTAAAATTGCAAAAAATCTGACTTAATTTGCATAAGTGGCTGGAAGAGTGACCTGAAAGTGTGGGAGAGAGCTGGAAAAAAGTGCAGATATTTCCTGCTGGGAGGGAAGGAGCTTGTACAGCTGTGATACCTGACATGGTACCATGTGCACAGTCACTGCAGTGGGTTATGTGCTGACAGCTGGGAGGTACCTTTTGGTGTTATTGGCTGGGGTTACATTTTGTAGTAAAAATTTTATTGAAACTGTGCAAGACTTGGGTTTTTTCTCCACTCCCACCATAAGGGTATGATAATATCCAAAATTTTTCCCTGTGGTGGACCTGTGTTTCAAGTACTTGTCCTACCTAGTTCTGTGGCAAATTCTCCATAGACACACTGAGATCAGTTTTTGAGTATCAGACATTGCCCTTCAATGCCCTAGCAGCCAAATAAACCAGCTTCAGAACAAATTAGTAAGACAGTTAAACATGCATTGAGCTACTTTTCAACAGGGCAGAACATCTTGCTGCTATGCTTAGAGAAAGATTATAACCATGCTCCTTAACTGTTAAAGACAAAAGTAAATTAACCTGGGGCATGCCTCACAAGGTAAAATTAAACCCTTGAAGAACCCAGTGACTTCTGAGATGCATTTACAAGTACATTCCTAGAGTTTTGATTTCACACCGGTTTGTGCACAACACAGAACCCCTGTAAATCATGTAGTTCATTCTGACTCCAAGCAAACTGCCATGAGAGCTGTCAGCCAGCTGTAATTGTAGGAGATGTTTTATGAGAAGGATTATCAGTGTTTTGCTTTCTTTTGAAGTACTTTGCCATTAGAAACAATTGTGATTTTCAATTTCAGTTTTAATTGGTCTTGAAAATGAAGAGCCAGGATCTCCATCAAAACCTAGGGAGGAAATTACACTGTTTCTCTGTTGTAGCCCCAAAGGACATACTGAACTCAGGATACCAGATTGGCTTGGTTATACCAAGGCAGACCAGATTCTTCCTGGTTTGCACGTGGGGTTAACAATGCAAGTAATGCCTGGATGTGGTACTCAGCTGCTGGTACTTCCCTGCCTGGGCAGAGAAGCAGGACCCGGTGACCTCCAGAGGTCTCTTCCAGCCTCAGCCATTCTGTGATCCTGTAGTATACAAACACCTTATAGTTGAATTCTGTTTTCCAAAATCTAGTAACTCCCAAATGTTTTCATACTACCGGAAATCCTCTGTAACACGTGCTCTGTTCAATGTGTAATATTCTCACCAGGTTCTTCAGTGTCAGTGCTCCTCCCATTCCCTGTTAGCCCAGTCACTCCTACAGCCTATGTTGGCTGTCACACAGGTACCTTTTCCTGAAATAAGTAGGACCAACCCAAACAGCATCATTGTTGATTTCCAACAATGTACTCCCTGATAGGAGCGCCAGACCTGTCGTTACCCAATTATTGCCAAAGCTGCAGTGTAGCACAACTGCTCATGGTTGTTCAGAGTGGCTCCCATTCTGGTTTGTTTTTCACTTTGCACTGTGTGGGCAGTGCATTGTTGTCAGCCAACAATGTACTGTTGGTAGTAAGCACTCGCATAGTCTTTAGCTTGCTGCATGTGTAAAATTGCTGTGTTTAAAAGGGTAAACTAATTCCATCATGTTTACAGTGCACTTAGAACATAGAGACTAATTGCTTTGCTAGTTAAAGCTTGTTATGTCAGCCACATTTTTGCAGATGATGTGTCATACAGTTTTGCTTCCAGTGCCATGTACCGTAGAAGCAAGTAATTGTTTTCCCATCCATAGTTAGGACAATGTACTGAAAACAGCAAGCCTGTGCTTAGTCCATGAAAATTGGAGATTATCTTTGTTCTTTTTCATAAAGCATGTTAATTCTTTGAATTGTAACATGCTTGTTTTGGCATTTGTTTCATGAAAACAACCCTCCAAATTTCTGTAAGAGAAATTATGTTGACTGTAATTTTGTACACCACTGAGTGATACATCCTACATTAAACTACACCAGCTCTACTAAATCAAAATCTGTATTTCTCTTTCATATTGCTGTCACTTTAAGTGACCACAGTGTTATGAGTCAACCAAAAAACCAAGCACGGATTTTCAACCATACAGTTTGGTGCAAAATAATCTCATTATATTATGACATATATAAAATGCTTCCATGTTTTGTAAGGTTCTTCATGTAAACATTTTAAAGCTCATTAAAAAAGCATTGGATATGAGAATACATGCATGGAAATACATTATATATTTATTTTGTATGAGAGATGATGTACTTTCACCATAGCCTGGATGAAGTCATAGTCACAGCTGCACTGAATTCTCCACCCTACACACCATGTATAATGTAAAAGAAGAAAGAACCATGAAAAGAACTGTGAAAAACATGAAATAATGGTGAGTTGGGGTTTTTTAAAAACAATTTATTTTTTACTTTGTTTCTCAATTTACTTTTTCCCTAAGCAAACATAATTCAGTGACAGTCAAGCAGTAGCCAGACATTTGTCTGTAGGTTTCTATTTGTTTCCAAGAAGATTTATTGCTCTCCTTTCTCTCATGTTGTAGGAAACTCTGCTATGTCTAGAAAGGGTACCAGGCTTATATCATTAAAAAAAAAAAAAAAAAAAGCAAGAAAAGCCCCAAACAAAAAAGTCAAAAATCTCCCAACAGACAACATTTAAAATTTGTTTCTCTAAGAAGTGATATTACTAGTTTGACAGTGATTAGAGCAAGGAACTGGACATTGTGCATCAAGATGTAATTAAATTGTGTCACAATTCAATACTGGATATTGTTCAAAGCAACAAATCCTTTATTGCCCATGCTTTTCTGGAGCTAATAGTATTTCTCTTTTGTCAACATCTCTGGATTTCTTGGCTCAAAGAAAATGCAGCTCTGTAAGGGGAGAGTCATTGGGGGCTGCATCATGGTGTGTAAAATCTGGTGTGAAACAGTGGAAACTCCTCTGATGGAATGGGCTGTTCATTCTCTTACAGATCTGCAACGTGATGGGGTTTGTCAGCACAGAGAATCATCCTCAGAAGAGCTTGCTCTTCCTGTTCTCTTGCAACTGAACTTCACACTGAACATCTTTATTTTGCTTCCAATGTTCAGCATTCCCTTGTTTAATTTAATTTAACTCCTCATTTAATTTCATGATTTCTTGTGATCTCTTTTATTTGATGCACGTGCCTTGTACAAGAAAAATTGTGGAAATAATGTTAATGAAAATGAAAATAAAAGTTTCATTTTTTCACTGGTGTTCTTTGATTTAATAAAAACATACAGAAATGTAAAGCCCCCCGAAGCCCTGTTCTTCATCAGGTTCTGTTATGTATTCTGTTACGTATTTATTTTAAATTTTGTTTATACCACTGGAACACGAGTGCTGCTATTAAATTTTGTTGTATTTATTTCATAGAAAATATACTCTAATTTATTAACATATGTACCATTTGATAATGATACCGTTTGGTATCATTAACAAGTTAGAATAATTAACAAGTTTTCTCACAGAGTTTGATCAATTTTACAAAAATTTTTGAAAACAGTAGACTTACCCATAAAAGGCTTCTGAGTGAAGAATAAACCTTTTATAGTTGTTATTAAAGATAAAAAGAGATACTTTAATGAATGAAATCATCTTAAAATTGATTCAATGTGTAGCTAATGTTACTTAACCAAAGTTGTGTATGTGCAGTGATGTACTGGGTATTTTCTTCTTTGTGTCTCTTGAACTCAGTAAAAGGTCAGGAGTGTTCTTGTCTCTGAGATGTTAGAAATTTGAGCTGATATTTTTAAATCTATGCCCATTTTGCAGGTAAGGAAGATGGTAAATTCTGTAAGAAGGTGACTGTTAGGATGACCATCCGCAAGAACGACTGCAGGAGTAACACACCAGTAAGTAGATAGCCATTGTGACTTCTCTCAGCAGAAGAGAAAAATTTTGAGCTATTAAAAAGAAAGAAAGGGAACTCAGGTTCCACGAGGCCATTGTCTCCATCTCTGTTGCAGAGGCAGAGGTTTCTGTGTTTCACAGGGCTGTTTTAATGCTTCCCTACGTTCTCAGCAGTCATCTTCTCAATAATAAAAAAGGAGGCTGTTACTTTTTTTTTGTGTGCATTTAGGTGCATGCTGATTTAATCTTATTTCACCCTATACTGCAATTATTCTGTGCAAATTAACTATTAAAACTGAACTTTGCCCTGATATTCTACAGCTAAAACAACTGCAGATGTGTGTAATTTTTCATCTGCCCAGGGATGGTGTTTAAATGCCAGCTTCATGAAGAAAGGAATCCTGGGTCCTGAAAGCTTTTTTTAGGCAGCAGCATGAGCACACTGTGAAATGTGAAGGAAGAATGAGGCACTATCTGTGTGTCTATCAAAGGATTTAGTGTTGGAGGACACCAACCATGTCCTGCTGAGCAGTGAGGCTGAGAGCGGCAGCAAGGGTGCAGACAAATGTCTCGTGTGAGATGTGTAAGAGCGCCTGGAAAAGCTGTAATAAAAGAGAGTAGGGAAACAGCTGTAGCCTCTAAAATGACTCCAAGAGTACATTTAGTAGAGTAAGCTGTTGAGCAGCCAGGAAATTTATTCTCAGTGTTTCACTGAAAAGAAACACAAATCCTGACTATAAAGTTTGAAAAAAAAAAATCATCAGATTCTTAATCCTATTTGTCTTACAGTCTGTATTACACATTTGGTATTGTTAGAAGTAATTCCCCTTGGCTTTCTAAAGGATTGGTTCTTTTATTCCTCCTTGCTGATACCCATTATAGCAACATTGCATATATACCCGGTATAGATACATTTCAGTGTATCACTGAAATGAATACTGTAGGGAGTTGTGGAAAGAACATTTGGTGCCATGTTCAAGCCAAGGTTGTTATGAACACTTTAAAATTCAAAACTGAAATTGCTTCTTTGTTAAAATAGTGCAAATCTGTTACTGAAATTGACAGAAATTCATCATTAATATCAGTAATATTGACATTGAGACCTGTCTGGGCAGTGCACTTCAGAGGTTATTTCCAAACGTAGTGGGATTTCATAAGGGAGTAGAGGAAATACATCCACATTTCTCACTGCTTTGCTATTGGATTTTGGTGCTTGATGTCTTCATAATCCCTTGAGAACCCCTAGCTCTCCTCCCTGCTCCCATCTGTTAATGCCTGCCCGTGTGTGTTGCCAGGTGAACATCGTTTCGTGTGACGGGAAGTGCCCCTCTGCCAGCATTTACAACTACAACATCAACACCTACGCCAGGTTCTGCAAGTGCTGCAGGGAGCTGGGGCTGCAGAGGAGGACTGTGCAGTTGTACTGCACCAGCAACTCAACCTGGGTCAGCTACTCCATCCAAGAGCCCACAGATTGCTCTTGCCAATGGTCTTAAAATAAGAGAAAGAAAGCAACAAGCCCAGCTGTTCACAGCATAATTTTGTAGTAGTTTATCTATTAAAATATAATTGAATTTCACCAGTATACTGCAAAAGACCACAAATACATTTGGACTCTCCTAAGTTTCTGAAAAAGCGGCTTTGCATCATTTGTATTGTGATTTGTCTTCATTTTCACTCACAGGGATTGTTTTAAGGGTTCTTGTGATACGTGCCAACATAAAAGGTGATTTACATTAGTGACATCTAAAGAGAAAGAGCACCATCTGTTTTGTTCTGGAAGGCTGATCCACTCTTTGTCAAGCCCTCATTCCAGTTTTACATCATTGCCTGACTTACCTGGCAGCAGGTCACTGTTTTGAAAGCATTGTAATTGTGCAAGTATGTTTAGTGTCTATTAAGAAAAATTCTTTGGACAACATGAGAACAATTTTCAGTTTAAATCATATTCCTGTTGCTAAGTAGAGCATGTATAAGAAATGTAGGATTCAATGTAGGATTTATTTTTTTTTTAGTCAGGGAAACATTATTCATACTGATAACTGTATGTAACGTTCCCTGTGAATCATTTCAGTTTTTCTAGTGTGTTTTATATTGTAGTGAAAAGCATTATGGCAAGCATGTGTTTATGGAACAGATCTGCTGTCTTTAGGCTATCTAGATTAACCTTTATTCACTTTATCTTTCTGCTAAACAATATGGCATAAACTGAAAATACACAGATTTAAAAAAGGAAAACCATTTTATATTCCTTTTTATAGATATAACTTAAATTAAAATTTTCATCTTATGAAATGAACCATCCTTAAATTGTCTTTTTAGGAGAATGAACATTGTTTAACACTAATTTTAAAGATGTGAAAGTTCATTAGGAAAAATAAAATGAGGATTGTATGTATCTGCCTCAAAGAAAAACAAAACTGAAAATCTTTGTCACCTGTATAGTAGATGCAACTTCTTATGGTAAGTGCTTGAAATTCAAAATGTACAATTGTAAGGTTTGAAATTTCAAAAGCAATTTTTTTTATGAACTTGAAAAATTCAATTTTTTGTAATGAACTGATTTTTTTTTCTTCTCTAAGCTGATCTTACTATTCTGTTCTTCTTTAACAAATGCCACTGAGATTAAGCAAAAATTCAGTAGCTTGTGTTTTGTAGATTAAAATTGTAGATAGCATGCAGTGATACACTTGAGGTCTATAAAAGTAAACAGATCTCAGCACCCCTCTTTGGAAGCTGCTTGTCTGCAGTAAATCCAAAGAAAAAAGCATTGTTAAAATCAATCATGTAAACATTTTTGATATTAATTTTGTATACTGTACATTTCATTCTTACAATATCTAATAAACAACAGGAAGTCTTATTTTGTTACAATTAATTTTGCTATCATTGCTAGAGCAGCTTACTGCCCTGTGATGAAACACGCTATACTTACTAATATTTTTCTTGAGTGGTGCACATGGGTAATTTTAGGGTTTACTGATATCACAAGTAGTACATCAAAGAGGAAGACTTGCTCATGGATTTTAAAAAATCTGCATATTTTTCTGATTTCATCACAGTTCACTTTCAGCCTCAGAAATACAAAATTCATCTGTGTCAGTTTGTTCAAAAATTGGAAAACACTTCTTCATCAAACTGTAACAACATTACTTTGACACTGTCAGACTGTTTGTCCTGGAAAAACAGGGGAAAAAGAACGTGAATTTCTGCACATCCCTTTCCATATTTTTTCTAAATTAACCTTCAATTTGACTGCACTGTGTGGACTGTGTTTTGAGTAATTGTTGTGTAGTGGTGATCATACCTAGGGCCAAATGTGTCTTTAAGCTCTACCTGCTGTTTGTGCAGTCCCTGCTCACTTTGCAGATGATGTTCCTTTTTCAAAGCTGTCTTCTAAATAACCAGAAGTGGCAGAATTTGGGAGAAGTCCATCCTTTGGAAATCCAGGGGGAAAAAAATGCTGTTTATAAGGCACTGAGCAAAGTTAAATTCTTGACACCCTGTGCTTAAAATTTATGCTTTGGCATTTTCCAAGGAGAAGTTCAACGTTCCTTAGTTTACCAGCTGGCAGATGCCATCCTAGAGGGCTGGAATTAAGAGACATTTCTTTTGCTCTCAGCTGAGATGATAGTTGTGTGAAGTGCCAGACACCACCATGAGGGACAGAACTAGAGCAGGAATTAGGCCAACCAACATTTTTCCCTCTGCTGCAGTGTGGTCCTTCCTCTTTCACCTTGAGCAGAGCTGATTGTCTCTGTCAGCTCAAGGTGGTAACTCTGAGAAGTATTTCAGATCCAAACTTTCAGCTCTTTATTGAAAAGTTAGTGCAGGCAGAGAGCAGAAAGTTGACAGTAGTGTGTCTGGTAACCATAACCAAACAGTGCTGCTGCTGCTACTTCAGCAGTAAAATAATAAACATTGTGCTAAGTCCCTGCTTCTGGTTTTGTAGACTTTAGGCTTATGCTGGGAGAAACAAGGGGAAAGATTCAAACTGCTTCTGATGTAGCATGCAAAGCTACTTTAATCCTGCCTCTGTGTTAAATTCCTTCGCATGTCCTCAGCCTATCTGTGTTTGTTCAAAGCCACCCAGGCCCTCACCTTGTATTTACCTTACACTGTATTTGCACAAAGCAGCTCAGCTGGAAAAAGATGTGCCCTATTTGTACTTTCACATTTTTGGAAGCCAAAGGGACCTCCATGTGGGTTTCATCTGGCCCTTCCATGCTGGAAGTACTTGGGCTGTAACTATGACTGAGTCCTCAACCAATTTTATTTTCTTTTCATTAAATCCTTTGCTTGAAACTGACCTGCTTGAAACTGAGGCTTCTTAACATTTCTTTGAAAGTCTCAGAACTTTATCCCACCCCAATAACCCTGGTCTCCTCACATGGGTTTGCATGTGTGGAGTTTCTTCACAAAACTGATTCCTAATGTTGAGAGGGAAACATCACAGGCTTATGTTTCATTAAATCTAGGAATTAAAACCTTCCTAATGCTAGCTGGTTTTCAGTCTTTGTATAAAATGTGTTGTATTTGAGTATGGAAACATTGGTTGGTTGTACAGTGCTGATTGCCCATTTTCATCTCGTTTAAAAAACATTTCTTTTGCATTACCTCGAGCAAGCTTACCCAGCCTTGATTCACAGGAAAAGATGAGATTTGGCAGCTGTACTCTTGAATATTATGGATGCTGTCCCTTGAGAAAGACTTTTAAGAAGAAATACAATGATATCAATTGTGTTTTCTAGATGCTCACTCTCTGGGGTTATTAGTACATGATCTGGACTCAGGATAATGGCTTCTTGAGTAATGCTTCCTCTAATTAGTGATAGGGCTGCCTGGTGGTTTGGTAAATTAATCTGAGATACTGGCATTTGCTGGGCTGCAGTTTAATGTGAACTATTAGTCACAAGTTAAATAACTTACACCCCCTCAGACAACTCTCAAGTATGCAGCCCATGAAGTCAGACCAAAATCATTCAAAAAATTTTTGCCCTCACTCTTATCTCTGCCCACACCACCATCTCTCTCCCCTGTACAAGTGGCTAGCTATGAATAATTAAAACGAGGTAACAGCTGCTATGCAGATGGTGATTTTTTGGAAAAATCCCCTCTCAGTGTGATGAAGACATCTAACCTCTTCAGAAATAGTACCTGACAGACTGCCATCCCCCTCAGATCTGCTTTCTGCATGGACTTCTGACCAAGGCTTTGATCATGTCACTTCCCATCAGCTGTTTATAACACAGATATGTGAATTAACTCAGGTGTCCTGGCTTCATCCATCACCAAGGAGAGCTGCATCCAGAGAGTGACTCAACCCATCCTAAAATAAGTGTCTAAGATTGATATGGTGATTTATGTGCCATCTTTCCTTTTCACTGTGGAGAGAACCCAGATGGAAAAATATGGTTAGGTAATTTGCTTTTGGACTATTAAAATTAGTTGGAATTAAATTCATGTTTAATGGTTAAAGATATCTCAACAGATGTCTCAAAAGATATCTCAAAAATCAGCTACTCTGATGGTGATTATGGCATATCTTATCTGACAACCTCATATGAGGTGATTAATGGTAATATTTGATTTGCATGAAGTTGAGTTGAGTGTCCTCTGTCTTGTTTGGTGTTTCCTGTATGTTTCCAAGAATTCTTACTTTGCATAACAGCTATAAAACTATTCCTGTATTTCTAGAGCGGAAGGCAGACATCGTCATCAGCCAAACCTCCAAGATGGAAAAGCACAGCTGAATTTGCAAAGTTGTCATGTGTTTATTTCCATGACAATGTCTTCTATTTGCTGGAAAAGATACATAAGGTGAATGAATTTCAATATTTTTTATGTTTTGTGGACTTTTCATTGCACCAGTACTGGCTTGAGATCTGCAGGTGATTTGTGATCTTGCTTTCCAAGCTTTTGGCTTCCAAGATGTTTAAGGTAATGTGATTCTTCAGAAAATAGTGAAACCCCTCTAGGAAATATAAATAAATGCTTATTGTATCCACTTAAGACAACTTTGAATGAAAAAAAACCCAACCAAACCAACAACAAAAAAACGCACCATGTTTGGTTAAAATCCCTAAAATGCTACAAATGGTTTTCTGGTAACTTCCTTATTTTCAAATATTTAGTTGAAATACCAATATTTTAGATCCTGACTCTCATCCTTTTCATTTCTGCTCTGGAAAAGGAGTAGAAAGGAGATGAGGGATCATGTATTTCCTGAAAACGTTTAAGAGCTTTTCTCTTCAGATTGGACTGGCAAGCCCAATTATCACCAAGTTGTTGCTCAGGGGAAAAGGGGAGTCAGTACCTAAGGGAGCCTCTTGGGATTTTTAGTATTAGAGGTGGGAAAAAAGTCCCTCCCTTGACAATGAAGGAAAACTGTTCCTTCATGTGGTTACTGATGGCAATGAGCTTGAGTGCAGCTCTTGTGCAGGATTACTGGAGGTAATAGAAATTTCTCTCCTATCTTATTCATGTGTCATAAGGCTAAAGGAGAAGTGTGGGGCCTCCAGGTAGCTCTAATAATGACAGTCTTGTCATTACCTGTAATTGACATGAAAAGAAAGTTAATATAACCTAGTGCCCTATAAATGCTGTATTTAAGCTGATCTCTGGAAGGAAATTCACAGCATTTGCACATTTTTTTGTTGGCTCCAAGACTGGAACACAGGGGGAAGGGAAGGTATCATTTTTAGGCTTTAGATTTGGCCATATTGTAGCACTTCCAAATCTTCTGTCAACACTGGCGTGATGTTGCATTCATTAAAAAATGCATGACCTTTTAAAATATCCATCTGTTATATAAATAAAAATAATGCAGCCCTATATTTTTAAGGTATGCTAATCCTGCATGGCCATGGTCTAATTATCAAATGATTTCATGCTACCCTGGTGGCAGGCAACATCCAGACCACTGAACACTTGCTATGAATCTCTCATTAAATCCCTCTTGCACAGTTTCATTCATAAATTTACCATGGCTTTTAAAACAAAATAGTTTGATGCTTATACAGCAATATCAAGAGCAGTGTGTTTCCAGAATGCAGCAACATTTTTCAGATGCTGCACTTCATGCATGACTGAGTAATGGGTGGCAAACTCTGTTATTGCTGCCTTTTACCTTGAGTGGAAGCTTTGCTGCTGGTGGGGAGAGCGTGGTGGTTGTGCCCAAAGATGAGATGTCCTGGATGTCACCTTTGTGGAGCTTGGATATTCTGCTCTCTGCACCAAGCTTCATTTTGGCCATAGGTGCCCCAAGCTGGGTATCAACACTCCTGACCCACACCCTGCTCCTTTCTGGCTACCTTGGTGCTAGCACAGAGGTGCTGGGGTGCTCATGGCTCTTGCCTTCTCTGATGTTCCTCCAGCACTATCCTGTGCCTGCTCCCAAGTGCTTTAGAGCTTTGGAAACATGTCACGTTAACCTTGGAGAGCCAAAATGCAAAGAAAATTGTGGGTTTGTTGGTTATGTTGTTAATTTAACTTTGGAAAGGCTTGGAAATTACTTGGTGGAAATGGGTACTGGAAAAGTTTGCTTATTTCCACAAGGCAAATTTTAATTTTTGAATTCAGTGCAAATGGCTTATTCCCAAGTGACCATACGATTAACTCCATTAACAGTGGAATTATTAGGAACAGAATTAAAGTACTTGTGCAGATTTACCTTAGACTGCAATTTACCCTAAATGATTTCATGCCATCTGTGCCAACTTAGTGCCATCTGCTCTTTTTGCAGCCTAACAAGAAATCTTTCTTCTGTGTTGTG